CTGTGTCATTTTAAGTGATCCTCCTCCCCTCACCCCTGTGCCACTGAACACCTTTACCAGACATCCCACCTACCTCTTTATCAGACATTTACCCCCTGGGGCTTGCCTGGGGTCTGTCACTGGGCTTGCTGAGGCCTGGATCTGGGTTGGAGCAGGGTCTGCCACTGACTGAGAACCTTCAGTCATCATGAGGACGGCCGCGAGCATCAGGTAGTGTCACCAGAGACAGACCAGCACTCACCACCTTCGCTGCATCCCATCCACTATAATCCTCCTGCTCTTCTACACGCATCTGCAAAAGTCTCCTCCTCTTTCCTGCCCTGCGCTCACTGCTCACTCCAACCTCCACTCCGCCTCCACACAGCAGTGACATCAGGACTCTGCATAACGTCACTGGTTGCTAGACGCCAGTCGGGGCGGCCCTAGCGACCAGTTTACGGTAAATTAATTTTCATTCTGAGACAGAGCCTAGGGGGGCCTTATTTTTTGGGCGATGCCTTATATTTCACTCAGAAGGAAACCTGTAAGTAGGTCTTATTTTCGGGGAAATATGGTGTGTGTGTGTGTGTGTATATATCTATACATATACATACACACACACACACACACACACATATATATATAGCTTTTACTGACTTCAGAGAGGAAGGGAGAGGGAGAGAGAGATATAAATATCAATGATGAGAGAGAATAATTGATCAGTTGCCCCTGCACGCTCCACTTTGGGGATCCAGCCCACAAGCCAGATATGTAACCTGACATGTAGTCCAGATGTGATCTCCTGGTTCATAGGCTGACACTCAACCACTGAGCCATGCAGGCAAGGCCGAGACTGGAACTTGTAATATGTATAAGGAAGTTACCATTTAAAAATAGAACTGCTCCTGTATTGAGAAGTGATCAGAAACTCACAGAATCTGGTCTATTCATCCAAGATGCCATCGAAGGTTTGGGAAGAGAAATCAGAGTATTAAAGAAAGTGACTGGAAGAAAAAAGCCATTTCTTTTTTCCTTGACCTATCAAGTTCAGCCCATCAATGAATCAGATATTCATTGGTTTCTCTTATAAACCTTATTTCCCCATGGCAATTCTTAGCCAGAGCAGCTTCTTTAGTAGAGTTAGGAGCTCATACAGGGTGTATACGCACACTTGCTCACCTTGCTCATCAGCCCTTATGCCTTTTACATGCCTGATCCCTACAGCACTGGAATTTAGAATCCTTTACCTAGCTCTGTGGTCGGCAAACTGCGGCTCGAGAGCCACATCGGTTCTTTGGCCCCTTGGGTGTGGCTCTTCCACAAAATACCATGGCCTGGGCGAGTCTATGTTAAAGAAGTGACATTAGAAGAAGTTTAAGTTTAAAAAATTTGGCTCTCAAAAGAAATTTCAATCATTGTACTGTTGATATTTGGCTCTGTTGACTAATGAGTTTGCTGACCACTGATCTAGCCCTAGTCTACATTTTCCAGTGGACACAAGGAAGCCTGGGACAACTGACTTGTCTATGTCAGACAGAAAAGCAGCTGTATTCTACAATCCACACTCCTAAAGGTAAAATCTAAGGGTGGAAAAGGTGTATGGCTACCTTTGCTTCCTCCTCCTGTGCACATCCTCACCCACACTAGATCTTTTCTCCCATCCTTCTGACATGGTAGGAAGGTGTACCAGGACACTGGGTAGCTAAGGTAGCAGACTGGGGGTGGAAGAGAAAATCAAAGGGAAGTTGGGGCGGTGGCATCTCCAGTTGCCTGAGGCCAGTCTTGTTCCCAACACCTCCAGCCCCGCCCTGAAGCACAAACAGATGAAAGCAAGTGGCGTTCTTCCTGTCCCTGGATCATTCTCTTTAACTGGAACACAGGTGCTTATTCTGAGACAACCTGTCCTGTGACTTGGGGCACAAGCAGAGGCTGGTTAGTAAGTGGGGACATCATGGCACTCCTAACCCTCTTGTTCCTCTCCATTTCTGAACTCATCGCCTCTCCCTAAGCCCAGCGGCCAGGTATGCTGTCTGGGAAGTGGCTGGGCATTTTCTCCTGGGTTAAATGCCCAGGATGCAAAGGCAGAGAGAAGCACCTCTCCCCTCATTCCTTAGCTGAGTCACTGCTACATCCAGGCCACTAAACAGGCAAGAACCCCCATGCTCACTGAGTCCAGATCTAGAACTACTGTCTTTAATCAAACAAACAACTAGTATAGTGGCTGCCTTCAAGAAGGGAAGCTGTAGGGGGAGGGGGGGATGTTAAAATATGTACACAGATAATAATTTAATTAAAAAAATTAAAAATTTTTTTTAAATAAAAAAAAAAGGGAAGCTGTAAACACTCATCACCCTTCTTCTTTGAAGGAGACTCTATGTATTCAATATATTTTTATTGACCTCAGAAAGGGAGAGGAATAGAAAGAAACATTGATGAGAATCATTGATTGGCTGCCTCCTGCACACCCCACACTGGGGATCAAGACTGCGTAACCTGGGCATGTGCCCTGACCGGAAATCGTACCATGACCTCCTGGTTCATAGGTCAACAATGCTCAGCCACTGAGCCAATGTGGTTGGGCTCCATAGCTGGTTTTAAATGTGGCAGCATGATGCTTTCCACCAGCAGAAGAGGGACCAAGCGGGAAGGGCTTCCCTTTGGGTGTGTGGGGCAGGAACATGGACCACCTCCTCCCTTCTTGTTGAAAAGGGGACGTTTTCTAACCATCTGCACCAGTGAAGCTGTTTCTGTTACCAAATTTAAGCTCTATTTCAGACCTTCCACCCCTTTCTAAAGACACTTAAGCAATTCTAATTTTGAAAGAAGTTATGTAAGCCTCACTGTTGCTGAGTAGATAACTATAAAACAAAAGTTTCAGGCCTGGCTGGGGTGGCTCCGTGGTTGAGCATTGACTTGTGAAACAGGAGGTCATGGTTTGATTACTGGTCCGGGTACATGCCTGGGTTGCGGGCTTGATCCCCAGTTGGGGACGTGCAGGGGCAGTCATCAATGATTGTCATCATTGATTTTTCTCTTTCTCCTTCTCCCTTCCTCTCTGAAATCAATTAAAAAATATTTTTAAAATTTCAGTTTTGGAGGAATATGTTATAATGAAGGGCTTCACAGCTGAAGAGAATTCTGGCAAGGCTGAGCTAGGTAAAAGGGCACTGCCTCTAATATTTTTCTCAGTCTGTAATTTTGACCTGTTGACCCTGAATTTGACCAGAGTGAAAACGGTTCAAGACCAACAGAACAGCCTGCAACACCTGAAAGATCCTTTCCTCCAAAGCATGTCCCAGAGACGATAAGCAAATGTTAGTCTTCTCCATGCAAGGCAAACTGCTGAGGCAGAAACCAAAACACCAGGCAGAACGCAGGCGGCTCAGGCCTCATCTAGGCAGGATGTGAAATGCCAGGCCATTCGTCTTATATTTTTACTGCGTGGTTACAGGATGGGGTTGATGTGGGAATGAAAAACAATACTGACTCGAGAAAATTCCTTCTTTTTTTCAGCCTTAAATATTGACACCCACTCACCAGGTTTGGAAATTAGCAAAAGCTACACGGGCTTCTAGGGTGAGCATTCATTTCCCTTGGCCTCCATTCCTTGGCTGTCCACAAAGGCAGAAAATGCCAAGTCAGCGCCAGTCAGTGCATGCCAACAGCAGAGGGCAGAGACCTGTTTCTTTTCTTTTTTTTGTCAGTCCTCACCCAACCGAGGATATTTTTTCCATTGATTTTTTTTTTTTCCAGAGAGAGTTGTTTCTTATTTCATTTGGCGTAGTGCCGAACTATAGTCACCATCACTATGGTAGAAAGCTCAGAGTTCTTCCAGTAACTGCTACCACCATGAAATCAGAAAGACAAATGAAGCAAACAAATGAAACAAAAAAAAAAAAAAAAAAAAAGAGGTGCATACATTCTAATGATAAACCATAGTTAGTTAATTCATGGCATTTGATAGGTATTTGTATTTTCAGTATACTCCTGAGTCTAATAAGTATACTTATGCATCTCTACATTTTTTCATATGAAAGTCTGGTTCCAACCTACAGGTATATTCCCCATCCTATACAATAAAAAGGTAATATGCAAATTAATCAGAGGAACAACTGGTTGCTATAACATGCACTGACCACCAGGGGGGCAAATGCTCAACACAGAAGCTGTACCCTAGTGGTCAGTGGGCTCCCACAGGGGGAGCACTGCTCAGCCAGAAGCTGGGCTGACAGCTGGTGAATGCAGTGGTGGCAGTGCTAAGGATGTACGACTGCCAGCTTAGGTAGGCAGTGGGCTTAAGCCATCAGACATCCCCTGAAAGGGCACAGGCTAGACTGAAAGGGCACAGGCTGGGCTGAGGGACCCCCCTCTCCCCAGGGCACAAAAGTCATGCACTGGGCCTCTAGTGTAGAATAATTTACTAAAAAACCACAAATCCCAGAATTCTACCTAAGGCCATTAAAACCAAAAGGATGCAGGTATTGATTGCCCTGATTAGTGAGAAATATAATCCAAATGTCAACTAATAAATATTTAAGAATTCAAATATGCTTTTACAGCTGGGAGAATGTTTCTGTGGCTCCCTCTACCCCAATACCTTTCTGAGTGACGTTAGAGTAAGCGCTACCACAGAAGGGGTGAATGTATAAACAGAACACAGGTCTGGAGCCACTACCTTCATCAGTGGTACCATTCCAACAAGTCTTCACGTTGGCAGCCTCACCCTGGTCAAGACCTCAGGCAGAACCCCTGGGGTGGAGGGGGGGATACCAAATAGTAAACTTCAAATCCTGACCCTTACGCTCCAGGTTCCATGGTTCTCTTCCTGGAATCCTTGGGCAATCTTCGCTTTACTCTAATTGGATCTTCTCCTTCAAAGAAGCAAAGCCCAGTTTGAAGGTATCAGGTCAGGCAGCCAAGAACCTCCTTCTCCCTACTTGCACATCCCTGACTGAGTCTTGGAGGAGAAAGCTAAAAAGTGAAAACCCAAACACACACACACACACACACACACTTGGTTTTACTCAAACTATAAGCTTTTATTATATTTTACATATCATTCATCCAGGACATGGTAAATAGGCAGTTGGCACCACCTCATTTGTGAAATGGCACAATGCAATCAAGTCTCTTGCTCCAGGCGAGGCCCACGGGTGTCCGGCAGCGAAGAGCTCCCACTTTGCCACACTGGAATGTGAGCCTGCTGGGTGCCAGCAGCGCTGTCCTCATTTCGGGGTCGTCACATACTCGCTGGGCCAAGATTGATATTAGCTTGGACTTTTTAAGTTTTACATTTTACACTTACAGTTTGTTTCACGATCTACTTTAACATCAGTCATGCGCTCATTCTTCAATGATCATTCTGAGTCTGGGACTTGTTACACACACAGTGCGCACATGCTTCAAATCCAGCAGAGAAAGAGAAGGCTTCGATATCACAGCTCAGGAAGGCTGGACAAGTGCTCATTTCTCTGTCCTGCTCAGTTTTTCCCCATAACCTACTCCAGCCTGGAAAACAGCATCCCCTCTTGGACTGATGGGAGGAAGAGCTCTGCTTTTAACCTGGAGGCCAGCTGAACTCTCCCTTTCTAATCTTGATGTATGCGTGGGCCCCTTCCTTCCTGAGGGGGGAAAACCATTGGCACTAAACAGTATAAAAAAAAAATTAAAAAAAGGCTCACCAAACCGATGCTTCAAGAAATTAAAATATAACAAAAGATACTGCAAGGGTTCAACTACAGCCTATGGCTGCCTGCTAATGTACAAACCTTCCATGCTGGTAACTTCCCAAGCACTCAGACAGAGCTCTCTTGTCCAAAGACTGTGATCTAGATCCACAAAGGCGTATAAGAAACGAATTCTAAAGCTACAGGAATATAATAGAGCAGTTTGTGAAATAAATGACAAAGTGAACCTCGCCTGCATGCAGATCTAACAGAGTACAGAAACTGGAGACAGTTGGAAAGAGAAATCCTTGGGATGTACAAATCTGATCAAGGGCACCGCTCATAAAAGACCACTAATTTGGAATTTTCCGATAGGAAGTTTAGGAAACATGCCAGCGGCCAGAAATGAAAGGACTTCAGTGCCAAGAGTCTGACCTGTTGACTCTGAACCAATGTTCTCAAAAGAGAAGATCCCTGCTTTCTCTGGGACCAAGAGACCCGGGGGGAAAACTCCCCAGCACACAGGCACAGGCAACGGCCGAATAGCACAGAGCAGCTGAAAAGGTTTGAGCTTTGAATCAACTTGGAGAATTCAGAAGAGAGGCCTCTGACATTTAAAAGCCGAGAGTTATGGAACATTTAAAATTTGGACCCTTGGGTCCCTTAAACTACAGCCAAAGTACATGTAGTTTCCAAAAACCTCTAACTATATATGCTGTAATGTGGGGTACAGAAACCTTGAGAAGCAGAAAGTTGAGGTGACACAGGTGACGCTGGAGGCAAAATCCACCCCTTTCGAGGCTGCAGCAATGTTAAACAAGTGCTTCCAGTAACCAGGCAGGATAGCACAGGTACTGCTCAGGCACCTACACCACGCATGTCAAACTCTAATGCTAACATGAGCCAAATAAATAAGGCATGCAGCCCTCGGGCCATGAGTTTGACATGCTTGACCTACATCCAATCAACAGTGTGTCTGGAAAAGGTCATCCACTTTGACCCAGTGGGCCTCTGGGGAGAGATGCATCATTGAACCCATGATAGATGACTTTTTTGTTTTGTTTTTATAGCCAGAGGCTCTCAAAACCAACTTGAGGATAGGGATAACAAGCAAATTCTAACAATGTCTTTCCAAATTAAAAAAATATTCTTTATTATTATACGTATATTTAAATCACAGAACTCCAGGCTGAATATCATTAGACACACACACAATTTCTGGAATTGTCTCCCATACTCTGTCTCAAAATTTGGCCAACTTACACCTCGGAGTTTTCCAGTTCAACCCCGTACCCCAACTGGAGATAAAGAGAAACACTGAAGTCTTCTGGTTTTAGTCTCTGTCCCAAGGTGTTATTACAGATAGATTTGTTGGAGGTCACTGTTGCTGGGTTAGATCAAGAGTACGATTGCTGCAGATACAGTTCTGGGTGTGGTTAAAACGTGAATTTGAATGCCTCCTGGCCCGCAGGCTTTGTTCTTTCTGCAGGGGCTCTCTTACACACTTCAATAAAAATATATCTTCTATTCAGAATCACACTGGAAAGCAGGTGGTTTGAATGAGTAGTCCTGTTACATAATACATTAGTGATCTACAATGGAGAAATCTGAACTCTGGGTTACAAAGCAAAATAAATATTATTTCAGGGTAAATAAAGAAATTACTTGCTGGCTAGTGAAATGCTAAATTCTTTTTAAAAACATAATTGCAATGAGGACTTTTGCTTTATGCTGTATTCCAAGACAAAACCTACATCAATTCCTAGAGCACCCCTTCGATTTCTCCCCTCAGTGCTGAGACATGAGCCCAGGGCCCGGAAGCTGTAATCTCTGTGGCCTGGGTTACTTGGGAAAAACTGCCACACAAGGGCCAACCTGGATTAACACCAACTATTTCTTTAAGTCTGATGGTACCTAGAAGGCCTTCACTCTGACAATAAGGATGTGGCAAGCTGATTGCTGAGGACAACTCTGCTAATTGACTTAGACAACACCATGGAACATGAATGAAAATATCACTATCATCTTCAAAACACACCATCATCTTTTTTTAATCAGGACATTGAGGGTGAGAGGAACATTTCCTATATATTGTTCACCAATACATTCTCTTTAATAGAAGTGAAGCTATTTTAAGAATATAAAAAGCTTTTCAAGACATCTGTTTTCAGGGATCAACCACAGTACCAGAAATACTTTTCAGAGTAGTTCGTTCTAAAGTCTATTCCAAGAAAAAGGGCAGCCAACTTTCATGAGCTACCAAGATATGTTCGGGCACAAATTTTTTCACTTTCCTAAAGTTATATGCCGTCTTCAAGTCCAACTGTATCTGACATATATATATACACACACACACACACACACACATACATATCTGATCCTTTTCTGTCAACAAAAAAAGGAACACCTTTTAAAAAACACTCCCAAGTTGATATTTGCATAGACTGAGGTTGTTTGTTTCTCTTAACTCAGAGCATGGATGACATCAAAACGCCTGCAATTGTACCTAAATTCACATCTTTAAAAGGTCCATCTCTTCATTCACATGAATTCATCTGAATCATTGCCGTCCTGTAGGAAACAAAAAAGTGAAACCATAAAAGTCTTCAAAAATACATAACTCAATTTATAAAATTTACAATTAAGTCCTAAGTACAATAACAAGCCTCCTTATGCCTAACTGTAGAGTTCAAAAAGAAAAAAGTAAAATAATCAAACTCACTCATCACTTCTCTATCTTAAATTGTTTAGAATAGACTGTTAACAGTTATATTCTCTAAGGCAGTGTTTCCCAAAGTGCATATTCTTTTCTCTAGAGCAGTGTTTCCCAAAGTGTGGTACGCGTACCCGCAGGGGTACGGGAAGAGTTTGGTGGGGGTACGCGAGGCACCGGAGTTTGGTGGGGACATGCACTGCACCATGCTTAGCTGTGCCTAATTCTATGTTCTCATGAGTAAGAGGGGTACTCAGCATTACGAAAAATTATAGAAGGGGTACACATATATCAAAAGTTTGGGAAACACTGCGTTAAGGTGTCATTACATGGCCTGGATTATACAACAGGTGACCAATTATACCCAAACTATTAAATAAGTCCCAACCAATTGAATATAGGATGTAACAGAAAAATGCAATTGTTCCTTCAATAAATATGCCAAATAATAAGAGATCAAAATGTTCTTACGCCAACAATGTTGCTGAAATGCAAAAATACTTTTTGGCCTAAATTTCACTATTTTGAGCTTCAAGGTTATCACATTATTTGTGGCTTGCAGATGCGTTTGATTTTTTTTTTATTTTTTTTTTTAACTAGGAAAAGTTTTTAGGAAGTTATTCAAGTTATTAGGAAGCCATAGGCTTTCAAACTTTTGATAAAAAAACCATACATAATGGTAGATAAAGAGACTGATTTGATTGTATGGCTTACAAATAAGTCCTGAAAAACAAAAACAGAGCCCAAACCCTTCCTGAAATACTGCATTCCCTAAGAAACTGCTCTGGCCAGCTGGTGTGGCTCAGTGGCTTAAGGGCTGTACCCCATGGACCAAGAGGTCCCGGGTTTGATTCACTATCAGGGCACATGCCTGGATCATTGGGTTCCATCCCCAGTAAAGGGGGGTGCAGGAGGCAGCCAATGTTTCTATCTCTTTCTCTCTCTTCCTTCCTCTCTACCTAAAATCAGTAAAAACATTAAAAAAATAAACAAACAGCTCAGAGGGCCAACACTCACTAGTGGTATAAGTTCTGGTACACTGGCTTGAAAATGCCACTTGTTTCAGCTTCTCTCATGTTCCCACGTATGATACCTGAGCTGTTGGACTTGGGCTTCAAGTGATACATGGTTTTCTCCTTAATAGCTCTCATTTGGTAGATGGGCAAGTATGAGATACAGGTAAAAAACAAGAGTTTTGCCCTGACTGGTTTGGCTCAGTGGATAGAGTGTCAGCCTGCTGACTGAGAGGTTCCAGGTTTGATTCCAGTCAAGGGCAGGTACCTTGGTTGCAGGCACATCCCTGGTAGGAGGTATGCGTGAGGCAGCTGATCACGTTTCTCTCTCACTGATGTTTCTAACTCTCCTCTCCCTTCCTCTCTGTAAAAAATCAATAGAATATATTTTAAAAAACAAGGGTTTCGGTGAAGTCTGATATAACTTCCAGCAGTTTTCTGTGAGCCTCTCTTCAATTAGCAAAATAAACTGAGGCCATAGTTAAAATGCCTTAAATAATAATTGTACAAAGAGCACACTAAGGCCTGTCTTGTATGTAAACTCTAGAACTGCGACTGCCCTAGAGTCCTAAACTGAGTAACAGCAGTAGAGCGGTTGAACGAGTCATCCTGTATCTCTTAAGGTGAGTTTTAGATCCCAAACACCGAGAATGAAAAACTCACTAATAATATCCAAAATATATAAGGAATCATAGAGCTCAATGGAAGGAAGACAAATAATTAAAAAATGGGTAAAGGATCTAACTCAAGCATGTCAAATTTGCAGCCCACGTTTATTTAAATAAGGCCCGCTGGCTGCGAGTTTGACATGCTTGACCTCAATAGATACTTTTCCAAAGTGGACATACAGATGGCTTAGAGACATATGAAAAAATCCTCAAAGCCACTGATCATCAGAGATGCAAATTAAAATTACAATGAGGTATCATCTCACACCTGTCATAATGGCTACCAGCAACAAACCAACAAATGACAAGTACTAGTGAGGATGTGTAGAAGAGAGAACCCTAGTACACCCTGGTGGGAATGCAGACTGGTGCAACATTATGGAAAAACAGTATGGAGTTTCCTCAAAAAATTAAATGTGGAACTGCCATTTGACCCAGTGATTCCACTTCTAGGAATATATCCTAAGAAATCCAAAACACTAGTAGAAAGAATGTATGACCCTATGTTCATCATAGCAGCACAATTTACAATAGCTAAGATCTGGAAACAGTCCAAGTACCTATCAGTAGATGAGTGGATAAAAAAGCTATGGTACATTTATACCATGAAATATTATGCATCAGTAAAAAAGGAAAACCTTTTATCCTTTAAGACAGTACAGAGGGACCTGGAGAGTATCATGCTAAGTGAAATAAGTCTGTCAGAGAAAGAGAAGTATCACATGATCTCACTCATATGTGGACTCTAACAAAATAAACTGATGGAGTAGATTCAAAGACATGGAAGCATGGAACAGAGTGTGGAATCTCAAAGGAAATGCGGGTGGTTGGGAGGTAATTAACCAAAGACCTTGTAAGCATATATGCATAACCCATGGGCACAGACAATACGCTAGTGAAGGCCTGGGGCAGGGGTGGACTAGAGGGGGTCATTGGAGGAGAAGATAGACATATGTGACACTTTAAACAATAAAGAATTATTAAAAAGTAAAGAAAAACTCACCAAGATAATTTAGGTTGGTGACAATGAAAATGCATCATTCCCTATAAAGGCTGTGAGTTACATTTGCAAAGAGTTCCCATGTGTCTAAGAAACTGTATTTTAGGATTAGAGTAACTTTTAAATATATATCTGAACTACAAAACTTTATTAGGATAATATTTATATTTTAGACTCCCTTTAGGAGTCAAAATGTTTTTCAATATAGCAAAATAGGTCTCCTGTTACATACACACTTATAAGATGATGAGCACATAAAATGTTAAAAGTAATTGTTATGGTTCCTGATACCAAACTTAGAATGGCTAGAAAGAAATTATAGATTGAAGAGAACCAATTTAAATAGGAGAGCACAAACTCAAAAGTGAAACCAGCTTAAGAGTGTAAGACTAATATTTCTCCCACTTGTATAAACTAAATTAAAAATTACCTTACATAAACACCAGCTTTAACTGAAAACTGACTGATCATGTTGCCAAAATGGATCATGAAAGGCCTGTATCCCCTTAACAGAAGATGCTTACAAGGAGAATTAAAGCTTAATCTTTTGAAGTACAAGAAAAAGCTATAAAAGTCTTTCCACTGCAAGAAATGATCAAAACCAGCACAAAACTTCCTTGGAAACTTGAATGTGATTCAAACCTGGAGCTCAGGAACAGGGCAGCAAATAACAGATAGAGAGGAAAAGCTGGATTAGTAATCCTTTGGTCTATAAATCTGATTTCCTAATCCTAGAACTTTTTTTTTAAAGATTTTTAAAAAACTATATTTTATTGATTTTCTTTACAAAGAATGGAGAAGGAAAGGGATAGAGAGTTAGAAACATTAATGAGAGAGAAACATCAATTCAGCTACCTCCTGCACATGCCCCACTGGGGATGAGTCCGCAACCAAGGTACATGACTCTGACGGGAATCGAACCTGGGACTCTTCAGTCCGCAGGATGACACTCCATTCACTGAGCCAAACCGGCCAGGACTAATCCTAGAAATTTTAACATCTGTTGATAATCAGATGCCATATATATATATATATATATATGGCACTTTCAAATATTAAAGCAGTGCTGTTTAACAGTATTTTCTGTGATGATGAAAGTGTTCTATTTCTGCACTAATATGGTAGTCTCTGGACACATGTGGTCAATATGACTAAGAATCTGAGTTTTTAAGTCAAATTAAACTTTAATTAACTTAAATTTAAATAGCCACATGCAATCATGCCTAGTGTATTGGAAAACACAAATCTAAAGCACATATTTGTAAATATTCAATATAGCAAACATATTCACTCAGTTTTATTTTGGGCAAAGACAATTTAATAATAGCTCAATTGTGCTACCTCCAGACATTTCAAAGTAAGCTCTGGGGAAGATAGTACTTGTGAACAATAATATGTCAGTAAATAACTAGGTGCTAATGCTAGAAGATCCTCAGATAAGATAGACTACTGCCATTTCTCTTTGATTCAGGTCTTGAGGAACATGAAAACCATCAATGTAGTCACTTAGACTACAGATAACGTCTTAGAATTAATATTTCTGTTTTATTTTTTAATTGAAGGTGATAATTTTGTTCTCACTTAATTATAATATAAAATGTAGTCACATTCATATAGGACACTAATAAATAATGGCACTCTTGCCTGCCTGCAAGTAGGAAAGAGGGAAATGAAGGAGAAAGACCCACACTTCACAATAGACAAGGAATGACACAAGGTGACCTACTCAAAAACAAACACATGAGGAAGTCCAAAAGGAAGGAGAGGCAATGCCTAATAGAATCCTCCTGAGTGTTCTATAGTTGTGCAACATGTGAGTCAATATTGGCCAGTAACTCAATTATTAATAACTCTTACTGAATTATTTCAAGGCACACATTAGAATAACTTGTGCATACCTGATTTGAAGACATATTCTCAGCTTTCATTAGTGATGAATAGCTCCTGGAAGAAAAAACACATTTAAAATAAGGTTACTCAGCTGGCAAGAATTACTCAAATATTACATGTATCTAGCACTGCTGAGGGTCTTTCAAAAACAAAAATACAATCCCTGTCCTCAAGGAGACTACAATATAAAAAGGATAAATATCTACAAACAATAAGATGTACACAGACACAGCACTGTCATAGTTTACGAAGCACTCATACTCAATAACTGTGAGGAAGGTGGCATTATCCAAATGAGGAAATTCACCTATAGCCAAGGGCAGATATGATTCATATATCCATATCCAACTCATGGTCTTCCTCACTATAAAAAATTATTGGTGCCTTAGCTGGTGTGGGTCAGTGGTTAGAATGTCAGTCCAGGCACCTAAGGGCCTCAGGTTTGATTCCTGGAGCTGGTTATAGGTTCAATCCCCAACCCCGGTTAAGGTATGTGTGGGGGAAACGAATTAATGTGTCTCTCTCACACTGATGTTTCTCTCTTTCTCTCCTTCCCTTCCTTCCACTCTCTCAAAACGGAAAAAAAAGAAAAGAAAAGAAAAATATCATTGGGTGAAAATTAACAAAGAAAACAACAAAAAGAAAAGGCTGAGCTCTTTTCCAGTATTCTCTACCTTAAAGAATTGCATTACTATCCATATTCCATTCCACAAACCAGAAACCTAGGAGTCATTCTTTTCTTTCTTTTTATTTTATTTTATATTTTATTGATTTTTCACAGAGAGGAAGAGAGAGGGATAGAGAGTTAGAAACATTAATGAGAGAGAATCATCGATCAGCTGCCTCTTGCACACCCCCTATTTGGGATGTGCCCGCAACCAAGGTACATGCCCTTGACTGGAATCGAACCCGGGACCTTTCAGTCCCCAGGCTGACGCTCTATCCACTGAGCCAAACCGGTCCCGGCCATGAGTCATTTCCCCTGTCTCTCCCCTAAATTCAATCTATCTTCATTCATATCCTGCCAAAATTTCTTGTCATTGGTCCACTTCTCTCCACCTCCCATCATCACCACAGTCCAAGGTACGTCACATGAACAACTGCAATAGCTTCCTAAGTGGCCTAGCCACAACCACCCGACTCCCTTTCCAAAACACGAAACTATCACACTACCTCTTACTTAATGACCTTACAAAACTCTCAGGATGAAGACAAACATGGTCAATGAGGCCCCGCATGGACTGGCACCCTGACTCAGTGATCCCTCATGCCAGATGCTCCAGACATATTTTTCTATTTTTAGCCCCGTGTTTTGCCTTGCTCCCTCTTTGCATACATGGTTCCCTCTACTAAGAGCTCTCTTTCTATCCCACCTCTACCCCCAACCCCTTTAACCAGCAAACAGTCTTGATCTTAGCTCAAGAGTCACTGCATAAGGGAAGCTAATCTCAGTTACTTATTCATCTATAAAATACTGACTAATCACCCACTGCATATGCAAAGCACTGGGTCACATAGAAGAAGATACAAGGATGTATGTAAGTGCTTCTCTGAAAGAGCTTATCATTAAAACGAAGAGCTATGGCACAGGGCATTATTTATAGAAGGCAGCGTGGTAGTGTGTCAGAGAGAAAAGGAGTACAATTACAGCAGTCAATTCCGCATTAGACTATATCATCCTTTTAATCAATGATCTCACCATTACCTCTTCCTACGTGTTGCCATTAAACTCCTCATCCTTACAAGTCTACTTCCTACTAATATCCCAAGAATATTATAATATCAATTACAACATGAAATTTTAGACTTAAAGTTTTTTATTTTTTTAAATTTCCCTAAGTACAACCTTGGCTCTGGCCTTGTCAACTTGTTCATCCTTGCCTTATAGGCAGCATGGTACAGTCACAGTATGGACTTCAGAATTACAGACTTGAGTTTGAAATCCTGCTTTGCTATTTATCAACTATAACCTCCTTGCTGAAGTAATCTTTGCCTCCAAATCAAGTTCACATCAATGTTCAAACTGATGATACGTGTACCCGTGTGATTTGCCATTTTACCTGGGTCTTGTACTTCTGACTTTAATCACCTGAGCCTTAGGTTCCAATTCTGATCTCCCAGCCACTTTAAATATCCCTATCTCAGGGGTTGAGCACTGATCTATGAACGAAACTGACCTATGGTTCAATTTCTGGCCAGGGCAAATGTCCAGGTTGTGGGTTCGACCTCAATAGGGAGCATGCAAGAGCAGCCGATCTCTCTCTCTCATATTGATGTTCCTATCTCTCTCTTCCTCTCTGAAATCAATAAAAAAAATATTTTTAAAAAGCATGTAAAAATTTAATTTAAAAAAATACTGTCTATAGAAGTAACGACCAGAATAGATAACTGAGTATATATGAAGTCTAAGGGAAAAATTTTCATTATTGTTTAAATTAATAAAATGATTAATAGAAGGTGTTAATATATTGCTACTCTCTAGTCTTCACACTTTGGTACCCTCCCAACCACCCAAATATTTCAAAAAACTACCTAAAAAACGATGACCTTTATGTAGATCTGTTTACATGACCGATCAGTATCATATCTGCTCACGAAGGACAAATGGAGCTCCAGGGGCTAGTGTTCTTTCCATTGGAGAAGGAAGGCAGCACCTTCTTTGCTCTGTTTTGCTCCATTCATTTCTGAGCAGAGAGCTGATGGATATGATCCCAACCAGAGCTCAAACAACTCCCATCAACTTCTCCCCCGCCCCCCACCCCGGCAGTAGAAATTAAAAGTTTCCTGCCCTTCTTCTGCCCTTGTTCATAAAGTTAGAATGGAGTCCAGGGTCTAAATAATGGCTTCAGGATTGAAAAGAAGTTGGAATGTAACTCTTCTGGATATTGGGCCAAATACTTTTTCACTGAAACCATGTGGAAACAGTGGGGATAGTGCCTGGGATAATAATATTTTCTTGATTTTATCTGTGGAATCCCCTGAAGATTCAAATGTCAATTTCTTAAGCAATCACAGCAACTTGACATTCTTTAACAAATGGTCCAAATAAAAGAATCAGCCAGTTGGTAAAATTCAATGGTACTTTCATTGTCAGAAAGTCAAGAGAAAGACTTTAAAATAAGGAAATTTTATAGTCAAAGCATTTGATCTCTTAGGTTGAAGAGTCAAAAGGCAGAAATTAAAGTGATGCCAGTACTACAAATGTATAAAAACAAATTATAAAACATCAAAAACTTAGAATTTGTTGCTGGAATTTCACAAAAGCTGCAGAATACAGCATGCAAACAGCAACTCTGCACATGCCAAGCGAACCTTTGATATGTCACTGCTTCACATTCTTTTACCTTCTGCAGCATATGGAAGTCATTTTTGTGGCACATACTTCTCAGAAATGAACACACCAACTATTTTTGGTTTTCTGAGGCTCAGGGGAATTTATTAAAATAAAAGCAGCAAGGCCCTGGTGGGAGTGGCTCAGTGGTTGACAATCAACCTATGAACCACATCACAGTTCGATTCCGTGTCAGGGCACATGACTGGATTTCGAGCTCAATAACCCAGTAGGGGGCATGCAGGAGACAGCCGATCAATGATTCTTTCTCATTATGATTAATGATTCTCATTATTGATGTTTCTCTCTCTTCCTCTCCCTCTCCCTTCCTCTCTGAACTCAATAAAAATATTTAAAAACAAACAAAACAAAAAACGAATAAACTCCTCTACTAGTAAATCCCACAATTACTCAAAATTTCAAAAATTTTAACACACTGATGAGTTGATCATTTCTCTTCCACTCCTAACAAAAAGCAGACTTGCAATTCTAGGTAATATCAAATGTTTAAATCTAGCACTAGTCTGATTCATGTTAGCAAATATAACCCAGGATAACACTTGGGAATTCTATGAAGCTCCTCATTTTATTTTAGCAGAATCCCCAACAGGAACATGTGTGTATATGGATAACTAATAAGTTCCAGTACTTGGTCATAATACCGAATTCTGACCCAATAATCTTTCTAATATTTCCAAGTATTCCAAAGAAACTGGGACATGGCAAGACAGCTCATTTTGTTACAATACCCTTCCCAAGAGTATAACACATCAATTACCCCCCCCCCCCCCTTTTTGGTCCACTTATCACATGATATCTATGGATAACTAGGAAAATCTAGGAATTAGTCACAGAATTAATTTTCTTGCTATACATCTATATATAATAGATTCAGTATGGTAGACAGATAACAATGCTACCCCAGGATGTTCACATGCTAATCCTTAGAACCCATAAATATGTTATTTCATATGGCAAAAGGGACTATTCTGCAGATGTGATAAAGTTAAGGATCTTAGGTGGGAGAGTACCATAGGTTATCTGGATGCGCCCAATGTTACCACATTGGAACTTGAAAGCAAAGAAGCTGTGATCGAAGAGGGGACTATGACTATGGAAGAAGGTCAGAGATGCAATGTTACCAACTTTGAAGATGGAAGAAGGGGTCACAAGCCAAGAAATGTGGGTAGCTCTAACAGCTGGAAAAGGAAACAGATTCTCCCCTAGAGCCCCAGAAAGGAACATAGCCCAGCCGACACCTGGATGTTAGCCCAGTAAGAACCACATCAAACTTCTAACATACAGAACTATAAAATAATAAATATAGGCTGTTTTAAACCACTATATTTGTGGTAATTTGTATAGTAGCAATAGAAAATTAATACAGTTAAGTATTCTTATAGCCTTATAAACTAGAATTTCAGGATCCAAATTATATTTTTAACTACTCTTTATTATTTAAAAATGTAGTGTTTTGATGCCCTGGCCAGTGTGGCTCAGTTGGTTGGAACGTTGACCTATGCACCACAAGATTGTCAGTTCGATTCCAATCAAGGCTGTGGGTTAGGTCCCCGGTCAGTATGTGTACAGGAGGCAACCGATCTATGTTTCTCTCTCTCTCAAGTTCAATAAAAAAACACATTAAAAAATAGTAGTGTTTTGAAGAAGAAATTAAAGATACAGACAACAGTATGGTGATTACCATAGAGAAAGGGGGATGGAGGAAGTAGAAGAGGATATGAGGGGGGTTAAATGGTAATGGCAGTAGACTTGACTTCTGAAGTGAACACACAATACACAGATGATATATTATACAACTGTACAACTGAAACCTATATAATTTTATTAACCAATGTTACCCCATAAATTCAATAAAAAAGAAAAAAATTCAGTGTTTTGGAGCAGACCTCACTACATTAATTACTTTGAACTTTCAAAATGTAAAACACATGAAATGTACAAAAAAGGTTTTAAAAACAATTTTTAAGAGTTACTAGCACTAGCCTTTAGAGCTAAGACAACTCTATTCAAATATCATAGCTAGTGAATGTTAAACAATCAATACAGCATCTTTCCCCCTGAAGAGGTTTACAAACCAAGTTTATTATGGTTTATTCAAAAATGAAATTAGCCATTTTATTTCATACGCTCTTATGTCCTGCCCTTATACAAGGATAATTCACTTGACCAACACAATATAAATGTATTTTTCTAACTCAGTTAAAGCTCTGAGCTTGTTTTATATCACTTTTTCCACCAGCATATCATTCTCTCTCTCTCTCTCTCTTTTTTTTTTTAGGGTATCGTCCTGATTAAAATGACAGTGAAGAATCTTCAAGGTCAATACCAGTACTACAGCTCAAACATACCTAAGTTCATCCATTTCCCTCTTCTTCTTCATCTCTTCCTTTTCTCTCCTTTTCATTTCCTGAATTTGGGCTTTTTTCTCATTCCTTTCCTCCCGGTCTCTGCATTCCTTCTCTGCTGCTAGGTCTGGGAACCGCTCCGCTCTGGTCTTTTCTAATCTGTTCAGGATCTCATTTACTTTCTTCTCCACTGTCACAATTTTCACCTTTGAGGGAGACAGGGGGAAAATATTGAATCTTTATTATATGATTTCCCCGCAAGAACAGGGGAGAGGCTCTCCAGGGGCTCAGTCACCAGCTTAATTTTCCTTAAAAAACATACATCATGCTGAGCCCTCAACAACAAAGATGTTAGACGGAAAAGACGATACCCCACTCAGTGGCAGGACTCCGCCTCCCTCGGTGGTGCAGGACACTTACATCCTTCTGCCTGTGAAAGCCTATCTGTCCCACGTCCATGTCAGCGGTTTTCTTCAGGTTAGACCACGGTGTATATACCACGTTGACGTTGTTCATCTTGCAGCCTGCCAAGAGAGACTATCTTCAACGTGCAGGCAGGATGGCACTGAGCAAAGTGTCCCCTTACCCACTGGCAGATCACCATAATCCAATGAAGGAAAAAGCTTAGATTGAACAAGGCATCAAGTGTTTCAAACTGCAAATCAACCACAAAAGGCAAATGGTAAAGTTGAAAAATACAATTCAAGCAAAATCATGACAGTAGAAAGCAGGGTCCATGGGTTTGCTTTAGGGACTTCTGAGACTCCCTAAAATTGAATGCAAAACTTACTATATACGGTTTTTAAAGAGATTTGCTCAGATTCTCAGAGGAGTCCTTGACCCAATAAAAGATAAGCAGCAAGATAAAGCAAAATGCCATGGCCAGGGATTTAAGAGACCGGCACTCTATCCTGGCCCTACAACAAACCAGCTGTGCCACCTTGGGAAGTCCACACAGCTCCCGGAATCTCATGTGAAACATGAGGTCACTGGACTAGTGTAGCAACATTTTTGTTTTTGTTTCTTTTAGCAGTGGAACCTCTTTTACTAAAGAAACATATCATACCTCTACGCCAACAGCCTTAGGCAGCTCAAAGAATCACAGGTTAGCCCTAGTTGATTTGGCTCAGTGGATAGACCATCGGTCCTCAGAGTGAGAGATCGGGATCCAATTCCGGTCAGTGGCATGTACCTCGGTTTCAGGCTCAATCCTGGTTGGGGTGCATGTGGGAGGCAACCAATCGATGTGTCTCTTTGACATCGATGTTACTCTTCTGTCTCTCCCCCTCCCTTTCACTCTTTCTAAAAAAATCAATGAAAAATATCCTGGGGTGAGGATTAACAACAACAAAAATTATCAGTTCAATTGCTGGTCCAACACTCTTTAAGGCCCTTCAAAATTAGATGGCAATATATTTCAGTTTATTAAATCACCAAGTACAATGGAGAAATCTGTGGCCACCACCTTAATTTGCTTATGAAGTATTACTGCCTGAAAATTTGTAATGCGATCTTATTCAAGAGGAAGCACCAGACCAATCTAAATCACGGGATATTCTACAATTGGTCTCCATTCTAAAAGTATTAGTGCCCTAAAAGACAAAGAAGTGTCTCCAGATAAAAGGAGAGTAGAGAGACATGACAAGTAAATATAACACATGATCCTGGATTAGAAAAATGCTATGAAGGGACAGTAGTAGAACACTAGGAAAACTTATATATAGACGGTATATGAGATAACTGATAGCATAAGTATATAGTACTTATAAAAGCTACAATAGTATACAGGAATATCCTAGGCCTTCACTCATCACTAGGCCTTCACATTCACTCACTTAATGACTCACTCAGAGCAGCTTCCAGTCCTGAAAGTTACATTCATGATAAGCACCCCATACAGATGTACCATTTTTCATCTTTTATTAATATACCACATTTTTTTTAAATTGATTTTTTACAGAAAGGAAGGGAGAGGGAAAGAGTTAGAAACATTGATGAGAAACATTGATCAGCTGCCTCCTGCACAACCCCTGCTTCGAATGTGCCTGCAAGCAAGATACATGTCCTTGACCAGAATCGAACCTGGGACCCCCTCAGTTTGCAGGCTGATGCTCTATCTACTGAGCCAAACCAGTTTCAGCCATTGGTTTCTTTCTTTTAATTTTTTATTTTATTTTTTAATTTATTGATTTTTTACAGAGAGTAAGGGCAGAGGGATAGAGAGCTAGAAACATTGATGAGAGAGAAACATCGACCAGCTGCCTCCTGCACACCCCCACAGAGGATGTGCCCGCAATCAAGGTACATGCCCTTGACGAATCGAACCTAGAACCCTTCAGTCCATAGGCTGACACTCTATCCACTGATCCAAACCAGCTTCGGCTATACCACCTTTTTAATTGTACCTTTTCTATGTTTAGACACACAGATACTTATGATTGTGCTACAGTATTTACTAGATGAACATGCTGTACAGATTTGTAGCCTAGCACCAACTGGCTACATGTGTAGCAGGCTATTCTATCCAGGTTTATATAAGTTCGCTGTATGATGTTTGTACAATGACAAAATTGCCTAATGATGCATTTCTCAGAACACATGTCCATCATTAAATGACACATGACTGAATAAGCAAATGTAGAAAAACAGCAAATACTTGGTTTGGCTGGAGTGTGAAATATGTGCAGGGAAAAGGAATTATGTAGTCAGATCAAAGAGGCTTAATGCCAGCTTAAGAAGTCTGGTTTTAATTGTATAGACAAGGTGAGGGTGTCATGAAATATCTAAGCTTTTAGAAAGTTTAATCTGGCAAGAGAGTAAAGATGAATATAAAATACGCTGACCTGACTCTATGAATACAAACAAGTTTAACCCCAAGTCCCTGGGTTCTGAGTGCTGAAGGTGGTCAACCACGGAGGAAAATATTTTAACCACTCAGTGACACAAATGGAGAGTACTGAGCAAAGCTCACAGAAAAGAAAATCTCCTTCACTCTTCAGCATCCTCTGCTATTGACTCACAAGAGTGAAGCTCTTAGTTAGACCCAGCTCCTTTTTCTGCTAAGTGAGCTGTCGCTGTGCAAGGCTGAGAAGAAGAATTCTGTGTCATGACTCTTACCCTTTTTCTGTTTTCTCTAAAACTAGTGATCTACAGAGATTAAGAAAAAAGAGGCTGGGCCAAGAATAAAGAATCCAAAGCTCTTTTAATAAAGTCACATCTGCCAGCCAGGGGCATGGAAATGGGACAAGAACACGTGAAAGGATTTGCAACAAACAAGAAAAGAGAATATAAGTTTTAGTTTGTATTATTTTTTTATGTGAATAAAATAGACAGGCACCAAGCCCAGTATTACAGACCCTACCTGAAACATTTATCACCAATTCTCATTTCTTTCTGCACATTAGAATCACCTGGAGAGCATATCAAGCATACCTATACTCACAGATTGCCCACGATCAATTAAACAAGATTCTTTGGGGGATAAACAACTGATTTGATACCTTCACAATTTACAGGGAGAACAAAATAAGGAGAGAAGGTAAGAAGTGAAAGCAAGAGTGATTTGGAGACTCGAGTTCTAGTATCTAATGGCAAAGAGTGGAAATAAAGACATCAAACAACATAAAAATAAAACCGTGAGAGACATTTCTTGCTTAGCTATTAACATATCCTGATTTCTGAAAGTCTACAAATAATCTTAAAGGTAGGCAAGTATAGACAACTTACTATTCAAGGTAAGAAAAACAAACCTGGCCAGCATGGCTCAGTGGTTGAGTGTAGACCTATGAACCAGGAGGTCACAACTCGATTCCCTGTCAGGGGACACGCCCCGGTTGTGGGCTCAATCCCCAGTGGGGGGCATGCAGGAGGCAGCTGATCAATGATTCTATCTCATCACTGATGTTTCTCTCTCCCTCTCCCTCTCCTTTCCTCTCTGAAATTATATATGAAAAACAAGGTAAAAGAATTGAGGCAGGGCCATAAACATTAGAGGGCTGGGGAGATTAATTTTTAGTTCTTTGATAGGTAGCAGAAATTCCATCTTATAGAACAAAACAGGGCAAAGGCATATTACATGGCAGTCCTTTCACTCAAGCCAAAGTCAGGAATATTTTCTCTAAAATGTAATCCATTTCAGACACAGGGAAATCATTGCTAAGTCTGAAAGCACTTGGAGGAAAACTGACCTTGAATGCTATTGGCCTTCACAAGATGGGCACAGTCCATCAATACTTCCTTGGGAATGTCTTCTATGCTCTCCCCCTGAAACACAAAGATATCCAAATGTTCTTCTATATTGTTACTGATGGATTCTAGTGCACTCACTGGGCTTTGCTGACTTACCAGGAACAATTTTATTAAAAGCAGAGGCTCTTCAACTGTATTTCAGATCATTGAAAACTGGAGCCTGTTACAGGAATGTTTGTTTAAACTGAGAGAAGGCAGTGATATAGAAAGTACTGATACATGATAAGTAAAAAATACAAACACAGGGTATAAAAGAAAACTACCAAAATATTAACTATGTTGAGTAATTTCTTTCTTCTTCTCATTCTTACTTCTAGAAACGTTTGCGGAAATGGTGTCTATTTTTGACAACTGGATGTCTTCTTAGCTGAGGTCCCTACAACGTTCCTCTCAAAGAGACACCTTATAGCTTTGGATCTCAAATATCTACCGTGTTTCCCCGAAAATAAGACATCCTCCGAAAATAAGACCTAGCGCATGGAAAGATAAGACATCCCCTGAAAATAAGACCTAGCGCAACTTCGGGAGAAAAAAATTAATATAAGACACTGTCTTATTTTGGGGGAAACATGGTAGTAGGTCATCTATCCTTAGCCTTAATCAGGAAGCAACCTCTTTGGTATGTTAAATAAAACCACTCACTATAAGGAAGAAATAATATGGATTCTATTCTCTACAGATAATGTATCAAAGTCAAAACTGAATACCATATTTTCCGGCATATAAGACGACCCCCTAATTTTACAGTTAAAACATAGGTTTAGGCCTATATTCGCTATATAAGACTACCCCCCACTTCCGAGGCAACACCAGTTCTTTTTTTAATAGACCGCCTCTCTGACTCTGGCCAATCTGAGCAGGCTTTTTACTAGAACACAGTGTCGTCTTATACGCCGGAAAATACGACATAAGCAAAGCCATTTCAGAAGAAAAATATTTCAAAGGCAAGAGCAAATGGAAATCAGCCCAGTATTGACTCCTAGTAGGCATGGGATTACAGAAGAGTTCTGTTTGGGATTGAAATGTTCTACCTACATAAATACTTGAGATAAATTAAGTGTATTCCATTATGTTTCCACACATTTTCTTTACATTCAATGATTTAAATGGGAATCTCTCAAATATATAAATTTTGACACAAAACCGAGTGATTTAAGTGTCACTACTTTAGTGATGTATCTCATCCTGTGCTATTCCCTGACCACACTGAGGATTTCTGAATTTAACATCTTGATTACACAATGTCATCATTATGGATATCAACCATTATAGTGATAGTGATGCCTTCAGGGGCTTCTACAATACACAGGAGCTGATGGACCCTGTGCTAAATAAATCAAAAAGAAAATAAATACAATAGTCACCAGTTTCTGAGTACACATCACATGCCAGGTATTACGTAGTCATACAAAATGCATTGTATTACCCTCATTTTACCCATGAAGAAAATGAAGCTTAGTGAGGTTAAGTGGGAAAAGTCCCACATATCTAGTTAGTGACAGAACTGAGAGATAAACCCAGAACTAGAACAATGCTCTAAGAATTGGCCCAGAAATGGTGCTTATGGAGTTCTTGTGGAAACATTAGTTTGTTGGCCTTGATGTCAGGCTATATCCTTGATGTCAGGATATTTCCCGTCTTACTACCTGTGGCTGTCACTATTTCTGGAGCAATCTCCACTTCTATTTTGCAACTTCTAATATAATATGAGCAGAAAAACAAACCTCACTCAACTTAGCATTATTCGTAAAGTCAGAGCAAACAAATTGGAGAGTCTAAGGAACTCTCAAGATGTAAAGATCAGAATTTTAACTGTGGGCTTTGTGCCATCTATGTTAATATGATAAGAAACCTCTAGATAAGTGAGATTTTTCTATGGGTTTCTAAAAATAAAAGAAACCTAGGAAAAAGCACAGCTGAATATCTGTGATCTTCAATGTTTGGGCTGTATTCAACTGAATTCAGTGAAAAAAAGAAAAGAAAAGCCTACAGTGCTTAGCATGTGCCAGGCATTATTCTAAGTCAGTGGTTGGGAAACTCAATAGTCAACAGAGCCAAATATCAACAGTACAACAATTGAAATTTCTTTTGAGAGCCGAAAACCGACTTCTGCGCATGGGCCACGGAGTTTTAATCGCACTGTACATGTGCGCGCTTGCATGTGGTATTTTGTGGAAGAGCCACACTCAAGGGGCCAGAGAGTCACAACTGGCTCGCAAGCCGCAGTTTGCCAACCACTGTTCTAAGTGGTTGAGAGATAAGCTCATTTAATCTTTACAATCCTATCTATACTAATAAAAGGGTAATAAGCTAATTAGACTGAAAGACTGGATATCTTCCTACAGTCCGACTTCCTTCTGGACAAAGCCATGATGGTGGGGGCCGAGGGAGAGACAGTTAGGGGCGATCACCAGTAGGGGAGGGCAGTTGGGGCCATGAGGAGCAGATAGGCAGCAATCAAGCCAGCAGGCAGGAAAGTGGTTAGGAGCCAGCGGTCTCAGATTGTGAGAGGGATGTCCGACTGCTGGTTTAGGCCCCATCCCACATGGGGTCTAAACCGGTAGTCTGACATCCCCCCAGGGGTCCCAGATTGGAGAAGGCGCAGGCCAGGCTGAGGGACCACCCCCTTGTGCATGAATTTCTTGCACCAGGCCTCTAGTCCTATATAATAAAAGGATAATATGAAAAATAGACCAAACAGTGAAACGACCAGTTGCTATGACACATTAACCATCAGGGGGCATACGCTCAACGCAGGAGCTTCCTCCTGGTGTTCAGTGTGCTCCCACAGGGGAGTGCTATTCAGTCAGAAGCCCAGAAGCCAGGTTCACTGCTAGCAAGCACAGAAGTGGTGGTGGGAGCCTCCGCTAAGCCATCAATTGGACATCCCCTAAGGGCTTCTGGACTGCAAGAAGGCACAGGCCAGGCTGAGGGATCCCTTACTCCCAACCAAGTGCAAAAAGCTGGTGCACCAGGCCTCTAGTGACCCAATAAAATTGGTATTGTTAGCTCCCTTTTACACATGATGAAATGAGCACAGTTAAATAATTTGTTCAGAGTCACAGCAAGCAGCAGAGATAGGATTCAAACCTAGAAGTCTGAGCTCGGAACCACTTAGTCCCATTGCATCTCCAACACTTACTTGGTACCTAATAGGTACAAAGATCTATGTCATTTACTTCAGGAGATCAACCATGTAAGAGTTTCTGAAAGAGTACATATTTTTATTGAGCCCAATATGTGCTTCTAAAGAAAAATAACATTAAAACTTCTATTCAAACAAGTAAAAACTGGTGGTAATGCAAACTTGGGATAACCACCATTATTTTCATTTTGAACACAGCAGAACCCAAAGGAAAAACTTTCATGTGAACCAAAAGGAAACTTGGTAGCACCATACTCTATTTTTTCTAAACTTAAAATAGTTCCAAAATGGCAAGAAGTGGCCTAGGAGAATTCAGAATTTTGTTCCAGCACAGAGTTCACAATCTTCCTCTTTTTCTTTACAATACAGTTTTCAAAAACAGCAGTATAAGTAAAGATGGAGTACAATGTTTAACTTTGCTAGCAAGTTAAAAAATGAATATTATAACCATAATAAAATAGCATCATGTATTTGGTTGCTTTTTAAGTTACAAAATTACCAGAAGTGTTGGGAAAATCTGTATTTATGTGATAGCATTTTAAATTAGCACAATACTTTCAGAGAGCAATCTGGCATAAAAGGAGTTACCAAACTATATCTTTGACCCAATAATTATATTTCTGATAATTACTCTAAAAAATAACTTAAAAGAAAAAACAGAAAGCAGTTCATAAAAAATATTTCTTGTCCTGGCCAGTGTGGCTCAGTTGGTTGGAGTATCCTCCCATACAATCAATGAAAGGTGGCGCTTTCGATTTCCCGTCAGGACAATACCCAGGTTGTGGGTTCGATCCCCATCAGAGCATGTACTGGAGGCAATCGAATGATGTTTCTCTCACATAGATGTTTCTCTCCCTCTTCCCTTTTCTCTCTTGTTGGAGAGTCACAATGCTGAAAACTGTAAACAATCTAAAGTTTGACATAGAAGCTTTCATATTAATTGTGGCATACTGCCAACTCAAAGCAGTCAGCAAAAACAAAACAAAACAAAAAAACAACAACACAGTAACATGAAAAAGTTTATAGACTGTCACTTTAAAAGTAATACAATAGCCCTAGCCTGTTTGGCTCAGTGGAAAGAGCATCAGCTTGGGGACTCAAGGGTCCCAGGTTCAATTGCGATCAAGGGCATGTACTTAGGTGGCAAGTTTGATCACCAGCTCTGGTTGGGACATGTGGGAAAGCAAACAATAGACATGTCTCTCTCACATCAATGTTTCTCTCTGCTTCTCTCCCTTCCACTCTCTCTAAAAACAAATGGAAAAATATCCTCAGGTGAGAATTTAAAAAATCAGCAACAACAAAAAAAACATACAAAAACTTTAAAGCAGTGGTCTCCAACCGGTGGTCCATGGACACTCGTCTGTGATGCCCAAAAGGTTGGTGACCGCAGCTTTAAAGCCCTTGTAACAACAACTTAAAAAAAAGAGTAATACAATCAACCAGGCAATGCCAGGCTGGACAGTAGATTGAGACAAAACAATCTAATTGTATTACAGGCTTATGGCACAACATCACTGAAGGGGATTGGGGGTGGGTGGGAGGAGAGAGCTTATAAGTAACTTTGGAAAACTGTTTTGACTAGAAACTATAAGACAAAAAAACAAAAACAACTGCACATAAACACTATACTGTAGTTGATATAGTTGTTTCATTTGGGAATATGGGTTAACAAATCTGAAGCCATTTACATATATATTGAAGTCAAACAAATAAGCAAATAAAAGTGGATGGTGGGAGCTAGGTTTCTCACTGTCAGAGAAGGATCTTACAGATAACCAAGGAGGAAAAGCTAGAATGGCCCGATTGTAATGGACTGGACAGAGACAATGGCACGAGCTCCTATTTAGCTAAATGTGGACACAGGTAGAGATACAAAAACAACTGTTCATGAGTGTATACATGAATTAGTATAAACACATTATCTCCTAGCTCTGTCAAGTGAGAGGACCTTTCTGCTGTTCTTCCTTCCAAACCCGTAACTGATATTTTTGTCAGATTAAACCCAATATGAAATACTTCACCAATACTTCTCAAAATGCCAAGATCATGAAAAACGGGAAGACTGAGAAACTGTCACAAACCAAAGACGAGGCAGACATGACAACTAAATGCACTGTGGGATCCTGGATTGGATCCTGGAACAGAAAGAGAATGTTAATGGAAAAATGAGGAAACCAATAGAGTCTGCATTTTAGTTAATAATAATGTATCACTGTTGGTTTCTGAGTTCTGACAAATCTACTGTGGTAGTGTACGATGCTAACATGGAGGGAAACTGGGTGTGTGGTATCTGGGAACTCTGCACGTTCTTTGTAAATCTAAAATTATTCCAAAATAAAACATTTTAAAGAGCAATACATATAATAAGTATATATACACTCTGTGACTCAACTATATAAAATGTAACTTATGGATGTAAAGATAAATTGGAAAAATAGTGGTTTTATGTTACTATAGCACATTCACTTTTTCCTTTACTAGTATAATGGTGCTTTAAACCCCAAAGCCCCTGATAACTGGGAACAGCTGCCCTTGGTGATGCAAGAAAATCACAAGCCTGAGAAAAAAGAAGCGCCACCGGAGAAGATAGGAAGTCCAGTAGTGTCAATGGAAATGAAAGGGAGAGAAACAGAGGAGACAGAGAACACATCTGAAATGACCGAATAAAGCAGTGCTTCTAGCTTGGAAATGGTACTCAAAATCATTGGAATTTCCCTTAGTGATTCTCTGTGTCTGGGGAAGACATCTCTTTATTTGCTAATTTTCACACTTTTGCACATATTTATTACTTTAAGCAATTTAATTGCATAAAAAAGGATAGAGGACAAGATATGATGCTCATCACTAAAGAAAAAGTCATGAATCCATGTTTAAATCCAATTACCTTATGTAATCGAAGGTATACATGAGCCGAAGAGAGTTTGTCCACATGAAACCTACAAAGAATGAAAACCACTTTTAGCAAGTTGTACAAGACAACCATCTTCTTGGGCCACCTACATTTAAAACATTCCAATCCAGAAAGTATAAACTCAGTGCCTACCACATGCTAAGCATCATGGGGAGTATAAAACACAGTCACTGCCTCCACAGGGCTCACTATCAACCGGGAGAGATAAGATAAACTTTATGGAAAGTTCTACAGCTGTATGAGACTAAGTGTCAAGAAGAGTACTAGAGACAATGAGTGTTACATGCCGGAACAGGTGCTATTTCAAGTGAGAAAATGCTATCCGTGACAAAAGGCTTCACTGGCAAACTGAAATTTGGTAGGTCCCTGACTGAAGCACAGGACTTAGAGAAAGTAGGGCAAGGAATTTAGTTAAGAAGAGAAGAGAATAAAAGTAGTCAGCAAGACTCCAATGCTGCAAGCCTTGGGAGATTTATAGGACCAGTGACAGAAATACCTTACAGCAGGAGAGGGCACCAATTTAGAGTAAAATTTGAGGAGTTTGGTTTGGGACATCCTGAGTTTCAAGTGAGGGCAAAACAATCCAAAGAGAATGTCAAGCAGAGCTGGAAGAGTCAAGTGAGGAATGAAGATAGTAAACAGAGAATTCACCCAGCCTTATATCTGGCAATGGCACTACCACCAGGATACATCTCCTAGGAGAGCCTGGTGATTGCCCTTTATGAAACTGTCCTAAAAAACTCCAAATGCTCTCCCACCTCAACGTCCTAAATTTATCTTTCATTACAGCTCTATCATCCACCAATTTAATTAAATCTTTTAAAATATACTTTCTTTTTCACCTGATTAAATATTTTGGGAAGTTTTTCATTTTTACAATTTACCAAATGAAGTTGACTTTCTCTCTTGCAACACGGAGATGTCCCAGAATCCTAGCATTACATGATAACACAAGATTGTCACTCTATGATTCTGTTAACTTTAGTCATCTCTTCCTTAGTCCTTGCCTTTCCAGACTGAAGAATGTACAGTAAAACCCTAAGAAGGCACCATTACATACCATCATATACTTCTCTAGACATTTTCTTGGCATTAATGTATTTTTTCACAAGTGAAATGTTCACACAGTGTAATTCTATATAAAGGTTAAGATTATGCTGTTTCTAATGTCCTCTTTAAAGAGGTTAAGCATCTTGCTAGTCCCTTTGGATACAGAAAAATATTATACATTTTGGCAGCCTATGACAAAGCTAGATTTTATTCTTAACCATTACTGATAGCAAGAAGTGAGTATAAATAATGTCTTGATTTTTCCCCCAACTGATTAACTCATTTGCATCTCCATGTAAAAGATTCCTACAGATTATCATCTCCAGTTTGGCAATCCCCCTTTCCCTGAAAAATTTGTGTGTGTGTGTGTGTGCCCAAATCTAGAAATTACATATGCCATTTTTCCCTTTCAGGATCTTAGAAAAACACCCCATTAATAAGCAAGCTCAATTGAGGAGTAAGTTCTTCCATTCCTTGTTTTAAACCATTTCTCTATTTACAACTCCCATATATACCCATAATAGCTCAATTGTATTCTGATTTTCCTTAAAGGCCCTGATGCAAAATTTGACTAATGAAATACAAAAACAATTCAATATATATCTAATGGGTTCATAAATAAATAGTCAAAGTACTAAAACACATATAGGAATATCACTGCTGGGATACACCATTTTCAGGCAAGTAAGTACAATTCTACCTTCAGGGCAGGCGATGTATAAAAACATGGGTCTTGCCCTAGCTGGTTTGGCTCAGTGAATAGAGCACTGGCCTACAAAATGAAAGGTCCCGGGTTGCAGGCTCAATCCCCAGTGGGGGGCATGCAGAAAGCAGCCAATCAATGATTCTCTCTCATCAATGATGTTTCTATATTTCTCTCCCTCTTCCTTACTCTCTAAAATCAATTTAAAAAATATTTTTAAAAGATTTACAAAAGGTAATTACATAACAGGTGCAGCCATTCTTATCCCCCTTGACAGAGTCTGGAATTCTTTGGGCTTTAAGGGCAACTGAAACAATCCATTGGGCGTGACAGGTGCTCAAAATGGAGATAACCAGAATGCAATTATTGTGAAAAAATGCCCAGTGGAGATCATTTCTACACAGGCAGAGAGCTAGTTGATTAGGAAGTCAACAAATAGTTACTGAACCCATGTGCCAGGTCTTATGCTAGGTACTGGGAACCTAATAGTTAACAAAGCAGTCTTCATGGGGCTTACAACCAAGGGTCTTAGGAAGGTAGGCAGCAGCCAGCCCAGAAGCCCTCTGCAGTGCAAACTGTCCACCTGAGGTAAGGGAGTACCAAGCATTGTCTATCTCGATGACATATTTGAATTCAGAAGATGGGCCACTGTGCTGGGACAGGGGGCACATAAAGACTTTAAAATTCCTCTGGTTCCTACTGCCTCTTGGTTCCTGGCATGTAGACTTTAGAGAAGGCAGACAGTCAGGAAAGCATTTCCACTGGGGTCATGAATTAGCCCTTCATAAAGGGGCAGCAGTGGAGGCACCCTTTAGCCGTGCCTACAGACAGGTCTGAGGATACCAAATAAGTGAACTGAGTCTAGGGGTAGCTTCAGTTAGTCTCTGTAATATTTTTCCTACTAAATGTTCACTGCTGTATACTTTACTGAAAATCAACTCTTTTAAAAAGTGGCAGCCTTAACTCTGTCACTGTAGGGAATTAAGTGAAGGACCTGGGCCCACTTGGAGAAAAGAGGTCCAGAGAGATCCACAGCCACAGCTTGAGGGAAGAAAGAAGTGACCTGCAGCCAAGAGTAGCAGTTTAGAGGGACAGAGAAGTTGTGATTTAGAACTACAGCTAACCAGAGGCCAGCAATAACCAGAGCAGATCTATTCAGTTTCTCATAGCCTTAGTTTCCTTATCTGAAAAATGGGCATATCAGTAACTATTTCACAGGGTTGATTGAAACTAAATGTATTAATGGAGTAAACATTTAACAGTATTTGGCATATAGTTAAATGCTCAATATTGTTCATTACTAGAAGTCCAGCACGTGAAATCACGTGGTCCCACCCACCTTCGTGCGCCTGGCAGAGCTCACAGCCCTGCCCACCCGCACCTGTGTCAAGTCCCCCCCCCGCCCTGCGGCCGCACACTCAACCTTCAACCTCCTGATGACCAGTCTTTGGTCTTTCCACCGTGATGGCGTCACAATCATGGGGTTTTTTATGATAGAGATTATTATTATTATTATTATTATTATTATTATTATTAAAGTAATAGGATCCATAAGCTTATCTTTGGGGAGAGCATTTGGTAGGGGTGTTAGGAGCTGTGGAGATCATATCCCACTCTATAGGCAGAATGAGGCTGTAGGAGACAGACATCACAAGCGTCAGAATGAGTAGTGGAAGCAGAAGATGGAAAAGTTTTAATCATAGGATTCAGGTGGCTGGCCAGGTCTACGAAAGTAAATAATGATCCACTGAAAGCAGAACCCAAATTGTTACTTACCAAATATCTTCAGGCCAGCCATACTTTATTAGATCCTCATCTATAGGGAGATACAAGAGAACAAAGAAAAAATAATAAGCCGTCAAATGAAGATATGCCAGATAATAGATAACTAGAGGCCTGGTGCACAAAATTAGTGCATTGGGGGGGTGGGGCAGGAGGGATGCCCCTCAGCCCTGCCTGCACCCTCTCAACTGGGGCCCTCAGGGGATGTCCAACTGCCATTTGCAATCTGGGACTGCTGGCTCCTAACAGCTTGCCTGCCTGCCTGCCTACCTGATCACCCCTAATCCCTCCTGCCTGCCTGTCTGATTGCCCCTAACTACCTTTGCCTGCCTGATCACCCCTAACTACTCCCCTACTGGTCTGATTGATTACCCCTAACTACTCCCCTGCTGGCCTGATCGCCTCTAACCACCTCTGTCTTGTCCAACACCCGGGACCCATGATTCCCTCCTTGGGCTGGCTGCAGCCCCAGGGAACCGTGGGAGGGTAGCCTTGCCAGGACTGCACCTGCAGGTGCCCAGGACTATGGGGCAGGCGGTTTGTCCCTCTCCCAGGCTGCAGCCCCAGCTGCTGGTGCTTGGGACTGCGGGGTTGATGGCTTTTCTCTTTCCCAGGCAGCAGTCTGGCTGGTCCCCATTCCTCTCTTGCAAGCTCATTTGTGTTTGGCTGATCCCTATTCCTCTCTCCCCAGTGTTGACTGTCTGAGCCATAATGGAGTGACAGTGTAAGGGTGTGAGGACCATTTGCATATTAGTTCTTTATTATATAGGATTGGAAAGGGAGAAATATCAATCCTTTCCTCAAATTTGTTTTCCTCCCTTAAAGAAGAAATGAGTAATTCAGAGTCTTTGATGCTTAACAATTCTGTAAAAATAGTTTCTACAACTGGACAATTATAATTGTTATAATTATTTTATAATATTATAAAGTTCAAAGATTGTTCTATTTGAAGATAATAAAACTGACAAATCAGAGCAGTTAAATAGTTAGATGATGTCTTAGAACATGTCAAACTTGTGGCCCACAACGATTATTTTTATGGCCCCAGCCAAAATAATGATATGTAAGAAATGTTTTAATAAAAATTTCATAACTTAATTTTTACAATATTCTGTTATACATAATTATTAATAACGAACTACAATGTTCGCTAATGACTGATTACTATGATTGTGTTGCATTTATTTTCCTTACAGGCCTTACAGGCAGGCACACCATTTCTTTCCACTAATACTAACAGCAAATACGTTAGCAGCCGACTGCCAAGTCATTAGTCTTGTTCTGACTTGTTTGGTGTGTGCAAAAGGAAATATTTCACTTTCAGAGAACAAGAAAATAGGTTTGTGTTACACTTATTAATTTGTGCAGTTATTCTGGGCCTGTAAATTAATGCTGAAGAAAAATATTAATTTTTATTAAAATATTCTATTATTATTTGATGTTAACAATTACTCATTTACTTCAGCCCTTTGTATTCAGCATGTCTGTATCAAAACAAACCTACGTTCCTATGACAATTGAAGCTTTTGGGTTTTTGCAGCCCACATAAACTTAAACCTTATTTGTGGCTTGTGTTAGCCTTTGAGCTTGACATGCTTATCTTAGAAAATTGAATCACTGAAATAACACTTATACAGTGAAACCTCAGTTCTTGAACTTAATTCGTACCAGAAGTCTGCTTAAGAAGCAATTTGTTAAAAACCAAATCATTTTTCCCCTCTAGAAATAATGTAAATTGAATTAGTTCATCCCCAAATGATTCTTACATACAGTACATGTCTAATGAACTTCTTATATACAGTACATGTCTAAAGAACTTCTTATATACAGTACATGTCTAGTGAACTTCTTAATCTATAAATAAATATACTTTTCTTACATTGAACCATCCCCTACTAGCCCAGTGGTTGGCAAACTGCAGCTCTCGAGCCACGGTTTGCTGCTCTGTTGACTAATGAGTTTGCCGACCACTGTACTAACCTTAAAGGAAGTTTTCATATATCACTGCCTACAAAATGCTATCATCAACTAACTGCTTTTTCTTTATCCAAATCAACAATAGTTTTTCACTCCATTCAATTGCCCATACTAGCTGTTTCCTGAGCACTTTTACACCCCTACCAACATTAGTACTCCTGATGGCCTCTTTATGCTTTGAATTGTGCTAAAGGTAGATTTAGCCAGCAACAAAAGCATTCTCTCCTTTGTTGCCTAAGAGATGCTTTTTATCATGCTGAGGTATTCTGAAAAGGTTGTCAGCTGGAAAACTGAAATTTTGGTCAACAACCAAGGTCTGACTGTAAAAATGCTTTTGCTAAAACCAATGGCATTACATTTTACTTCTTAAAAAAAAATCTTCTCAATTATAAAATTACAGAAAATAAAGGAATAAATCAAACACCCAAAGTATAAAAAAAGAAAATAAAGTTTGTCTCAATTCTGTCACGTGGAAATAAAATAGAAGAAATAGCTAAATGTTAAAAGTAAGGTCTCTCTCATCCAGCCAGTACAGCTCAATTGGTTAGAGTATACACCAAAATTGCAGGTTCGATCCCCAGTCAGGACACATACCAGAATCAACCAATGAATGTGATAACTTAATTCTATCATATGGAAAACTGTAAATCTGCTTTTGCCCAACCTTGTACTTCTCATAGCTATGAATAATTAGTAATTAATTATGTTTAATACAGACACCATAAAAATTCTAAGATAAACAAAATAATATATAATCTAATATGTATCCAAGAGCCCTAGCCGGTTTGGCTCAGTGGACAGAGTGTCAGTCTGTGGACTGAAGGTTCTCTAGTTCAATTCTGGTTAAGGGCACACGCTCGGGTTGGGGGCTCATTTCCCAGAGGGAGCATGCAGGAGGCAGACGATCAATGATTCTCATCATCAATGTTTCTTTCTCGCTCTTCCTTCCTCTCTGAAATAATTTTTTTTTTAAATGTACCCAAAAAAGTATTATCTATTCAACTCAATGGGGTATTTCTTTCCCAGAAAAGCAAAAGGATGGTAAACCTTGTTTGAAGGTACTCTTAGCAACTACAGGCACCATGAGTTCTCTGAAGGGCCATCTACTAGCTTAAGTGGGAAGCTGAGCAAATAGCAGAAAGGTAATGAAAAAATAAGGGAAATCTAAAAACCTTTTCCTTAGGCAATGTTTGGCTCCCTGGTGACACCTGCTGGCTTAAAAAAGGAATACACCTGAAAGCTGTTTAGTGAAAGTAAAAAATTCAATTAAAAATGCATTTATATTCCATCCAGCCCTTAGTCTGAAGTCATCAAAGCTATTAGAAATTAAGTGTGATGTGGTAGGAGCACTAGGATAAGGGTGCTTTAAAAATGTTATATCTTCTGCCCTAGCCTGTGTAGCTCAGTTGGTTGGGTATTGTTTGATTCTGGGTTAGGGCCCAGGCTCAGGTTTCAGCCTGATCCCTGGTGGGGGTGGGAGTGAGGAGGTGGCATGCGGGAGGTAGCCAATCAATGTTTCTAGCTCACATCAATGTTTCTTTCTCCCCCCTCTCTCTCAAAAAAACAAAACAAAAAAATCAAATAAAAAAATTCTTATAAGAAACTTGACCCTATGCTTCCACTGCTTTTCTGTGCTGCAAACCAATAAGTCACACCTAGAATCAATGTCATAAATTCATTATAAATAAGTTACATTATTCTGTTTTGCTTTTCTCTCTTGGGTAGGATGTGGTAGTCTTGCTTTATACTGATTCTGCTTTACAGCAACCAGTATTATAGCAAGGTTCTAAACTATTTATATAGATCTGATTTATAACTATATTTATATAACAATTACTGATCACATTATTATATATCATATATATGCTATCTATTATGCACATGTCATATCTTAAATATAAATAAGTATACAAATACTAACTATAGGGGCCCCCCCCAAAATGTATACACACTTTGAGTAATTAATAATTCCAATGGGTTAAATCTGAAAAGATACATCAATTGAGCTATCCCAAAAGAGTGTGTATACGTTTTTTGGGGACACCCTGTGTATAATTACATCACTGCTCTTTGACATCTTTTAATTTTGGCCTTATTTATTTCATTAATGTAAAATATCTCATACTGAAGAATGTTATACTTGCCTCTTTTAAAGGATCAAGTTTAAACTGTTGTCAGTTTCAAACTGCACCTAGAACAGACACTGATGGTTTTAGAAAAGAAACAGAAAGTATACCTGGAGGTTAAAGAAAGGTGATTGTAGTGAATTAGCCAGCTCTCAGACTACTAAGGCAAAGCCATCAACCCTGAGTGTTCCAGTGAGAGAGGAGGCAGCTTTGAGGAACTAAAGATGCTCCAGTGCCCACTATGGCTCAGATACTTTACTCAGGCTCTTTCATTAATTCTCACAACCCTGCAAGGTAGATACCACCTCTTAATCATCTTCTTACAGCTAACAAACCTGAAGTTCAAAGAGGTTAAGAAACTATAGCTAGTTTGCTAAAAAACTGGAATTGTAACTCTAATTGGCTTGACTTAAAAGCTATCTTTTCCAAAACATTACACTACCCTGAGAGATAAGCAGTGTGTTCTCCAAGCCTAAAGAAGAGTAATTCTGGCATTTTTCTCTGGAGCTCTTATTGTCCTTCTTTTCTCCTCACTTCTGTGTTCCGTACCCTGAGGGTCAGTGCTGTAGATTCACTGCTCTCCGGATTAAGAAAGCTAAATTTCACCTTCATCTCCATCCTGCAGTCAAAAGGTTATCCCTCAGGCAATGTTTTTCTTTTTAAAATTTAGTTCCAATTCATGAGAGAGTCAAAAACACAATCTAACAAGTTGTGTTTAGCTTTTAAAACATGAAAAAACTGAAAACAGAGGGCACAGCAAATAATACGGATTTTTTTGTAAATTTTTGTTCTAGTTACGTGTGTACACCATTTAGTTATATGATTGTGTACGGTATGAAATAATGTATTTCATTCTAAAAAGAATGGTCAACAAAGTTAAAACTGTTATTATTTCATGACTTAAGAGCCATCTTCAGGGGGTAGGGACTGAGTGAAGGTGGGCAAAGGGGGTGAAAGTTGGGACATCTGTAATACTTTTAACAATAAAAATAAAGAAGAGCCATCTCCAGCCCAGAAAACTATCAGATATGTTTCCACTAACTTTAAATGTGGTAAAAATGTGCAGAAAATGATCTTTTCAAAGTCCAAGTCACAGATTATTTTTATTTAATCTAAATTAGCAAAGGTTAACCTCTGATTCACATCAACCTAAATCAAAACTCTTTGTCAAGTTTCTATTGAGCAAAAGGTGGTCCAATTAGCTAAAATATCATCAATATAACTAAATTTTAGGAAGGTTAATCCCTTATAGTTATTTATAATGTGTTAGTAGTAGCTGAAAACTCAGATCCAAAAAACCATTGGGGAAAAGCAATTAACACTTACCTTCTGGAAATTTCAAAATCAAATGCTTTGGAAAACTTACTTTCATATTTATCCTTTCCCATGTAAATAGTGTAAGCAGATGAGTTAACTAAGACAAAACAAAAATAAAAAGTGGTTAGATAACTTCATCACCAAAAGTGTTTCATAGGAAAAACAAGCGACAAATGCTTCGATTTGGGGTTGACAAAAAACATGGCCTACAGGCCAAATCCAGCCCTGCTTTTAGACAGACCTCAAGCTAAGAATGATTTTTATGTTCAAAAAACAAGAAAGAACAAGCTACAGAGACATGGCACACAAAGTCTAAAATACTTACAATCTGGCCCAAACAGAAAGTTTACAGACTCTTATTAAAAAGTAGAGGCTCAATGCACAAATTCGTGCACCAGTGGGGTCCCTTGGCCTGGCCTGTGGGATCAGGTCAAAACCAGCTCTCCGATATCCCCTGAGGGGTCCCAGATAGTGAGGGCCCAGGCCAGGCCGATGGACCCCACCGGCACACGATTGGGGCCTGGGAGGAACATGGAGGTCGGCTAGCTGGGGAGGAACCAGGGAGGGCTCCAGGGAGTGTCCCGCCCATCTTGCTCAGTCCCAATCAGCCGGACCCCAGCAGCAAGCTAACCTACGGGTCAGAACATCTGCCCCTTGGTGGTCAGTGCACGTCATAGTGGGCCTTAGTATATCATTAGAATATTATGCTTTGATTGGTTGAATGGATGACTGGACACTTAGCATATTAAGCTTTTATTATATAAGATTATACAAAATAGCTACTTTCCTCAATAGAATTTAATGCAATTTTAGTTCTGTCCTTTGCTTTTGCCTTCTTCAAAAGAATTAAAAACAAAAAAACACAATAAAATACTTTCACCCCATCACTTAAAAATAGGTTCCTATACTTAGTCAAGTTTTATTTTTCATAATTCTAGTTAGCAAATATTAAATTACATTTCAGGTGTGCTACAAATTATAATGGGATCCCTGTTCCATTAGGAAGAAACATGACTCTTAAACTTGTAAAAGTGACATTGTAAAAGTCATGAAATGTTACTCTGAATTCTGATTACATATTAGAATCGCCTAAGGATACCTCAGCTCCACCTAAGACTAACCAAATCCTGATCTCTGGGGGCAGGCCCTGTTTTTGTTTTTGTTTTTAAGATCTCCAAGTGATTCTAGTGTGAAATCATCGTTAGGAACCATTATTCTAAATCAAACCAAATATTCCAGGTATGGCTTACAGTAGGAATGACATTTATTTTGCCGAGCTAGAGTTTAACAAGGGCATCCTCCATTTGGAGTAAAACAAAAAGTTAAGTTTTCTAACTGATATGCTAACTGGGTCCTGGTTTCCAAGTTAGTCTACCTAAACTTATTTGATCCCATTTAGATCTAAACTCCTAGTTACTGGGTTCTCAGTCTACAAAGCCTGACACACAGGTGGCAAAGGTTGGGCTAGGCCAGTGGTCGGTAAACTGTGGCTCTCGGGCCACATGTGGCTTTTTGGCCCCTTGTGTTGCTCTTCCACAAAATACCATGTTCGGGCACGCACACGTACAGTGCGATTGAAACTTCATGGCCCATGCGCAGAAGTCAGTTTTCAGCTCTCAAAAGAAATTTCAATTGTTGTACTGTTGATATTTGGCTCTGTTGACTAATGAGTTTGCCGACCACTGGGCTAGGCAGTCTGTTGGGTGTCACTCCAGAACACAGAACTATCATATGCAAGTGGAGCTGCTGCCAAAGAGCAGCATTCTTTCATTGTAGATTCTAAAATTCAGGATTGCCTGTACTTTCGGTAATGAAGCACTCCTAAGTCATCAATTGTGGTTCTCTCTCTTGGGGAAAGAAAACTCCCAATGCCTTCAATTAGCAGTTATAATGACTACAATCCATAATTACTTAAAAGTAGTTGAAATAGCTTGAAAGGAGAGAATGTTTGCATTGATTAGCTAACTGAAATATGGTACTTATCTACAACTGAGCACTATATTAGCATGATAAGGCCTTAGCATGGCATATAGCAAATGCCAAAAGTACAGGAATAAAACTAGAAAGTGTTTCAGAGTTTCTCTGCACAACCTGACAATAATATTATACATGTTGATACATGTACCTTGTTAATCCTATGTCACCACTTGGAATACATCCTAATTAAATACTTCATCAAGCAATGATGTTCTTTTTACAATCTAAACACTAATTATACTAGTTAAACACATTATAGTACATCCATTTAAAAATGCCATGTACCCATTTAAAAAGATATGCCCACATGATTTTTGTCTTTCTATATACAGTAAGATTCAATTGGTAAAAAAAAAAAAAAAAAATATATATATATATATATATATATATATATACACACACACACACATATATATATATATATATGTACTTTGTATATACACATCTAAATATCTTTTTTTAATATATGCACCCATTTTCTTTCTATGTACAGAAGGATATACAGCTTAACAAGTTACCTTAGTTTTCTCACAGAATATACAGTTGGTTTTTGCATTCAGAACAAAATTAATTTTAAAAACGATTAAAATTAAATAAAGCTGTTTGTGTTGGCCAAGGTATCTAACTTAAGCCAAGAGAATGACAGATGACTGTTTGGATGGTTGACCTATAAAATGAGATGATTAAGAACATTAACTGCTAGTAACCCAAACTGAGAGGCATTCTACAAAACAATTCAACTAACTGAGTCATGAAAGGCAGAGACTGAGCACACGCTCCAGATTAGGAGACTAAAGAGTAATGAATGACAACTGAATGCAATGATTTGTAATTTTCCTTTCTTATACACTAGTAGCCCTGCACACAAATCCGTGCACCAGTAGCTCCCTCCTCCCCGCTTCCCTTCCCCACAGCTTGCTGCCCTGCCCCCTCCTGTACCTCTCGGCTTCCTGCTGATAGCTCGCTTCCCCACCCTCCACCCTCCAGCTAATCTGAGATCTGGTCATTACTTAATGGTCATTATGCTTCACAGAGAGCATCAATCAGCCTATGGACTGAATGGTTCCAGGTTCCATTCCGGCCAAGGGCATATGCCCAAAAGGGGGCATGCAGAAGGCGCCAATGATTCTCTTTCATCACTGATGTTCTCTCTCTCTCTCTCTCTCTCTCTCCCTCTTCCTTCCTCTCTCTGAAATCAATAAAAATATATTTTAAAAATTAATAAGATAATGTCCTTAGTTTAGAAAAAAATACTTAAGTATTTAAGGGTAAATTGCAACTTACTAACAAATTGTTCAGGAGAAAATATTGTGCGTGTCTGTGTCTGAGGGGGTTAGAGCAAAGGGGAAAACTAAGATAAGACAAATGTTAGAATTTGGTTAGAAAAGGTAAAATGTTAGAATTTGGGGGATCTAAGAGAAAAATAAAAAGGAAATATTTTACTGTTCTTAGAACTCTTTTGAAAGACTGCAATTATGTCAAAATAAAAAATTAAAAATAAAATGAGGATGACTGCTGATCAAGAAGCAAACAAAGAAAAAATAAACTGGATTATTTTATTATTCTCACCCAAATAAAAGGGTTGATTAGTATGGGAAAGAATCATCTTGAGCTTTTAGCACATGTTACCAATTATGACTAAAGAATTTAATAGATTCAGCATTGCATTAAAAAAAAAAAAATCATCTTGAGACCTGATTCAGGTGTAGCAACCAACCCAATTTTAGAGGCTCGGTGATAATCTCATACTTTACAGAACAATTTATCCTAAGATAGATGCTATTAAAGGTACTAAAAGTACAAGTGGACTTAATGAGCAAAGTGCAAGTATTTTATGGGTCCATAAAACATATGGTCTTGAATTTGATATTGGAAATACAGTAAAGTGAATGTCTCATTATGCCATTATGAGAAAGCATGAAAGAATAAAATTGAACAGATTTTAGTCAGAGATACTAATCTTAAAACAAAAGGAAAGGTAAACACTTTCTACTGAGACTTTTCTCCCCATTTAAAAAAAATGTTTTATGTGGTAACCACTTGGTTAAAAGCTTGGCTACCTCTACGAAGTCATTTCCTAAAGATTCTGCATTTCAAGTTTTTTTGTTTTGTTTTTTTGTGTTTTTTCCCCCTGTTTGGAATACGTATGTAGTTTTACTATTTCCCTGGAAAAGTTATAATTTTCCCATTAACTTTGGAATTTTAAAAGATTTGCTGCACAAATGCAGTTTTAGTAAGGCTAAGTATTTTTCCCACAGAAAGCAATTCTGACATTATAATGGAAGCCAATGAGAAAAATATGATTCACAAACCGGCTGAAGCACTCTCGTTCTATTAAGGGCACCTGCATATGTATGACCAGTGCTCAAAGAATTAGAATAAGCTTTGAGGAGAATAAAGTAACCAGCATAAAAATAATTTTATACCTGTATACCCTGCCTGTACTTTCTGTTTCCTTTCAAACTTGAATAGATATCTATGTTGTTGGGGACTTTCACGAGTGAAGAAACTCCAAAGAGATGCTCAAGTGATCTTATGACAGAGGGCGCAAGACAGAACAGAGGAAGGACTGAAAATGCGCTCAGGGGCCTATGAATGCTGTCAGGATAGTTTGAATGTAGTGTGTAGTGATTTTAATATGGGTCCGATAAACCAGATCTACAGAGGCAGAGAAATAGCATATGGCACACTGTGGAAGTCTAAACTATTGTACTGAGAAAAATAATGGGATGTGACCGTGTAATTGAGTAGATTGGGTCTGGACCCCAATGTTCTCATCTCTAAAGAGAAAGTACAAAACGCTACATACCCATTAAAAAAAGGGGGGGGGGCAAAAGCAACATGGAGCTCACCTTTAACAAGCAAGCAGGGTCAGTAGCAACAGCAAAGTGTGTTATTATTAAGTAAAAAGATTACATTCATTTACCCAACAAGCCATCTACTGAGTAACTATTATGAGCCAGGCACTATGCTAGGAAAACAGGATAAAGAGAAGACATCTGGTCCCTGCCTTCCAGGGGTTTACTACCTTACGTACAATGCCAAAGGTATACACGGAGTGTTAAGGAGTGTATCGAAGAGGTGTATCAAAGCAATCTCTCGGATGGGAGCTGGGTCGGAAAAGGCATTTGAAGAAGATAAGCCAGAGCTGTCTTAAGGGTGTAGTACTTAAAACTGGGCACTGATTTTAGCAAAGGGAACCACATAAGCCGAGAAACGAAGTCTAGGCACAGCACTGAATGCCAACAGCAAACCAGAAACATCATCCGATGTCACTTCTCAAGATCCGAGACGTCAATTCTGCCCAGGGAGTGGCTTTATTGCCATTCTAGGGTCTTTTCATGGCTCTCTGCTGCATCCCAGACCCTAGAAGGCCAGGGCGTGCTTGCCATAAGGCAGAGTTGCTGGCAAGTGTCTTTTTTTGTTTTGTTTTTTTAATCAAAGAGCATAATTACCAGGGCACAGGCAGAATAAAGGCCACGGTAGTGGTGGTAGTAGTAGTAGTGGGTCTTGAAATGAGGTGTCAAGAAGCCCACAAACTGCCCAATTCCAGGTAACGAAGGGAGCTCATCTCAACTCCTGGATGCTTAGACCGCGGGGCGGGGGGGGGGGAGGGGTGGAGAGTCCCTCCGCAAACCCCCCATCCCCAGACCCAGAGGAGGGGGCACTCGGAGGGAGACCACCGGAATGAACGGCACAGGGGACCGGGAGGGCGCGGGCAGAGGCAGCCAGCGCGGAGGAGGCGCTTCCCAGCGAGGTCCAGGCTCCGCGACAGCCTGGGGGGAGCCCGGCTTCGGGAGCGCCCCGCGGGGCACGGACGCCGGGGTCGCGGCGCCCACTCACCGCTGCTGGTGAAGTAGAACACCATGATCGCGGCGGCGGGCGACTCCGGCGTGGAGCGGAACCACCCGATTCTCGAGGCTCCGGATACCAGACGCCGAGGCCACCGGTTCCCGGGAGCCTCTGCGCGCACTTCCGGCGGATGTTGGGCAGCGTCATAACGCAGGCTCCGGGGGCGCCATGTTTTATCCTGGCGCGGCGGAGGGCGTTGGGCGGGGCCGCGGTGTTTCTGGGCCCAGAGGATGGTGCCAGGACGACTGGTGGTTGGGAAATACAGCGGGAAAAGCCATATTTTATTTTTATTGTTTTTAAATTAAGTATATATTTTATAGATTTTTTTTTTTTTTTTTTTTTTTTTTTTTTTTTTTTTTTTTTTTTTTTACAGAGAAGAAGGGAGAGGGATAGAGAGTTAGAAACACTGATGAGAGAGAAACATCGACTTGCTGCCTCCTGCACACCCCCTACTGGGGCTGTGCCTGCAACCACTGGAATCGAACCTGGGACCTTTCAGTCTGTAGGCGGACACTCTATCCACTGAGCCAAACCCGTTAGGGCTATTCTTTAAAATTGAGTTTATTGGGGCAACATTGGTTAATAAAATTACATGGGTTTCAGGTGTACAATTGTAATAATATACATCATCTGTGTATTGTACTGTGCACTCATCATCCCAAGTCAAGTCTCCATCACTGTTTAGCACCCCCCATATCCTTTTTTACCTACCCCAATCCCCTTGAAATGCCACCATCTTTAAAAAATATATATATTTTATTGATTTTTTGCAGAGAGGAAGGGAGAGGGTTAGAGAGTTTGAAACATCAATCAGCTGCCTTCTGCACACTCCCCACTGGGGATGAGCCCGCAACCAAGGTACATGCCCTTGACTGGAATCGAACTTGGGACCCTTGGTCAGGGCAAATGCCACCATCTTAAAAGAAAAAATGTCACCGAAACTGGTTTGGCTCAGTGGATAGAGCGTCAGCCTGCGTACTGAAAGGGGGTATGCAGGAGGCAGCTGATCGATGTTTCTCTTTCATCGATGTTTCTAACTATCCCTCTCCCTTCCTCTCTGTAAAAAAATCAATAAAATATATTAAAAAAAGAAAAATGTCATTAGCTGAATTTGTTTTCAGAACCTTCACCCAGTGGAAGGTTAAGTCCTGAGGCTTATCAGTTGGTTTTATCTGCTTCCCCACCCCTAACCCCATTCCCTGACCCACCTGGGCTCCCAGAAGAACAGAAACTGTTTGTCTTCTTCACAGCTGGGTGTTCACTCCACCAATGGCGGTGCCTGACACTTCCTTAGTTCATTAAGTTTTGAATGAACCCAAATTCCTCCACTTTTGTCATTCTAGGTCCACCACTTGTAAGGCACACCTTTTGATTTTTCTGTGCTTCACTTAATATGCAAAATGTAGATGGTATAGATAGTGGAGCAGCTCATTCATAGATTATTTTGTTAGGTTTAAATACGTTAATGGGAGGGAAGGGTTAGAATATAGCACTCAAGTGAGTTGCCGACAGGCAATATACTTCTTGGAATTGGACTACCACTGTTCTGCCTTTAAGATCCACCAACTGCCCAAGCCGGTTTGGTTTAGTGGATAGAGTGAAGGGACTGCAGCGAAGGGTCTTGGGTTCAATTCCCAATGGGGGCACATGCCAGGGTTGTCAACTTGATCCCCAGCAGGGGGTTTGCAGGAGGCTGCCTATCAATGGTTCTCTCTTAGCAATGATGTTTATATATCTCTCTTCCTTCCTCTCTGAAACCAATAAAAAATACATATTTTAAAAAACCAACCGTTACTTGTGAGATGGGACAAATTACAAACCTGTGACTCTTAGATTGCTTTCTGCTGTAAATTGGTAATGATTTTACTCCGGTGAAGCTGTTACTCTTATGTCATAACTTAAATTTACTTAGAACTAAAAGTGTTCCAGAGAGTACCAGGAGTTGGTAACACAAAGATATGGTAAAAGTAATAGCTAACAACCAATGACTGTTAGGAACATTCCAGTTCCCCAAAGTAGGAACCTAGTTATATCCTATAAATAGTGATTGTTTTCAAGTCCTCTGTAAAATGGGAATAGTAATACATATCTCTTAGATTGTGATGTGGAGTAAATAAAACAACACACGTAAAGCGTGCAAGAATGTCTGGCACATACCAGATACTAGTGCCATGATTTAATTTTTTAAATTTAACTTGAAAAGTTAAAAAAAAATGCTAGAAACCTGACGTATTACAAATAAAAAGGTTAACTAACGCTAAGGTTGCAAACTTGAAATGTAAGTTTATATCGAAAAGGTTACTTCACAAAAACATCTTACACCAAGTGAACCCCAGGATGTTCAAAAGGGCGCCTCTATTTTACGGAAAAACTACAACTCCCAGAACGCACCTAAACAAGGCCTGGCCGCAAGGGGTTGTGGGTGACTTTCGGGAAGCAGAGTACCTTTGGCCTCCCAAGGGCGGGAGAATCTTGGAGACCGCCTCTGAAGTGGGTGGGGCAATAACTAGAGCACGACCAATCACCGAGCCAGTTTCTGGAAACTCTGAGAAGCGGCCAATCAGAACGCAGCAGCTTCCGCCTCGCCGGGCGCGGGATAATTTGAATACAGCGGCGGGGCAGCGGGCTTGGCTGGGGAGAGCTCGCCAGCTCTGAGGTGCAGGTAATTGCAGTGAAGGCTGCGGTTTGGGATGGAACGAGGGGGGCTGGAGATTCTATAGGACGTGGTGGGGCTGCGTGTCAAGGAGCGAGAGAACTTTTTCTCTGGACTTGGCGCGTCGGCGGCTTGACACCGAAGCCACCAGCCGGTTCGGCACACTTCCAGGTCGCCGGGTTTCCGTCTTCCCTACGCCGGGGTTTTCTGGTCTTTTTGCTCCGAAAGGCACTCTTTTCCTCATTCCGTCGTAAAGAGGTCTTCTCGCTTATAACTAGGTTCTTGCTTTGGGGAGCTGGAATGTTCCTAGCACAGTCATTGGTTGTTCGCTATTACTTTTACCGTATCTTTGTGTTACCAGCTCCTGTATGTTACTGTCGGAACATTTTTAGTTCTACATAAATTTAACTTATGACTTAAAAGAGTAATAGCTTTACCGGAGTAAAAAGGGGCCGCAGCTAGACATTAGTTCCCAGAGACCCGGGTCTTTCCGTTTAACTTTGAAATCACGCTTTTAAAAACATGAACCTGACCCGAAGGTAAGAGGAAACTTTTACCGAGCAAACAACATGCCATCTGCTCGAGAGTGAAGTTACATGATTGTTCGACCGCCGTCGAAGGTCAGGGCGTTTTATAAAAGGGAACCAGCGGCCCTGGCCGGTTTGCTCGCTGTTCAGAGCATCGGCCTGCGTCCTGAAGGGTCGCAGGGTCTCAGGTTCTACTCCCGTCAAGGGCTTGTGTGTTAGACGCTGGCTCATCCCCTCCCCGTGGGGGCGTGTTGGGGAGGCAACCAGGCGACGTGGCTCTCACACGTGGATGTTTCTGTCTCCCCACCTCCCTTTCATTTTCCTAAAAAAAAAAAAAAAAATGCCCTCGGGTGAGGATTAACAACAAACAATAAAATGGTGACAAGGATAACATAAAAAGTGAAAAAGCAGCCGGGGCCGGTTTGGCTCAGTGGATAGAGCATCTGCCTGCAGACTGAAGGGTCCCGGGTTCGGTTCCGGTCAGGGGCCTGTACTTTGGTTGCGGACACATCCCCAGTGGGGGGTGTGTAGGAGGCAGCTCATCAATGTTTCTCTCTCATCAATGTTTCTAACTATCTATCCCTCTTCCTTCCTCTCTGTAAAAATTCAATAAAATATAAAAAAAAAGAAAAAGTGAACAAGCGGCTTGATCCAGGGTCCTCGGCTAATAAAATAGGAGAGGTTTATGCTTTGCCTGTTTTTTTTTTTTTTTTTTTTTTTTTTTTCTGGATTCTGATGAAAATTACAAACGATTCATTGCATATACAGGTTATTGAGAAACCGTTATATCAACCAGAAAATGTGTTAAATGGAATATAAAGGAAGCATAGATGGATTGGAAGCATAGGACAGCATCTCACAGTGGCGGGTGTAGGCTGAGGGCAATGTCAAGGGAGGCGTTCCAGATGAAAAGTGTTTTAACTTGGTAGGAATTAATCAGGCTAATTACAAGAGAACATGTGCCCTGAAATGAGGTAAAAAATACTTCCTTTCTGATAGGGTCATTTCCCTGCTTGTATTTCCTGTTCTCATTGCTACTGTGATGTAGTGTTTTTCCTTTTTTTTTTTTTTTTTTTAATATTTTTTAAATCTTTATTAAAGTAATTTGCTTTAGAAATTATCCTTTTCTTGGATCTATAACCATTACCCATCTGAAAATTTTTTCAAACTTAAAAAAATATATATATTTTATTGATTTTTTTACAGAGAGGAAAGGAGAGGGATAGAGAGTTAGAAACCTCAATGAGAGAGAAACATTGATCAGCTGCCTCTTGCACATCCCCCACCGGGGATATGCCTGCAACCAAGGTACATGCCCTTGACCGGAATCGAACCAGGGACCTTACAGTCCCTAGGCCGACGCTCTATCCACTGAGCCAAACCGGTTTCGACTTTTTCAAACTTTTAAGATATAATTTTGGTATACTGGTTTTTATGCACATTGGGTGAATTTGGTCATTGTAATTGTCTTGTTGCTTTTAGGGTTTCAGTTAAGAAGATGTCAGCTTTTACTCCAAGAAAGAGGAAGCAGAATTCTTTGAACTGTGACAAGTGAGTCTCATCCTATGGGTAGAAATTCAGAAAAGAAGAATTCACCTTTGGACTTTCTTATCTTCTCTTAAAATGTCCCTTCTTTCACTGGCCTACTTCTTGTAGCTATAATAATATTTTATATTCTAATTCTAGTCTGGGAACACTGTAAGCTTTTATAATTAACTAGAGGCCCAGTGCACAAAATTTGTGCACTCAGGAAGTCCCTCAGCCTGGCCCGTACCCTCTTGCAGTTGGGAAGTCCTCAGGGCATGTCTGACTGCCAGCTTAGGCCTGCTTTCTGTGGGGAGTGAGCCTAAGCCAGCAGTCAGACATCCTTAGCACTGCCAAGGAGGTGGGAGACTCCCACCATCACCGCCACTGTGCTTGCCAGGCTCAGGGCTTCTGGCTGAGTGGTGCTCTCCCTGTGGGAATGTAGTGACCACCAAGGGGCAGCTCCTGTGTTGAGCGTCTGCCCCCTGGTGGTCAGTGCGAGTCATAGTGACCCGTTGTTCCACCATTCTGTTGATTTTCGTATTAGCCTTTTATTACATAGGATTATTTAATGCTTTTGCCAGGAAATCAGAGAAAGAGCTGTTTCTCTGTGGCTTCTAAATGTATGTCAAATCTTTTATTACCTTGCTCCTTTTAACTCTTTATGTAACAACATAGCATTGTTTTAAAATTATTTTTTATTTTTTTATTATTTTTTTAACATAGCATTTTGCATACAATAGATACTTGTTTGTAAGCAATGCTAGAAAGTCTGGGTACTTAGTACTTTATCACATGTCATACCAGATATAAATTATTCCCCACAGAACAGGCCCTAATTACATAGAATTAATTATTTTAGGGGACTTATAGCCACTCAAGCAAAGTATATGGGCTATAATTTGTATATGGCCAGGACTTTGAAATAGATTTTAAAACACTTATCTCTAAGCTTCTTTGTAAACTGTTTTCATAAACACTGTCTTTTGAAAAATAATTGAATGCTTTGGTAAAAACGTAATTTGAGAATCCTACTGTTAAAACAAATAATGTGTGTGAATGGATGTTTGGTGAGAAGATATATTGTTTTGTAGTGTGACCATTGGGTAGAATTTTTTATTACTTAGTAGATTGACATAAAAGATTGAAGCAAAATAACAGTTCTTAACAATGGACTTTTTTTTTTTAGCCTATTATCTGACATTCCATCAAAGAAATTAATTTTGGATTTTACTGAAAATATGTTTTCATCACCTAATAAAAAATATATTTGCCAAAAGAATGAAGAAAACTGCTGTCAACCAGACCATTTCACTTCAAGTCTTCTCAAAACAACTAAAACAGAGAGATTACCATCTGCAAATCAAGGTTCACCTTTTAAATCATGTGTGTCTACTGTATCCTTTTACAACAAAAATAATAGTAAGTGTTACCTCAATCCATTGGAGAGAAAGATGATAAAAGAGAGTAGATCCATTTGTCTAAAAACTAATAATGAAGATACATCTTTTCCCAGTGTGACAGAAAAAATGCAGGAAAAACCAATCTGCTCCAAGAAGATAAAGAAAAAACCACAGAAGAGTTTAACTGCTAAGTGTCAACCAAGTTATAAGTGCAACAAACCTGTATCAAAGAATTCTAAAAATTCCAAGCAAAATCGAGTGGCCTACAGACCAATTGTAGGGAAAGAGAATAGTTGTTATTCAGCTGAAAATAATTTAAATGCTCCTCGAGTTCTAAGCCAAAAAGTCAAACCACAAGTAACACTCCAGGGTGGAGCAGCATTTTTTGTTAGGAAAAAATCCTCTCTTAGAAAATTGTCTCTGGAAAACAAGCCATTACTGGGACTCACCCAGGAGAATAAATCAGAAATGATTAAAGATTCTGATGTAGAGACTGTCAATGAAAGAAAAAGTTTGGAGACAAGGCAAGTGCCAAAGTGCTTGTTGCCACAAAAGGAACTGAACATTGAGCTTCTGGGTATAAGAAATAAAAATGAAGAGAAATTAATAAAGGTAAAGAAAACTAAACATACCATTTTAAAAACTAAGTTGGCTATATAACAAAACTTCAGTATACATACTATATATGTAACATAATTGAACAAAATGTTTTTTTCTTTGCATTCTGGATGGCTGCTTTTATGAAACCAAATAGCATAGTTTAATCACTATAAAAAATTTAGAGGCAGGATGGAAAGATGGGACTTTTCTCCCCTTTTTGGCTTAAGGAAGCCTACCAACATTTCCTTGGCATTAACGTATACATTTTTATTAAATTTCCTCATGACAAACTGAAGTCCAGAAAAACTTAACAACTTTTATTCGATAGTGTTTTTAAACAAAATTCATGTAGTAGGTTTCCAGAGTATGAGCATATGGTGTTTTGTTTTAACTTATTATTTAAAGTACTGGATTGTAGAAAATTTAGAGGTCACAGAAAGTATAAAAGTATATCTTCTGTAAACCCATTACTTGGAGATGATCACTGTTAACATATCACTAGTTGGATTTTTGTTTATTTTTTGTAGCATGTTTTCATGGTTGCCATTCTATGCTTTTGATCTTACTCATAAATTTAATACAGCCAGCCCAGACTAACTAATGTCTGTTAGAAATAGAATAGAAATAGAAATGCATGTAATTTAAATTTTTTATGGCCACATTAAAAAGTTTTTTGAAAATGTTTAGCCTAATAATATATAGGTAGGTGTGTGTATGTGTGTGTGTGTGTGTGTGTGTGTGTGTGTATTATATATATTGTATATATATTTTAAATTTTAAAAAATATATATGTTTATTGATTTCAAAGAGGAAGGGAGAAGAAGGGATAGATAGATACATTAATGATGAGAGAGAATCATTCATTGGCTGCCTCCTGCACACTCCTGGGGATTTGAGCCTGTAACCCGTATACCCTGATCTGGTTCATAGGTCAACGTTCAACCACTGAGCCACAACAGTCAGGTCAAAAACCTATATCTTGATGGGGGTTTTGAATTTAGGTTCATATAAGTTTATCAAAATTCATCAAACTGTATACTTTATATCTGTGCACTTCACTGTATATAAAGTGCCTAAATTTTTAAAAATTGGGGGGACCATTCAAGCTAAAATTAAATCTCAATCCAGCACCCAGTCATCGAGTTAGTATTCTCTATATTTGGTAGAGTGACATGACTAATTATCTGAATGCTCTTTTCTGCTTTATTTTCTGAGCATCATTTTAAGGGTCTGGATATTAGATTCTATCTAGTTGTCATCAGTCTGAGAAGCTGCACTTTTGTGTATCTTAAATTTATGGAACTAGGCTCTCCTCTCTTAATATTTTATTAAGTACTCACTACTACTGTTCATTTCTACTAGCTAGGGATAAAGCCCATTTTCGTTATTGAGTTAAAACCTCTCCCCAACTTGTTATGGAGCCCTACAAAATGGCAAATTGATGGATTATCTCTACTGAGATATTATGGTCTTGTAAAGCAGTTCTACTTTAAGCAAAAGTTTTTTTCCTTTCCCACAAACTAGTATATATTTTCTAAATTTCACCGAACTATAGTATTAGTAAAATTTATCAGAATTCTATTTTGCTTTTTCCACTTCCCAGCTCCTGCCCGAAAAGTGGAGTTTGAAGCCTCCCCAACTATTCCAGAATGTTCTTTTTATGACAAAAAGTCCCTTTCCAGTTTGGTGGCTACTGGGGAAATTTTTGCCATTTTCACTTTTTCTTTTCTTTTTTTTTTTTTAAGGGGTAGGGTGAAAGTTCTTTAGGAGTCTTTTTTTTTTTTTTTTTTTTTTTTTTTTTTTAATATATTTTATTGATTTTTTACAGAGAGGAAGAGAGAGTGTTGGAGAGTTAGAAACATCCATGAGAGAGAAACATCGATCAGCTGCCTCCTGCACATCCCCCACTGGGATATGCCTGCAACTAAGATACATTCCTTTGACTGGAATGGAACCTGGAACCTTTCAGTCCGCAGGCCTCCACTGAGCCAAACTGGTTTCAGCACTATTTCTTTTTTGATGAATTACAAAAAGGGTGTTCAATAAGCTTAAGTCTGCCATCTTTACCAGAATTATAATATATTTTTTATAGGATGACAAATGACGGACTTGTCTTTTAACTGTTTTTTTTTTTTTAATTGATTTGAGAGAGAGAGAGAGAGAGAGAGAGAGATCATTGAGAGAGAAAATATATGGATGCCTCCTTCATGCCCCCACCTGGCCATGTGCTCTGACTGGAAATCGAACCAGCAACCTCTCAGTGCATGGAATGATGCTCAACTATCAATAACTGAGCCACACCAGCCCAGGCTACACTGTCTTTTAAAGGGTTATGTATACTTAGTAAATATGCACTAAATTCTCCTTAAAATAGGATGAAAATTGAGAATTTAAAATCATGTTATAAAATAATTCATAATAAATTAGGTATTTTGTTTTAGAAACAGATCTATTGGAATTCATTCACTAAGTGAAAAATGGTTTTCTTAAATTTTACCTATTCATTATCTTCAGGATTTATCAAGTGGAGTAGTTTCTTCAAGAGAGTATAAATCTGAAGAAAATAAGTGTTTTTCTTCAGAAGATTCTCACAGTGAAAACAAGGCAGGTAAGAGAAAATTTCCCTTCCCATGTATATCTTTGTTGAACTGTACTCAGATCTTTTGCCCATTTTGAATTAGACTGTTTTCTTATTGTTGAGTTGTAAGAGGGTTTTTTGTATTCTGGATACAAGTCCTCGATCAGAAATATAATAGGATTGTAAGTATTTACTCCTACTCTGTGGCTTGTCCTTTCATTTCTTGAGTATTTTTTGCTGAGAAAAATGTTTAAATTTTATAATTCCAACTTAATTTTTCTTTCATCTATTGTGTTTTTGTGTGGAAACTTAGCACAAAACCCAGGTTCATGCAGATTTTTCTCTTATATTTTCTTTTAGAAGTTTTATAGTTTCACATTTTACATTTAAATATGTGATCCATTTTGAGCATGGGTATATATGTAAGAATAGTCATTCTTTTGCATATGGATGTTCAATTGTTCCAGCATTTGTTGACTATCCTTTCTCAATTGAAGTACCTTTGCCTTTTTGTAAAAAAATCAGTTGATTTTATTTGCATGGGTCTGTTTTTAGGCTCTCTATTTTGTTCCCTTGATCTATTTGTCAATCTTTTTGCCAATATCATACTGTCTTGATTGCTATTTCATCTTAACTTTAAGAAATGTATTTGGTCCCATTAGCCTTTAAAATCTTAAGATATAAAGCTTTGAGTTTATTTTGTAATACAAATTATTAACTTTTCCCTCTACCAGTTTCTTCTGAGTCCATTGTCTATCCCATCTTCAGTACATCTTCAGCCAATACAAAAAGGTAGGAATTGTTTTCATTGTAATGTTGTATGATAATTCAATTACTAGAGGCCTGGTGCACAAATTAGTGTATGGGTGGGGTCCGGCCAGCCCTCCCCCATGGGGGCTGATCAGGGCCAGGCAGGCAGGGCCGGGAGAGGCCATACCAGATTGGAGGGTGTGATCAATGCGCTGATCGAGCTGGTTGCCGCCACAGTGCACGTCATAGCAACTGGTCCTTCCAATTGTTCTGTCATTTCTGTCACTTGGCTTTTATATTTATATATAGATGAGTCCTGTGAATCTCTCTCTCTTTTTTTTTTTTTTTTCTTGTACTGTTTTATTTGGAGAGCAATTTTTCCTTTTTCACTAAGGAGAAATTAAGAAGATGGAATCATATCTTTTCATAGACACTTCCTAAGAACCTAAGAGTTGAGAGAAAAGATTTTTATGAGCTCGAAAGAGAAAGTTCTTTATAATTGCTAATATTTTTATGTATAACCGGCCTATATCCATTATATATCCATTATCTCATTTAGTCCTCACAACAACCTAGAAGGAAGATGGCATTATCAATTTCATTTTTAGCTGAGGAAACTTAGTAATTCAGCCACAGCTACACAGCTATTAGGTGGCAGAGCCAGGACTAGAATCCACATCTGAATCAAAGCCCATTGGGCTATATTGCCTTTCCTGGGTGATATTAGTAATAGTTAATGTTTAATGAGCATTTTACAACCTTATGATGTAGGTACCATTATTATCCCCATATTATAGATGAGAAACTCAGGTAAGAGGAGTAATTTGCAACAGTTTGATAAATTCCAGCTGAAGCTACCCCTGTCCTGGTCAAAGCTAAGAGTGGGGTGTGAGAGGCATTTATTTACTACCTATTACTTTAGGCAGACTACAGATTCTCTGGTTCACAGTTTCACATTCTTTTTAGTTTGTTTATTCCTATATTTGGTGAACACCTATGGTATTGAGTACTATGTGGTATTGAACTAACCTGAGTTTTTAGAGCTGTGAAGATGAATAGTACATGGTCTTGCTATGATTAGAGGAGGATAGGCATTTAAGTGAGCACATATAATAAAGTGTTAAAATTGCTAAGACAGAAGTAAAGTGATTGTGGTCATGCATGCTGGGATGGGAAAAACTGAGTCACCTTAGCAAAGGTTGCATAAAGAAGAGGGTGCCAACAACCTAGCCGAGTGTTTTCTATATTACAGGTATTTAACCATTAAAAGCTTGTCAAATCAGTTTAAGCTATTCTGTCAAGTATATTTTCAAATTGATAACGTTGGGCGAAGCTAGTAATTTAGCAGCATTTAAATGGAATACTACATCTCTCTTAGTGAAACATTTTTTTAGTTGTGTGTGTGTCTCTATTGGTCATGATGTAATATAATTCTTACCATAGGTTTGCGAAGTCACTTTGAAAGCCATTTTAATTAAATGATCACAAAACAGTTTGGCTTAGCTTAAAGCATTAGACAGTTTTTTCCCCAGAGTTTTCTTTTTAAAAAAATACATTTGATTTATTTTTACAGAGAGAAAGGGAGAGGAATAGAGAGCTAGAAACATCAATGAGAGAGAAGTATCAATCAGCTGCTTTCTGCACACTTCCTACTGATTATGTGCCTGCAACCAAGATACATGCCCCTGACTGGAATCGAACCTGGGACCCTTGGGTCTACAGGTCGAAGCTCTAGCCATTGAGACAAACCAGTTAGGGCTCCCCAGTGTTTCCTTATCAGATTTTTTTTTTTTTTCCTGTTTGAATCTTTTGCTTTAGGCACTTGGTTTGTTTCCTTGACTATTTTCTCTTACCTCTACTCTAAGGCAAGGATTACAAACTCAAATGCCTACAGAGCCAGCCAGGCTGGGTGGAGACTGGAGCCAAATGGAGAGTGCATACCCCATCTAAAAGAGCAGGTGCTGTTTAGATTGATCTAGTAGGTTCTTAGAAGAAATAGAGATCTAGAGATCTTATAGTGTCTCTTACAGTGTTGGAAATATATATATATATATTTCATTAATCATAGTTTGATTAATGAGCCAGGCAAAGGTACGGAGCATTTACAACCTTAATTGTACCTACATCATAAGGTTGTAAATGCTCATTAGCATTAACTATTATATATATACATATATATATATATTTTTTTTTTTTCAAGAGAAATCTCTAGATTTTTTAAATATTAGTAGCTAATCCAAAACATATCTGCTAGCTGACTTTAGCCTAGGGGTGTGGGAGCTTCAATCTGCAACCTTTAACATTGTTTTTGAGTGGGGAAAAGTTTCCTCAACATCTATCCAGCCAAAAGATTTTTTTCCTAGGAATTTGAGAACAAGTGCATGTATTAGCCTCAACCACTGCACAAGTAAAAAGACGTTTATATGCTGATGGCTAACTTCCTGTGGACCTACCTGTAAGCTTTAATATTAGAGTCTACTTATTTGTGTGGTATTCCAGGAATTTCTGTAGACCTACATGGCTAAATATCCTAAGGTTTGATAAAGCAAACAAAAGATTATTTTTTACAAGTGAAATCAAGTTACTAAGCGATCCTGCATATGTACATTTGATACCATAGATGAAAGCCCCTTGTGTTTGTAGTTTTAAGACGAGGATTTGAGTTACCACCATTCTTTCCAGTTACTTAACCCTGAGTAAATTACCGATCCTCTCTGAGTGGGAATGAGATTTCTCATTGTTCCTGGTAATTGTTCCTTGATATCAAGTTATTGTCTATAAAACGCACTAAAAATTGTCAGGTGCTCTGCAGATTAAATAATGTTTATCAACTTTCTATTTTAAGATCTCTAGTTGGAGAACAGTCTTCTGCGGCATCCATCACACCTACTAACTTTTTGAAACAGACCAATACACAGAAAAGTATTAATGCCAGAGATGCAAACAAAGGAACAAAAAACCAGTTCGTCATTGTGAGTAGATTTAAAACAAAGCTCCTATATGTGACTCTCACATATAGAACCTGTTGTCTTAGCATATGTAATATGGAATATAGATATTCTGAGTTTATAAATGCCAGCTTTGTTGGAGTGGCAGTGTTTAAAGCTATTTTGTCAAGTATATTTTCAAATTGATAGCGTTGGGCGAAGCTAGTAATTTAGCAGAGTGCTGATGAGTGAGTTGTCTTCAGATAAGGAAGATTATTGATTAGCAAAAGATTTAATGAAAATAGCTATAATACATTGTTTTAGGTCTGGGTTGGGCAAATTATGACCATGGGCCAAATCTGGACCATGGCCTTTGAGCTTAAAATGGTTTTTACATTTTTAAAACGTTAGGGAAAAGAGAAGAATATGTGACAAATCATGTGTGGTTTGCAAAGCATAAAATATTTACTATCTGGCTCTTTGCAAAAAAGTTTGCCAGCTCCTGTATCAGACTGTTCAGAACCTAGTATTTTTAGTAGTATTAAGCAAGGCCTTATTATATAGAGTGTGGATTTATTAATGAGCCATGACATTGAATATTTCTGACTTCCCTATATTCATTAATTTATCTGTGCTTTCCTTAACTATTATGTATTATATTTATTTTTATCAACCCTAGGGCAAAGGATTTTTATGGTCCTAAACACTTAAGGAAAAAAAATACATAATGAATATAGAAGTTCTAAAACTTTTGCCCTTCCTCTTTGGAATAAGGCTTTTAGGTCTCTATTTAAGAGCTTAATAAAGAAGTTTCCATTATTCATCTTAGCTATAAGTTTTATGATTTAATCTTTTACTTCTTAGAACTATGGATCTATCTAGCCAAAGAATCTTGAATGTTTTTTTTAATTTTTTTCTTTTGTTTGAATCTTGATTAAAAAAAAAAAAAAAAAATATATATATATATATATATATGTATATATATGTATGTATATGTGTGTGTGTGTGTGTGTGTGTGTGTGTATTTCAGAGAGGAACCAAGTGGGAGAAAGAGAGAGAAATATCAACGATGAGAGAGAATCATTGATCGTCTGCCTCCTGCATACCCGCACTGTTGTTTGAGCCTGCATTCCAGGCATGTGCCCTGACCAGGAATCGAACTGTGATCTCCTGGTTCATAGGTTGATTCTCAACCACTGAGCCACAACAGTGGGAGATTTTTTTTTTTTTTTTTTTTACAATGTTCATTCCAAGAGATAATTCGAGATAATTCCATTTATTTTATTAATTTACTAGGAGTCCAGTGCATGAATTTGTGCACCTTGAAAGGAACTGTGGGCAGTAAGGCTGCTGTGGTCACAGAGGCAGGTCTTGGCCCATCCTCCATACCTTTACCTGGCTCCTCCCACCACAAACCCCCTCACCTGTCCTCTTAGTCCCCTGTCTGCCAGCAGCTTCTGCTGCTGGCGCTCCCATGTGCTGATGGCATCGGCCCCACTCGTACCCTCTGACGGCACAGATTGTGATTAGGGCCGGTGCCAGCAGTTGGTTCAAGTGGGGCCCGTGCCATCAGCAGGTCTGAGTGGCAGCTGCTGGCCCCAAATGCCCCTCAAGAACAGGAGGTGGTGGAGAAGCCCTAAGGGGCGATTGGGGCTAACAGCCATTGCTTGCACCTGCTGATGGCGCCAGGCACTGGCAGCAGGAGCAAGTGGGGCTGGCGCTGGCTGCAGATGCGAGCGCTGGGTGGGACTGTGGTGCCGGAAGCAGAGTTTTCAGTAAAGACCAGAGGCTTTCCCTGGTCTGGTGCTTTGCCTTGGTCTGGTGCCCCCATTCACTTGATCCACCATCCTGCCATGGCCAATGCCCACCATGTTCCAAGCTCTGCCACCTGCTGTCTATGCCTGCCATATTCTGCATGCACCCCCTGGTGGTCAGCACACATCATAGCGACTGATTTTTCAGTTGTTCTGCTGTTCGCTCTATTTGCATAATAGGGTTTTAAATATATAGATTGTATTTTTAGGTCTTTTTCATTTTGTATTTTTGGGGGAGGAGGATATTATAACTAAACTTCACTTAGTATTTCACTTTTGCTAGCATAAAAGAAAAATAAGGAAAAGTTTGAATGAATGGTTACATGTATTAAATGTAGATCTATTTGTGATATGTTTAGATGTGGCCTCCCCCTTCATTAACAGGACGCAGGTCAAAAAAATTTTGGAGCCACCATGTGTAAGTCTTGTGGCATGATCTATACTGCTTCCAACCCTGAAGATGAGCTGCAGCATGCTCAGCATCACCACAGATTTCTGGAGGGAATCAAATACACAGTAAGTCAAAGAATCTTTCAATTTGTTTTAAAAATAAAAGTGCTTTATAAGATATATATATATTTTTGCTTAAATATTGAAAGATCTGATACCCATAAATATTTCATCATCAACTACAGTTTTGTTGTTCTTAATATTTGAGGCTGACAGTATTAAAAAGTTAACTTTTTTTTAAAGTGCCATTTTAAACTATCCTGCTATTGTATAAAAGAAGTATTGTTCTAGGTTAAGTGAATACCCTGTATTCTTCCCTCTAGCTTTCTGAACAGAGTTTAACAGTCAACAAAATTCAAAAGACTTGAGGATTGTTGTCCCTCTCCCCACCACCACCATTTTAATTTCTTCTTTATAGATAACCTTAGAAACAGCTTTTTTATGACTTATCCAAGATTTTTCTTTCCTGAAAGGAGAAGTTTCTTTATCAGGCAATCAAGCAACTATCTAGTCCAAATACATCCTATTGTGGGATGTATCTTTATGACCGATCCTGCTACTCAAATCATCCTTCTCTCCACCGCAACCCCACCCCACTCCCGTTTTTTTTGTTACAGTTCATACCTTCATAATATTTTTAGCTTACCGTGTTTCCCCGAAAATAAGACATCCTCCGAAAATAAGACCTAGTGCTAGCGCATGGAAACATAAGACATCCCCTGAAAATAAGACCTAGCGCAACTTTGGGAGAAAAAATTAATATAAGACACTGTCTTATTTTCGGGGAAACAGGGTAGTTTATTATCTTCCCCCTCCCCTAATTTCCCACTCCTAATAATTTATTCCTTTCCAAGTTAGTAGGTATAATGGATCCTACACATTCCTATGAAGAGCACTTATTTGACTTCACCTTGTTTTATAATAGATTGCTCGCCTCTTATATAAAAGGCCCATCGCCATAACGCCTTCACGACCAAAGGAGCAGCTGGCTCTCATGGCGGGTGGGGCAGGGTGTGAGCTACTTGTAGTGGAGAGCAGAGCGGAGGAGGGCGAGTCAGCAAGCTACTAGTGGCCGAGAGCTATGAGCAGCAGAGGGCAGGGCAGCGAGCTACTAGCGGCAATTGGCTGGGTGGCCATCTGAGGCAAGGGGAAGTGAACTATGAGCTCCGGATTTGTGCACGCTGGGCCTCTAGTATACATATATCCCAGTAGGATGTCAGCCCCTTGAGGACAAGCACTTTGGGGCATCTTTTATTTCCCTTTCCCCATTTTTTTAAAGTTAGATTTTGTTGTATCTTTTAAAATATTATTTACTCTTCTTTTTTGTCTGCTCCAGGGGTGGAAAAGAGAACGTGTAGTAGCAGAGTTTTGGGATGGGAAAATTGTGTTGGTCCTGCCACATGATCCAAGTTATGCTATCAGAAAGGTATGGAACATTAGCCTTTTAATTATTCTCCTATTCTCTCCATTTCCCCACCAAGAAATCACATATGTTGAGGTGCAAACTACTTTTGTTGATTGATAACCTACTTTGGTACACATGTAAGGATTGATAATACACTTTGGTACACATACCAGTTCATAACAACACTAGCCTCAGAATTACAATATAAGGAATGGCAGTTGGGAGATTAAAGACAATAGTGTTAGCCCTAACCAGTTTGACTCAGTAGATATTACGTCAGACCGCAGATTGAAGTGTCCCAGGTTTGATTCCTTTCAAGGGCACATAACTTGGTTGCAGGCTCATCCCTGGCCTTGGTCGGGGTGTTGAGGCAACCAATCGATTTCTCTCTCTCTCTCTCTCTCTCTCTCTCTCTCTCTCTCTCTCTCTCTCTCTCTCTCTCTCTCTCTCTCTCTCTCCCTCTCTCTCTCTCCCTCCCTCCCTCCTTTCCCCCCCTCGCTCTCTAAAAATCAATGGAAAAATATCCTCAGATGAGGATTAACAACAACAACAAAAGACAACTTTACCTTTATCTTTCACTTGTTAAAAACATAAACTTACTGAGAGATGAATGGCCCCAGAATCTGTTTCTTAACGTTAGTGTTGCCTGTGTTTCTTGGGTAAGATGTTTAGCCCCAGTGAACAATGAATAAAACTGAAACAAAATCTGTTTTGGCACTTCCTACTTTTTCTCCCTTCCAGGAGTCTGAGTTTCTTTCTCCTGAAAGTGATCTTTAAAATAGGTTCTTAGAAACCTGTTGCTTCCAAAGGGGCAGATACATGCATCAATAATGAAGTGATTGGGAGGAGTGGGTTTGTAAATTTAGGAAATATAGATAAAATAGGCCAAAATGACAGTAATCATAAATTTTGTATATATAATTATATGTAGCTTCAATTATAATTTTTAAAACATAGTCACCTCTTTTGATTTTTTTTAATGTCATTAGGTAGAAGAAGTGCAAGAACTTGTTGATAATGAATTGGGCTTTCAGCAAGTTGTTCCCAGATGTCCAAACAAAACCAAAACATTTCTCTTTGTATCTGATGAAAAGAAAGTAGTTGGGTGTTTAATTGCAGAGCCCATCCAACAGGTATGTTATACGTCTTTTAAGTTATTGACATAATTTGTCAGCAAAATAGTTAGGAAAAGTCTCAATAAATCTCAAGCATTTAAGATTACTGCCATAAATAACATTTTTTCCTACTAAAACATCTTTAACTGTATGAATAATCTGTTAATATTTGATATAAGCAGGTAAGTCGATCTTATGTGCATGTAGTCATTTCTATACCTGGCCTATAAACTATGGTAATTTAGAGCCCAGTTATTGAATATTGGTTTATTGCAAAAGTCATTATTTGTCCCTTAATTAGAATTTATTTTAGGTACTAATTAGCATTGTTTTAGAAAAGGCATTGGTAAATTTACCTGTAGGCAAAATATGGCTGCCATCTATTTTTATAAACAGTTTTATTAGAACATAACCATGCTCATTAATATCTGTATTATCTGTGGTTGCTTTTATGCTATAATGGCAGGGTAGAATAGGTGCAAAGAGCCTAAAATATAATTTGGCCCCTCACAGGATTATTCTAGAACTAGAGGCTTAGTGCACAAAATTTGTGCACAGGTATGGTCCCTAGACCTGGCCTGCGATCAGGGCCATCTTCCCCAGCTGCCACCCACCCCCAGTTCCCTGTTCACTATCGGGTGATTGGAGCCTGCCAACTGGGGGAAGGAACCAAGAGGATGGCTGGCAGGCCCCCATTGGGCAATGGGGACTGTGGGCTGGGGCAGCTCCTGCATTGAGCGTCTGCCCCCTGGTGGTCAGTGTGTGTCATAGTGACAGTCATTCCACTGTTCAGTCAATTTGCATGTTGCCTTATTATTATATAGGATAGAGATTGTAGTTTTTGCTTTCAAGGAGCATACAGAGTTATCTTTAGCTAGAGATTTACACTGAGTGGCCAGATTATTATGATCTCTGAACGCATAATAATCTGGCCACTCTGTGTGTGTGTGTGTGTGTATGTGTGTGTGTAAATATATATAAATTAGAGGCCTGTTGCATGAATTCATGCATGGATGGGGTCTGGCCAGCCTGGCCAGAAGGAGGGGACATGGGCGGTTGGCCAGCCTGCCTGCTGGTTGAACTCCTGTTCGAGGGGACAATTTGCATATTAGCCTTTTATTTATAGGATATACACTGAGTGGCCAGATTATTATGTGTTCAGAGATCATAATAATCTGGCACTCAGTGTATAGATAAAATGTGTTCTTGCCTGATTGTATCATAATGCATACTCATGTCTCCTTCCTTTTAAAAATACTTATTGCAATACATCTTGAAATGAAACGCGTAAATTTATCTTATACTTTCTGGTGGAGGGAAAAGGTGGGTAGAGTTATAAAGATGTAGCAAGAGGGAGAATTTTGTGATGATGCAATACCTCTGTATTTTGAGTGTGGTAGTGCTTAAATGAATAATTATAGAAAGTAATGAGTTGTCATGAAAGTATACACCTACACTATATCCATACTTTCTTGCTTTTGGTATTGTATCATAGTTATGGAAGGTATAACCCTTGGGGGGAACTGTTCTAGTTTTTAACTTCCTGTGAATCTATAATTATATCAAAGTACAAAGTTTTCTTTAAAAACCTTACATGCCGCCCAGCTGGTGTGGTTCAGTGTTGAGCATCAACCTATGAACCAGGTCACAGTTCAATTCCTGGTCAGGGCACATGCCCTGGTTGTGGACTCCATCCCCAGTAGGGGGCATGCAGGAGGCAGTTTATCAATGTTTCTATCTCCCTCTCCTCTCCTCTCTGAAATCAATAAAAATATTTCTTTAAAAATAAATAAGCCTTAGCTGCCAACCAAATTTCATAGTTAAGATGTAAAAATCTACTGAAACTGGTTTGGCTCAGTAAATAAAGCATCAGCTTATGGACTGAGGGGTCCCAGGTTCGACTCCGGTCAAAGTCATGTACCTCGGTTGCGGGAACATCCCCAGTAAGGGGTGTGCAGCTGGTCGATGTTTCTCTCTCATCGATGTTTCTAACTTTTTATCTCTCCTATCCTCTCTGTAAAAAATCAATAAATATATATTTTTAAAAAGATGTAAAAATCTCCTTTGTGTTATCAGTTTTTATATATTGGATATATATACATTTTAGGCTGGAGAGACTGAGAGAAGTATATATATTTTATGTACTAAAAGTCAAGAGTCTGATTTTTAAAAATAAATAAATAAAAGAAGTTTCATAATGGTGTGTAATACACTGGCATGTTGGAAATGGCTCAGTACCACTAGTACTTTTTTCAAGCATTGTGTGGCTAAAAAAAAAAAATAAGTATTGCATAAATATGAATGAATGTTAATATTTTTGGTGAAGGTATAATAAGAATAATTCTAAATTCTTAAGTTTTGTTTAAGGAATGGCTTTAAAAGAGAATTGTGAACTTATCTGTATTAACTCTAGATGCTTCGATATATCATTACAGGCCTTCCGTGTCCTGTCTGAACCAACCAGCCCAGAATCCCCAGGCTCCAGAGAATGTCACAGGGCTTGGCGATGTTCCAATGAGCCAGTACCTGCAGTCTGTGGGATAAGTAGGATCTGGGTCTTCAGGTTTAAGAGAAGAAAACGCATTGCAAGACGACTGGTAGATACGCTCAGGTAAGAAGTAAAATAAAATGGATTTAGACCCAGATTAGCTTTCCCAGAATCTTTTCTGCTCATGACCCAAAGGGATGTTGATAAGACACTGCTATATAAATTATATCGAAGTCAGGCTAAGAAAGGTAAGTACTGGCAAAGGGAAAAAACCCTCAGTTTTGGGCATATTCCAGATCTGAAACATTTTAACCCAGTGCTTTCACCCAGTGCAGTGAAGTTTGTTACAGACCAACACTTTAAAAAAAGAATTAAAATGAATTCCTAGAAAATTAAAAAGAAAAAACAAAAATAAAGGAAAATGCCCTAATTTTATTTGAGTCAATAAATGTAAAATTAATATTTCAATAAATATATTTAACATAGATAAATATAAACATAGTTAAACATAAAATGAAGAAAAATTTTAAAAGAAAAAATAAAATAAAACGAAGAAATAGAGGTTTAAAAAAAGAATTACAGAAATTGTACTGAATGGCATCCATCATGGCCAAAGTGAACTTGAGGAGGGTGGTGAAGGATTAATGAAAACAGACAAGAGAATACACACTGAGTGGCCAGATTATTATGATCTCTGAACACATAATAATCTAGCCTCTGTGTGTGTGTGTGTGTGTGTGTGTGTATGTTTATGAATTCATGCCTGGGTGGGGTCTGGCCAGCCTAGCCAGCGGGAGGGGACATGGGCTGTTGGCCAACCTGCCTGCTGGTCGAACTCCTGGTCAAGGGATATTGGCCTTTTATTATATAGGATAGGATATACACTGAGTGGCTAGATCATTGGCCTTTTATTATATAGGATAGGATATACACTGAGTGGCTAGATTATTATACATTCAGAGATCATCATAATCTGGCCACTCAGTATAGTTGGGGCCATGTAGGATCACTTTGCCTGGATGAGGAAACAGACACAGCCTGTAAGTCGAAACTTTATTTTATATCAGATCACACAAGCAAAACAAGGGCAAGATGTTTACAGTGTTCTTGCGAATTTCAAATCTGCTTCTTTCCTTTTGTTGCCATTCTCTGAACTCCATCAAGCCTTGTTTTGGCAGCACTTGCTGTGCGTACACACACACACACATGCACACACACACACAGCCTACATTGCTCAGCTACCTAGGACTTCAGGGTGGATTATAAGGTCAAGCTTACAACCATAGCCTTTAGGCTATAATTGTGTTGGGAGGGCTTTGCCCTCCAAGCTAGGACTTGCATGTGGCTTTGCCACAAGTTATTCCAAGTCTTGAACCAGTATAAATGCTGTCGCCACTCTCCACGTTGTATATGTCCATTGATAGTGTGTAAGTAATTCTTACTATAACTCATAACTAAATGTAAGTATAACTAAATATAAAAGCAAATTAGTAAGACAACCCACAGAATGGTAGAAAATATTTGCAAATAATTTACCTAATAGTCTATTACATCCAGAATAAAAGAACTCATTTAATACAATAATAAAAAGACATAACCCAAATTAAAAATGGGCAGAATTTCAATAGACATTTCTTCAAAGAAATACAAACACATGAAAACATGCTCAACATAATTAGCTATCCAAAACAAATCACAAATAAAAACTACAAGATTCCACAGTTCATATCCACTATATGACTAATCATAAAGGGAAAGTAAGTATTGGTGAGGATGTGGGGGGAAATTGGAATCTTTGTACTTTGCTATAGTAATGTAAAATGGTGCAGCAGCTGTGGAATGCAGTCTAGCAATTTCTCAGAAAAAAACTGTTACCATATGACCCAGCAAGTGGACAAATAGTATATATGCCAAAGAAAGGATAAGTCCACACAAAAACTGGTATATGAGTGTTCATAACAGCATTATTCATAGTAGCCAAAAAGCAAACAGCCAAGTTTATGATTAATGGATAAATATAATTTGGTATATTGATACAGTAATATAGTAAAACTAGAGGCCTGATACATAAAATTCATGCAAGGGGCTCAGCCCTTGCAACTCTGGCTTTGTCTGGAAGGTTGTCTGGACGGTTATCTTTACTGTTTGGTCTAATTAGTATATTAACTCTTTATTATATAGGATATTATTTAGCCACAAAAAGGAATGGAGTATGAGACATACTACAATATGGGTGAACCTTGAAAACATTATGCTAATTGAAATAAGTCAGTAAGTTTCCAGGGTAAATGGAGAGTGACTGCTAATGGGTTCAGGGTTTCTTTTTTGGGGTAATGAAAGTGTTCTGGAATTAGATGGTTGCACAGTTTTGTGACTATTACTAAAAAACGACTGAATTATAAATTTTAAAGATTTGATCTTATGGTATATGAATTACATCTCAAAACTAAATTAGTGATTCTCCATTCTAAACTACTGTGTTAACACTGCAAATTGATACTTAAAGTTCTAATGTGACAAATGAGCTTACTTCTTGCTCACGTTAATTTACCTAGTCTAAGGTGGATAAGTGAGCTTCACAACACTTCTATTGACTTCTATACTTAATAACAGATTACAAACCAGAAAATGACTACACCTTAACCCACTGGTTAGCAAACTGCGGCTCGCAAGCCACATGGCAGCTCTTTGGCCTCTTGATTGTGGCTCCTTAAACAAAATACCATGGCCTGGGTGAGTCTATTTTGAAAAAGTGGCATTAGAAGAAGTTTAAATTTAAAAAATTTGGCTCTCAAAAGAAATTTCAATCTTTGTACTGTTGATATTTGGCTCTGTTGGCTGAGTTTGCCGACCACTGCCTTAACCAAACCAAGAACCACATTTAAAAAAAATATATATATTTTATTGATTTTACACAGAGAGGAATTGAGAGGGACAGAGAGTTAGAAACGTCGACGAGAGAGAAACATCAACCAGCCGCCTCCTGCACACCCCCACTGGGGACGTGCCCGCAACCAAGGTACATGCCCCTGACCGGAATCGAACCCGGAACCCTTCAGTCCGCAGGCCAATGTTCTACCACTGAGCCAAACTGGTCCTGGCAAGAACCACATTTTGAGTAGCACTATTCTAGCCCTTTCAGTTACATACACTTTTTAAGAAAGAACACCAAAGACCCTGTGGGGATCCAATCTTTGGCTATAATCCTTCCCACCCATAAAGGGGAGCATTGAGAAACACTGGTCTATAGAGATTTTTATTGGATAGTTAATTATAAAATACCTCTATTTTCTATACTTTGTATTAAGAGCTACATAAATTTGATATGAGAAATAGCAGTATCTAAGCTACTCCCAGCAGACAGTAGTCTAGTGCTTCTCAAACCTGAAAGTGCATATGAATCACCTGGGATCTTATTAAAATGCAGGTGTGATTCAGTAGGTCAGGTTGGGGCCTGAGATTCTGCATTCTTACTAAGCCCTCAGGTGATGCTGAATGTTGCTGGTCTGTAGATCATACTTTGAGTACTAAGGCATCTCTAAGGAATAACAAATGTTACCTCTAAGCAATAACAAATGAAAATTAAGTTGCCTGCCAAGGAGAAGTAAACATTCATTTGAGAACATGTCTGTCTTTTCTCACATCCGAGTTGAAGATACAAGTAACAATTGACAGCTCCTCCTGCATATGAGGAGACTTAGGTTGAATTGTCTCTTGTCTATATAGGCAATATCTATATGTATAAAAGCCTAACCGGCCAAACAACTGGTGGCTATGATGCACACTGACCACGAGGAGACAGACTCTTAATGCACAGGATCGGGCTCCGTCCTGTCTGGATTGGGGCCTGCAGGGATCAGGTCGAAACCGGCTATCCGACATCCCCTATGGGGTCCTGGATTGTGGGAGGGTGCAGGCCAGGCCAAGGGATCCCACCAGTGCATGAATCCGTGCACCGGGCCTCTGGTGTTTAAATAATCATAAGAATAGAAAATTATTTCTAGTTATTTTACAGAAGAATCACCTGTGGCTCAAATGGGATTATAAAGTCAAATTTACTGATGAGCTATAGAAGTACAGAGTAAGGACTCAAACCTACAGATGTAATATTTTTCCTATAGCTGATATCACTAATAAAGACAATAAGAACTTTTAGTCAAACCAATATTTTGCTTTGGACATTTAGCAATAAACTTTGTATTCAGTGATATAGTAAAGATACCAGAAGCTTATATCTTAACTTCTAATTGAATCTAATTCTTTAATTTTTATTTTGAAGTAATTTTAAACTTACAAGAGTAGCGGTAGTTAAAAAGAGCCCCTGTGTGCCTTTACCCAGATTCAAGATTTAACATTTACTGTATGTTCTTTGTACTTTTAAGAACAAGGATATTCTCTTACATAAGCACAGTTCAGTGATCAAATTCAGGATATTTAATATGGATATAATGCTTCTGTCTAATGTATAGTTCATATTTCAGTCTTGTCATTTGTCTCGTGTCCTTTATAGCATTTTCCCTCTGTACAGGATCCAATATTGCACTTAAGTCCTCTTATCTCTTTAGTTCTCATTTTCCTTAACCTGGAACAGTTTAGGCTTTCTTTGCTTTTAAGACATTGAAGAATTTGAAGAGCACAGGCCAGTTACTTTATAGACTATCCCTCAATTTTGTTGAATTCTTTCAACCATTTCATCTTACTACTTTTAATTATAATTGAGCTCTGGATCAAGGAGAGTTTAAGTCAAAATATGGAATAGTTTTTGCCTTCTTTTTCCCCTCCCAAAATAAACATTGGGAGAGTTTTTGGCTTCTTAAAGCTCTGAGTGTGTGGTGTAGTTGAAAAGAATATTGGTGATGTTATTTTTTTTCATTATCTATGGTTTTAATTTATCTGTTTTTTAAATTAATCCCCATCTGAAGATTTTTTTTTCTATTGATTTATTTTTATTTTTTATTGATTTCAAAGAGGAAGAGAGAGGCAGATATAGAAACATCAATGATGAGAATAATAATTGATTGGTTGCCTCCTGCATGCCCTGCGCCGGGTATGGAGCCCACAACCCAGGCATGTGCCCTGACTGGAAATCAAATCATGACCTCCTGGTTCCTAGGCTGGCGACCAACCACTGAGCCACACTGGCCAGGTTTTATTAATTTTTAGAGAGTGGAAGGGAGAGGAAAGACAGAAACATCAATGTGTGTTGATTGGTTGCCTCCCCCATGTTAACTGACCAGGGATGGGGATTGAGCTTACAACCAAGGTATGTGCCCTTGACTGGAATTAAACCCACGACCCTTCAGTCCGGGCTGCTAACACTAGCCACTAATCCTAACTGGCTAGAGCTATTGATGGTTTTTAATTAGCAATATTACCTCTTATTAGTTGTTCATTCCTATGCGTCAGCTGGAGTCAGCTGTTATGATTCCCTTTACCTCAGCAAAATTTCGTCTGGACCTCAGCTTTCTCTGTGAAATAGGCTTCCGTCTCTAAAATCTAAAGCATTAAGTCATTTTATCATTTAAAATGTGGATTTTAATTGAGTATTTAGATTGAATTTTTATATTTGGATTGCTAAAATAAAGTGTGCTAATGTTTTTTTTGTTGTTGTTGTTTTTAAAATATATTTCATTGATTTTTTACAGAGAGGAAGGGAGAGAGATAGAGCTAGAAACGTCGATGAGAAACATCGACCAGCTGCCTCTTGCACACCCCCCACTGGGGATGTCCTGCAACCAATGTACATGCCCTTGACCGGAATCGAACCTGGGACCTTTCAGTCCGCAGACCGACGCTCTACCACTGAGCCAAACCGGTTTCGGCAAAGTGTGCTAATGTTTAATCAAAATTGTAATTTGGTTCCATTGTTAAGTTGTCTTTTCCTCTTTTTTTTGTTTTTGTTTTTTAGGAATCGCTTCATGTTTGGCTGTTTTCTCAGCACTAATGAAATAGCATTTTCTGACCCAACACCAGATGGCAAGTTATTTGCAGCCAAGTACTGCAACACCCCTAATTTCCTTGTATACAATTTTAATAGTTAAAGCCAATTCCAACTGTAGAATAATTATTATATGGATGAATTAAGACAACTTCTTATCATATAACTACTTAGCAAATATCAAATAAAAATACTGAAACGCGCGCGCGCACACACGCGTGCACACACACACACAACCTGGCTGTTTTAATCCTATAAATTGAAAAGTCAGGGAAAGATATCTTGAAAATTATCTGGAGATTCAAAGAAAGGAAAAACCTTTTGGATGATGTGTACTGACTAACACTCTGAATCCTTAATTATGAAACTTTGTAGATATAATTGGAAAATTACTTGCCCCTTACATAGGAATACTGACATGTTTTCCATAGAAATGTGACCCTTTATATTTAATTAAGCACTTTTGAACCAGGATTATCTCAAGCTTAATCAGAAGCAAACAGGAAAATTTAAAGACAAATAATTTCCTTGCTAATTTTTAAAGTAATTCCTGAATTCTGTACACAGAATAGGTAGCAGCTTAAATATATTCAGAAAGTCTTTAAATGTCTAATTTGTACAATAGTAAGGAAACATGGTAAAGAATAAGATTTTCATGTAGAACATAATTCTATAGTTTGTTTTCCACTTTTTAGAAATCTTTACTCAAGAAATTCTCACCAGATTTAATTAAAGTTAAACTTAATTGCACTACTGTCATTTAATTTTTGGTATATGGATGTTAATTATGCTACTTATCTTTAGTGTACTTACTACTGCTAATTGGAATGATCAACTAAATGAATGCCCTATTGGGATGATTCATATTGTTACATTGTAAAATTTTTGCATGTCTAAAATACATCTTATTCTAACAAATGTATATCTAACAAAATGTATAGTATCAGAACCAAGGTTAGTGAATAAATATATCTAGGTTGATGGGCCAGAGAACATGACATTATATGTTTGGCTGTTTTAATCTAAATGTTTTAATCTCTCTAAAAATCAGTTTTCTAGTATAATTCTTGGGTATTTTGAAAAGCAAAGAATTATTCAGATTGTTGATTCTAAAAAACATTTAATTGCTATCTGGCAATAATACCCTAGGGAAATAGTTTTCCAGGTTATGACTTTATGTAGAATATGTTCATTGCATTCTTTTATTTGCCTGTAAGTTAACATGGTTCCAAAATTTAAAGGCTTGAGTTCCAAAAAGAATGTGGAAGTGTTAAAAATGTGTGTAATTATGCAAACATCTTATTTTCTGCACTACTGTTTTTCTTTTAAATATTTTATTTTAAAAGTTTTATTAACATTATTTGCTTGTTCAATGCTTTTGTGATAGATCAATTAAAATTCTTTTCAATATTTTCTTTGTCTATTTAATATAATAGAAGTACTGATTTTAAGTTATTTTTTGTGGCTGTAAAAATAGTACATGTTCCCCCATTCTGATAGCTCATTTGGTTAGAGCATTGCCTCAATATGCCAAATTTGCAAGTTTGATCCCTAGTCAGGGCACAAATTGATGTTTCTTTATCCCTTCCTCTCTAAATTGAATAAAAAAATTTTAAGTGCATGTTTTTACTTGTTTAAGTAAAAACCTAATCATTGAAAATATATCCAACTATTCAAAAACTGCAGTTATTTATAGCAAGCTTTATTCATCATTGTCTACACTTGGAAGCAACCGAGATGTTCTTTAATGGATGAACAAAAAGCTACATCCAGATAGTGGACTATTATTGGGCACTAAAAAGAAACCACAAAATGGCATGGAGTAACCATAAGTGAATATTACCGAGTGAAAGAAGCCAGTCTGAGACTACATTCTGATTCCAACTATACGGCATTCTGGACAGGCTAAAGTTTGGAGACGGTAAAAATATATGTGGCTGCTATGGATTGGAGGGAGTAGGTGGAACACAGGATTTTTAGGCCAGTGAAGATATTGGAGTACTAGAGGCCCGATGCACAGATTCATGCAAGAATGGGCCTTCCTTCCCCTAGCTGCCGGCACTGCCTTTGCTTTGGCCAGAGTTGCCTTTTTGCTCCAGCCCAGAGCCACCTTTTCACCTTCTCACACTACCCAGAGTGGCTGGGGTAATGCTGAATGCCTGCATCATCGCCATGGCAACAATGTAAGCATTCCACCCCCAGCTGTTCAGGACCTGCATATGCAAATTAACCCACCATCTTTGTTGGGTTGATTTGCATACACACTCCTGATTGGCTGGTAGGCATCACGAATGTACAGTCAATGTGCATCTTACTCTCTTTATTAGTGTAGATACTGTTATAGTGGTAAATAGTTGCTTTTATACATTTGCCCTAACTCAGAATGGATACCAAGAATGAACCCTAACTTATCACTATAGATTCATCAGTTGAAACAAATGTACCACTCTGTTTGGGGATGTTGATAATAGGGGAAACTATATATATATGTGTTGGCAGTGGGTATATGGGAATCTGTGTATCTTCCTCTTAAATTTGTTGTGAACCTAAAACTGCTCTAAAAAACAAGAAGTTAGAAAATATTATAGACAAAGAGACATGACAACTAAATATAATGTGGGATTCTGGAAGGGATACTGTAATGGTAAAACTAAATAACTGAATAAATTATGGACTTTAGTTAATAGTAGTGTATCTGTATTGGTTCTTTGTGACAAATATACTAATGTAAGATGTTAATAATAGAGGAATAGGTGTGGGGTATTTGGAAATTCTGTCTTTGCATCTTTTCAGTATCGAAAGTTTCTCAAGGTTTATTTTTCAAAAATGTACAAATAGTTATCACAAATGCCTTCATAACTACTACCCAGGTTAAAAAAAAAGTCACCTTCCCAGAAATCTTCCTCTCGCCCTCTTCAATTATTATATCATCTTCCTCAAATGTAACTACTTTTTAAATCCTCATCTGGGAATTTGTTTTTTATTGATTTTAGAGAGAGGTAGGGGGAGAGAGAGAAACCTATGTGAGAGAAACATTGATTGGTTTTCTCCAGTATGTGCCCTGACCAGGAATCAAACCTGCAACCTTTAAGTATATGGGATTCTGCAACCAACTGAATCACCCAGTTAGGGCATGTAACTACCTTTGGATTACTCATATAAATTGTATATGGCAAAATATTTGTTATTGCATTAAAGTGAATCTCACTTTTATTACTATATAATATTCTACCCTGAAAATACATCCTAATTACACTGTTGATGACCATATTATTATAGATTGTGACTACTCAAGCCTCTTACACTTTTATCTGTTTTTTTGTTTGCTTGTTTTGTTTTAATTTGCTATCTTTGTCAAAAATTGTTTCCATATATGTGCAAGTCTATTTCTGCCTGTTTTCCACTAGTTTTATTGGCTGTCCTATACCAATACTATATTCTTGATATTTGGTATAGTAAATTCTCCCAGCATTTTTTTGTAAGTTATGCTATAATGGGCTCATTATATCAGTTCCGATTTTTGGGCCTACACTTGGTTGGCTCTTTGAGACTGGGCTCAGCTGTTTGGGGCTAGGCTCAGTCCTTCAGATATTGGCAAAACCTTTGGGACTAGGTTTGGCTCTTTGGGATAGGCTCGGCTCAGGCACTGGGGTTAGCCCTTTGGGACTAGCATCGGCTCTTAGGGCTAGTCTCGGCCCTTCGGGGCCAGGCTTAGCTCTCTGGGGTTAGCTGGTCTTGTTGGGGCTAATCTTGATTCTCTTGGGCTAGACTCAGCTCTCTTCAGAGCTATGGTTCACAGATCGAAATTACTGAGCCACGTCACCCTCATTTTACAGACTAATAAAATAAAGCCAAGAGAGAGAAAGAAATCTACTCACATTCATTTGCAACTTTAATAACACTCAGATCAACAGGAGTATAAAATAGATAACACATCTTCTGGTAACTTAAGTGTCTTTTATTCTATATCATCTTATTAGTTTTATTGTTTTTACACCCAAACTGTAAAATGCTTAAGAGCTAGATTAGTAATTAAAAAATAAAAAGGGACCTCAGTACAGAAATACATTAAATAAGTGAAAGCAAAAACCAAAGATCTGAGAAGAACCAAGAGGACAAGACAAGCCTTAACTGTAAGTTTGGAAATACCCAAGGAGCTACTCTGAGCCATATTCTCTCGGCTTCCAATGAACATATTTAATAAGCACAACAGCCAAGAAAGACCAGCTTTTATGTTTTAAAAGATAATCAAATGTAGACTTCTTTCGTACTTCAAAGAGCTAATTTAAATAGATCCATTTAAGTAGAGAATATGCAAGAAAGATAATTAGTAAAAGTGTTGGTCCCCCTACCCAAATGTTAGACATAAGAGTTTGACATTTTGCTAGTGTTTTAAATCTCTATGAACAAATTTCAATACTTGTTCCTTACGCCTAAATATTTAAGTTTTATAGAAAACCCACTACGATATTAAATGCTGGTAAGTATACATGAAATACCTTTATAATAGAAAAAGTTTTTCATATGTTAATAAGGTGCTATGGTTCTAAAATTTAAATAGTCTAATAATTATGGGTTATCACAGTAACAACATAAATGTATTACAGTAAAGAGAACAGTTATATGCATGAGCCATACTTGAAGCTCAGGTGTTATGAATATGAGATCACTGGACAAATACTTCCAAAGCCTCAACAATGTGCGCAGCAGAAGGACGGTCTTTAGGATCTTCATTCGTGCACACAGAGAAGAGCTCGATTACTTTCTGGTATGTCTCATCCAGCTCTTCCATATTAAGAGGTGGCCTCGTTCCCAAAGCTGCATAGTATGCTTCATCATCGAAGTCACTTTCATCAAAAGTTTTATCTGCTCATGAGAAAGTTTGAAACAAAATCACTTTCAATCGTGGAAAAACTTACCAACTGCTCACTCACCCTCCTGAAACAATTCATCACCCAGTGTGCTTTTCATTATACCAGTCTCCACTGTCCTGCCATGGTGCAGATTAGCTATTGTCATGAATTTATTATATGGACTTAATCTGTGGTTATCAACCTTTATAATCTCAGGCAAAGAGTTTTTAAGGTAACTTTTTGCTCCTCTGAATTTTCTCAATTTACCCCTGTTCTGAATTAATATACATCTCATTTGTATGAAATTAAACTGAGATGGTACCAAATCAGCCATCAGTAACAATATAATCTATATCTCATGCAACTAAATCAAATACCTTGCTCTTTTTAAAATTAATAGAAAAATAAAATGTAACTTTATATACTATTATAATTTTTCAAACCAGAGAGATTGGGTTTTACATTAAAAATACGTATTTATACCTTCATCATAGTCGTCATCATCTGAAAGAGTAATGTGTGGAATACTTAAAGTCATCATTTCCCACAGGGTAAGGCCAAAGGCAAATATGTCTGCTTTGTCCGTAATAATACCATTCTCCTCCAAAGCTTCCTTGGGTTTCCAAGGCTCAGTGCCAATGTAACAGGCTTCAGGGTCAGTTACTGAAACAAGCAAAACAGGTAAAACTGTCACAAGGGCCAGCACAAGAACTCCCTAAGAAAGGCAAACAAAGACCACCACCTGCTTAAAAAAACCTGGACAAATGATTTGACAGGTGGCTTAAAGGTTATCAAGTATAGCCAGGAAACATGAAAAAATACACTCAACCTCAATAATTAATACAAATTACTTTTTCCTATTCAGATTGGTAAATATTTAAAAAGTTTGATAGTTGACAAAGTTGAGAATCAGCAATTCTTTTTAGAAAGTGGTAAGAACATAAATAGATTGTGGATGTTAGTTCATACTCTAGAACAAGATGGTCTTGCCTGGGTTCAAAGACATTTACGAGCTCTGTTACCTGAAACGTTTACTCTGTGCCTGTTTCTTCATTTTTAAACTATTATTAGGCTGAGAGAAAAACCATTTCTATGCTTCTGATTGCTAAATCAGGGAAAAGGGGAGTTGAATCACATATTGGCTTTTGCTCAGGAAATGACTCAACTTCATAAAGGTTACATAATGAAAATGTATTCCTTTGGGTAACTTTGACCATATCAAATCATTTTTAATTTGTTGTTACATTCTCATTTTCTAAATATTTTACAATTAGAATTTGATTTCTTTGTTCAGCCTAGAATCAATTATAAGTAATTACTAAAAACTTTGGGGTTTTGTTTCCAACTATGTTACTAATATCTAGATGTATATCACCAAGGACAATGAACATCAACCATTAGGCTATTTCTACTTTTTGAGGTTTTCTTTTATAACCTAACCAATATATATAATCAATTTTCTAATGCATAGATTTACCTTATCTACTCAATCTTTTAATTTTTTTTTACATATTAGTTTTATCTACTCCATGTATTAAGGTTTGAGAAAATTATGTTAAAAAATCTTATATATTTAAAAAAAATTCTCCTTTCCTAAAGTTCTATATTTGTAGTACCAGTAGTTACTCAGCCTGAGAGTTCATAGTTTTATTTTGAGTTTTTCCTTCAATTCAACTTATAGACCTTAACTTTAGCTAGAAATTAAGGTATATATGTATATGTGTGTGTGTGTGTGTGTGTGTGTGTGTGTGTGTATTCTGACTAGCATAAGAGAAAAGTTTAAATATGTTAAAAGCATAAGCTTTCTCCTTGAGGCTGTCTCTAGGTTCTCACTAAGAATATATCCTAAATTCCCTAAGAGAATGAACAGTATCTATATATACAAAATGCTAAATGACCATCTGTCTGACCAGTAGCTATGATGCACATTCACCACCAGGGGGCAGACACTCAACACAGGAGCTACCATGACACACAAAGAGAAATGACACCACAGACCTGGCACTGACAAACCAACACTCAGCTTCCACCAAGACCCCTATGGCACAAAATGCAGCCCCCAGCCCAGCCCAGCAATGGCTGCTGTGGGTGCCAGGTAATGACATCATGTAGCAACGCCCAGCTTCCTCTCCCTAGCAACTAGCATCCTTTGAGTTTCTTCAGCCCAGGAACCTGACTTGCTTTATAGCCAAGTGCAAACATTTTACAGTTTAATAAAATGTTTGTGAAGCATTTTCCCATGCCTCATCTCATTTGATCCTCACAAATTTCCTGGAGTAGGTAGATAGGAGACTTAGTAGAACCCTATTTTTTTTTCATTAGCAAGATGCAAAAAGCAACATTAAAATATTTCTTCTAATTAATTTCCTTTCAATGTGCATGAGTCCATGCACCAGGACACTAGTTTACAATAAAGTGAGATGGGACAGGGTAAAAAGCAGAAGACTGGCTTTTACTAGCACCTCTTTCCTACTTCCACTCCAGTTTCTTCTATCAGTTTCCCAAACCTTGTCACTGTACTGATGCTAAATGAATTCCTTTATAAAACCTTATTAAAATTTTATTTTCACCCTGGTTGATGTGGATCAGTGGTTAGAGCATCAGCCCAGATACCAAAGGGTCACAAGTCCAACTCCTGGCCCCGGGCACATACCTGGGTTGCGGTCCTGGGCCCCACTCAAGGCATGTGTAGGAGGCATCTCTTGCATCAATGTTTCTTACTCTCTTCCCCCCCTTCCTCCTTCCCGTCCACTCTCTCTATAAAAATCAATAGGAAGACTATCCTCAGGTGAGGATTAACAACAACTAGAACATTTTTAAAAAATTTTATTTTCTATTCCCAAATCTTCTACCACTTAAAAATTACTAATCTAGGTTAGAAATAGTTCCTAAAGTTATCTTCAGTTAACATACACTGAGTGGCCAGATTATGATCATCTCTGAAAGTATAATAATCTGGCCATTCAGTGTATATCCTATATAATAATTCTATCTCTATAATAAAAGGCTAATATGCAAATTGTCCCCTCGACCAGGAGTTTAAGCAGCAGGCAGGCTGGCCAACCACCCATGTCCCCTCCCCCTGGGCTGACCGGATCCCACCCATACTGAGTGGTCAGATTATTATGCGTTCAGAAATCATAATAATCTGGAGTATATTAATAAGAAAACAATAATTTATATTGTGTATGTGGCAAGAGACAGGGCTGGAGGCTGAGTAAAAAGGAGGGATAATTTTTACTGTATACTTTATTATTATTAGTTTTTTATTTTTGAAGAATGTAAACAGTTACTTATTTAAATATGTGTAAAAATTAGAAATTTTAATATATAAATTTTTTTTAAAAAGTTAGAATATTACTCACCTGTCATATTTTCATCCAATGGTAGAGAGACTCCTACATCACAGATTTTAATTGTTTCAAAATCACCTTTAATTACAACATTTGAAGACTTTATGTCTCCATGAAGCAACTTCTTATCTTGGTGCAAATACTAAAATAGTGGAAATTTAACATATCTGAATAAAAATGCAAACTAAATACTCATAAATAACCTTCAAACAAATAAAATCTGAACCCCCTTCCTAAAATATAGGATTATACTATCATTTCAAATTATTTGAAGCTACAGAAGGAAATATCTTATGTTATCTTGGTCTGCCATACACATCAGAAATCTAAAAAGTTTGTTGGAAATCTTATAAATTTTTTATTTACAAACCCATCTTACATATTTTTACATTAAAAAATGCTACAGCAGAAGCCCCAGCCAGGTGACTAAGTTAGTTGGAGCATTGTCCCGTACATGAAAAAGTTGTGGGTGTGATTCCTGTTGGGGCACATACCTAGGTTTTGTGTTTAATCCCCAGTCAGTGTGTGTGTAGGAGGCAACTGATCGATGTTTCTCTCCCTCCCTCTCCTTTTCCTCTCTCTTTAAAAATAAGTAAGCCCCGCCAGTGTGGCACAGTTGGTTGAGTACCTTCCCGTGCATCAAGAGGTTCGATTCCCGGTCTGATTGTGCCGGAAGCAGTCAATTGATGATTCTCTCATTAATGTTTCTCTCTCCTTGCCCCCCCTCTTTTACTCTCTCACTCCCGCTCCCCTCCCTGATTCTTGCTCCCTTCCCTCCCTTTTCCTCTCCATCTTCCCTCTAAAATCAATGAGAACATATTAAAAAAATAAAAATAAGGTAAAACACATCCTTGGGTGAAGATTAAAAAAAAAAAAAAAATATATATATATATATATATATATATATATATATATATATATATATATATATATATATAATGCATGCTATGGAGATATCAAAATACACCACAACTTTATTTGGAGTTAGAAAATTGTAGGAATAATTTTGGAATCTTAAAAAAGAGACTTTTTTTTTTTTTTTTTTTAAATTGAGATGATGTAAAACAATAAATAACTCAGTGCTGCAGAGGGCTACTACAAGAAGATGAAGCAGAAATGTAATCTAAGACTTGTCTTTTGCTTTATACACTAAGCCTTTCTTAGTATTGACAACAACATTCATCCATAATAAAGTACCTTATAAACCTGTTATTTTTTCATTTATCAGCATTTGAGTATCTACTCTATAACTGGGTTTAAAAATGATGCAGAGATAATTCTTGTAATATAATTTGAAATACTCACTGTGCTTGATTTAAATGTTGCCCATCATAAAGACAATATGCTCAAATACATAATTAATTCATTATATATAAAGTCATTTATTAAATAATCAAATTGTTGATTTAGTTTATCTTATCCACTTAAAATTGTTTTTTTTCTATACACATATTAAAAATATATACTTGGCCTGACCAGCAGGGCTCAGTAGTTGAGTGTAGACCTATGAAACAGAAGGTCACAGTTTGATTCCTGGTTGGGGCACATGTGCAGGTTGGAGGCTTGATCCCAGTGGGATGCATGCAGGAAGCAGCCAATCAATGATTCTCACTCCCTCTCTGAAATCAATAAAAATGTATTCAAAAATAAAAATATGTATCTTTAGAAATATTGCCTTTTTCCAATTTCATGCTTCATAGATCAATTTTATTTAAACTCTAACATACAATTTTGACATCAGTATCATTACATTATCTGCATTTGGGTTGTTCAACAGTTTTGTGGCACCATCACTACTTCTGTTTAAGTTATTTAGGATATGGAATTATTTTCATTTCTAACACTGTGTCCATCCAAAGGCACAATAATTTGTTTGCATAAAATTAAGCTTTTTTTATTTGACCTGTAGATCAGCGGTCGCCAACCAGTGGTCCGTGAGGTCCAAAAGGTTGGCGACTGCTGCTATAGATGACTATTCGTGATGCCAAAACTATCCCAAATTTTTTTTAAAATATATATTTTTATTGATTTTAGAGAGGAAAGGAAAGGGAGAAAGAGACTGAGACATTAATGATGAGAGAACCACGGATTGGCTGCCTCTTGCATGTCTTCCACTGAAGACAGACCCACAACCCAGGCATGTGCCCTTGATCAGAATCGAACCCGAGACCCTTCAAGTCTGCAGGCCGATACTCTATCCACTGAGCCAAAAACAGCTAGGGCCACAAAGCAATCTTTAAGAAGCTTGTTTACATCAACAGGGGGTTGGGCTACACTCCCAGTAATAATTAGTACATTTCTGTTAAATTTAATCCTTTTCTAACTAAATCTAACATGTGGTCTCAGTAAGCAAAACTGCCTAACTTGGATTATTTCAGACTATGTGAAGGCCTTTCAAAATAAGGAAATAGTACACTCTGCAATATAAAATATTCCCTAAGGCCGTGGGTCACCAACTGGTGGTCCACAGACCACTGGTGGTCTGTGAGGTCCGAAAGGTTGGCGGCCACTGCCATAAGGCAACCCCTTCTTTTGTGGGGGGTGGGGAAATCCTACCATGTAATTAGGTTGTTTTTAATATGTTTTTATTTCTTAGAGAGAAAGGAAAAGGAAGATAGAAGCACCGATGAGAGAGAACATTGATTGGCTGCCTCCTGTATGGCCCTCACTGGGAATCAAGCCTTGATCAGGAATCGAATGGGCAACCTCTTGGTGCATAGGTCAACACTCAATCACTGAAGCACACCAGCTAGACTGTACTTAGTTTTTTAATGTTCCACAAAAAAATATAATGGTACAGTTACCTTTAACATAAATGAACATAAAATATAATGGTACAGTTACCTTTAACCCTCTTGCCATGTTCAAAGCAACTTTTAAAATTGTGGCTGCTGGAAAAGGACTGTGGCTGTCTTTATTTTGTTCTTCGATTAAGTCATTTAGAGACTTTTCACCCCCATATTCCATAGCAAGACACAGACTCCCATCATTGGCTTCAGTGAAAGCACGATAACCTTAAAGAAACATAACATTTTCTACTAGAATAGGGAAGAACAGCAGTACTTAAGTTTTTTATAGTACTGGGACTGAAAATGGACCTGGATTACCGCTGACAAATATATAATGAAACAGCTATCTATATATATAAAAGCCTAAGTGAATGGCTGGTAGCTATGATGCACAATGACCACTAGTGACAGACACTTAACACAGGAGCGGAAACCATAGGCATGGAAACATGGAACAGACTGATTAATCTCAGCGAGAAGGGGGGAGGGCAGGAAGAGATTAACCCAAGATCTTATACACATACTAGAGGCTGAGTGCATAGATTCGTGCACTGGTGGGGTCCCTCGGCCTGGCCTGTTGGGATCAGGCAGAAACTGGCTCTCCAATATCTCCCAAGGGGAGATATTGCAAAAGGACACAGGCCAGGTCAAGGGAACCTAGATATTTATAAAACTAATTCAATCATCTATTCTAAAATGCCGTCAGTGTTTATAAATAGTATCACAAATTAAAATTTTAAAATATTTTATGAATTCCTAAATATAATGGTTTGAGCCCTACTTATATTAAAAATGAAAAGGAAATTATCTATTTATTTATTTATTTATTTATTAAATATATTTTATTGTTTTTGTACAGAGAGGAAGGGAGAGAGATAGAGAGCTAGAAACATCAATGAGAGAGAGTCATTGATCAGCTGCCTCTTGCACACCCTCCACTGGGGATATGCCCACAGCCAAGGTACATGCCCTTGACCGGAATCGAACCTGGGTCCCTTCAGTCCCCAAGCCGACGCTCTACCCATTGAGCCAAACCGGTTTCGGCGAAAAGGAAATTATCTAAATGAAGATCACTCTATCTTCCTGAATTCCTCACAGTATCTGCATCATGAGTATTTATTTAATTATGTATTTTTAATATTCTTGAGAGAGGGAGAGATAGAAACATCAATGAGAGAATCATCGATGGGCTGTGGGGATCGAGTCCACAATCCAGGCATGTGTGCCTGACGGGAAATGAACCCAGGATACTTTAGTCTGCAGGCTGATGCTCTATCCACTGAGCCAAGCCAGCTAGGGCATGACTACTCCCATGATTTTTTAAAATTATTATTTTTTTGAATTTATGTTTACTGTTAAAATTATTAATTTCCCCCTTTCCCCCCACTGACTCTCTCCACCCTGATTCTGCCTCCTCCCCATGCCTTCCCCACCCTATTGTCTGTTCATGGACAACGCATATATGCTTATAAGTTTACTAGAAGCCCGATGCACAAATATTCGTGTTAGGATGGGCTTTCCTTTCCCTGGCTGCCAACACTGCCTTTCCACTCTGGCCCAGTCCCTTTCTGCTCAGGGCCCAGAGCCGCCTCTTTCGGCTCCAGCCTCACCTTCCCATGCTGCCCAGAGGCCCTGAGACCAGGGTTAGGGCAGAATGCTTGCATCATTGCCATGCCGTCACTTGGTGCATGCGCATACAAATTAATCGCCATCTTTGCTGGGTTAATTTGCATACCATTCCTGATTGGCTGGTGGCATAGTGGAGGTATGGTTAATTTACATGTTTATCTATTATTAGGTAAGATCGATTAATCTCTTCCCCCCCACCTCCCACCTTCCCTCTGAAACAAGTCAGTTTGTTGCATACTTTAATGCCTCTGGATCTTTTTTATTCATAGCTTATTTTGTTCATTAGATTCCACATGTAAGTGATCCCATGATGTTTTAAATACATACTTAAACATCTAAAAATGTATACTAACTTTTATTTCAGAATGTTTACATTACTTTGATTCTTACCAAACTCTACCACCATCCTCTTCATTTTTATTACTGAAAATGGTTAAGAAATTATATAAACTGTTTCTGATAAACAGAATAATATATAAGTTCCTGCTACCAAATAAAATTTAAACTTACCTATAATATTTGGATGATTAAGGCTTTTCAAAATCTTAGCTTCATCAGTTAATCTCTTTTGATACATACTTTGATAATCACCATTACATTTAGAATTAATCTTTTTCACAGCCCAAGGAGAATGAGACAAGCCTCTTGGAGATCTTAAAAAAATAATCATAAAAAGTATAAAGATAACTAAAAATAATACATTTCCAAATGACTAACAAGAACTTCCAACTTTTGAAAAGGACTTGATAATTTGTTGTTATTTTTTTTAAATTTGCAAAATTTTATACTATCAACACCTCTGCTACATTTCCTTTTCAAACTGGAAGAGAAATAGCTGATACATCAATTGATTACAAGAGTGGTCTGATATTTATTGCTGGAAAGAAGAGATAAAAAGGGAGAACTAGAAGAAAAAAGAGTTCTTATAAATTTATTTTTCAATTTTTCTAATCAAGCATGCCATACTACCAACTACTTATCAAACATCTATACTAATAAAAGGGTAATATGCTAATTAGACTGGGAGACCTTCTGGACATAGCCATGGTGATGGGACCGAGGCAGAAGTGGTTAGGAGTGATCAGATAGCAGGAGAGGGCAGTTGGAGGCGAGCAGGCCATCATCGGGGCAGTTAGGGGTGAGCAGGCCAGCAAAGGGGGGGGTGGGGGTGGGGAGACAGTTGGGGGCCGAGCAGGCTGGCAGGGGGGACACAGTTGGGAGCGAGCAGGCTGATGGGGGAAGGGGGAACAGTTGGTGGTGAGCAGGCTGGCAGGGGAGCAGGCCGCCAAGTGAGCTCATTGGGGGTGAACAGGCCAGCTGGGTGGTGGGGGGGGGGCAGTTGGGGGCAAGCGGGTCAGCTGAGGGGGGAATGGGGGTGAGCAGGCTGGCAAGGGGGGGCAGTTGGGGGTCATAAGGCCAGCAAGGAGGGGGTCAGTTGGGGGTGAGCAAGCCAGCAGGCAGGTGAGCAGTTAGGAGCAAGCGATCCCAGATTTCAAGAGGGATCCCAGATTGGAAAGGGTGCAGGCCAGGCTGAGGGAAAACACCCCCATGCACAAATTTCATGCACCAGGCCACTAGTTTAACTATATGTACCACAGACAAGTTCTAGAATGCTAAATAACAAACACTAATCTCTAAAAAACAATTTAAATAAGAGACATGTAAGGAACATTTGGTCCATATGTAATCATCCATATAACAGACTGTTCTCCAACAAATATTGTGCCTCTCCACTAACCAATCCATTTCTACCTTCACTGAATACTCAAAGACATGAGCTAAGGCAATAATAATCCTAATATATAAAAAGCCAGGGGCCATCATGACCAAAACAACTGGACAGATGACTGAACACAGGCTGTGTGGGGTGACAAGGCTGGCAGAGGGATTAATGAGGGACGACCAAACAATTGAACAGCAGGCTGTGTGGGGCGACCAGGCCGGAAGAGAGGGGCAGTTGGGGGGGGCGACCAGGCCAGTGGGGGGCAGGGGAAGTTGGGGGTGCCCAGGCCAGGCAGAGAGGGGGACCAAGTCCATCCTTTACCTTTTCCATAACATATCCTGATCTATATAATGACAAAAACTATAAAATCTGAATAAAATACCGTATTTTTCGGCCCATAAGACGCACTTTATTCCCCCCAGAAGTGGGGGGAAAAAGTACCTGCGTCTTATGGTCCAAATATAGCCTACACATATACTTTAAAAAAAAAGTTTTTTACTTGCCCGGCTCTGTGTGGTCTCTGTGTGCTTGCCCGGCTCTAAAATGGTTCTAAATGCTGCTGTTTACTTTACAGGGTTGATTACATGTGTTTATGACTGTGATGTTGGGTTTTAATGCACATAAAATATTTTAGGACACTATTTGTTTCAGAATCTTTTTTTCTTCATTTCCCTTCTCTAAAAACTGGTGCGTCTTATGGTCCGGTGCGTCTTATGGTCCGAAAAATACGGTAATCAAGCTAAATGTTAGTTTACTAAAAAGGCTAATAAAACAGCGATTGCACAAGAAAAAAATAAAAGGAGGTACAAATAATATTGCAATAAAAAATGAGGACATAACTATAGAAACAGCAGAAATTAAAAAATAAAAGTGAATAAATAAAACTTTTAGTGGGCTGGAGTAGGTCAAATGGGGAGGAGGGAGACATATGTAATACTTTCAACAATTAAGATTAAAAAAATAAAACTTTTAAACCAATAAATTTAAAAGACAAAATGGTCAAATTCTAAAGAAAAAAATCTGCCAAAACCAGTTTGGCTCAGTGGATAGAGCATCAGCCTGTGGACTAAAGGGTCCTAGGTTCGATTCCGGTCAAGGGCATGTACCTTGGTTTTGGGCACATCCCCACTAAGGGGTGTGCAGGAGGCAGCTGATAGATGTTTCTCTTTCGTCGATGTTTCTAACTCTCTCTCCCTCTCCCATCCTCTCTGTAAAAAAAATCAATAAAATATAGTTTTTAAAAAAAGGAAGTGGCTAAAGCAGAGATCTTTAGTTTGAGGTTTACTGGTAAAGTTGAATGTCTGTGAACATACAGACACACAGTAATTCATAACCATATGCATACTAAATATTCAATGAGTTTTCATATGTGCTATCACAACCAAAACTTAGGATGCCATTTTAAAAACGAGAATTTTCAGATAATTAAAAACAAAATAGACAAAATTGAAAAACTTAAGTATAAGAAGATGAAGTTGGGGAAATCTCTCAGAAAATAGAACAAAGAGAACATAGGAAAATCAGGGAAAACCAGAGATCAGTCTAATAAGTAAAACATCCACATAAAGAATAGGAAGACAGGGGTGGAAAATGTCAGTAAGGAATTTTAATAACTTCTTAAAAATTTAAGGATAGGAATTTTCAGAATACAAGAGGCCCACACCCATACATGTCACTGTGAAATTTAAGAACACTGGTGATGAATGGATCTGGGAGACCACTGGGAGAAATAGCTAACATAAAACAGGTAACAAAAAGAATCAGCAATCAGGAAAGCTTCAGAATTCTCAGTGGGAACACTGCAGAATTTTCAGCAGGCTAACAAATAATGGAACAAAATCCTTAAACTTGTGGAGGAAAATTATGTCCAAAAAGAATTCTGGCCCAGAAAAACAAAAAGAACCATTCAAGTATTAGTGTAGAATGAAAACATTTCAAAAATGCAAATTCTCACCGAAACCAGTTTGGGTCAGTGGACAGAGCTTCCGTCTGTGGACTGAAAAGTCCCAGGTTCGATTCCAGTCAAGGGCATGTACCTTGGCAGCTGATCGATGTTTCTAGCTCTCTGTCCCTCTCCCTTCCTCTCTATAAAAACTCAATAAAATATAAATAAATAAATAAATGAATAAATACATGCCAATTCTCAAAAACGCATGTCCTGTGGCTCTAGCCAGTTTGGCTCAGTGGATAGAGTGTCAGCCTGTGGACTAAAGGGTCCCACGTTTGATTCTAGACAAGGGCATATGCCCAGGGTCTCGGGCTCGATCCCCAGTAGGGGCCTGCAGGAGGCAGCCAATCAATGATTCTCTTTCATCATGTTTCTCTTTCCTGCCCTCTCTGAAATCCATAAAAATATTTTATTTTTAAATATATCTCCCGTGTACTTTTTCATAGGGAGCTACCAAATGTCCTTAAACAAAACAAAATATAAACCAAGAAATAGTGAGACATGAGGTACAGAACAACAGGAGATCCTGTTCACCAGAGAAACAAAGGGTCTCCAGGCTGCAGGAGGGAAAATCCCAGGCTGACAGGGACACAGTACAAGAAGTAGTAGGACCAGGCAGGGGACTGCTATTTTTCAATCAGCCACCATATGAAGCTTTTTTATTATTCTATACAGAACTTATTAACAACACACACAAACACCCACTTACATATTATTGCTATGCTATTCTCAATTAATTAGCTTTATATTAAAGCATTTCTATCTAGAAACAATATAAACCTAAAGACATGTTGTGTTAGGAAAAATGATAAGGTAAATTACTGTTCCTTTAATAATCCATTAGGAGAAAAGTTAAAAGAAATGTATAACAGGTAGGGATCTGGTAAAGTTATAAAAGGTTCTGAGACTGAACACAGCAGGTTCAGGAAAATACCTCAAATCTAAATACTTGAATTTTCCTATTCCTTTGTCTCCAAGTACAACTGAAGGATGGTTCCATTTAAAAGGTTAATCTAAAATCGTATACTCACCTTTTCATTAGGTAGACATTTACCCCTGTGCCATAGCCAAGCTTCTGCATAAACGGAGAGGCAGGAATTTTTATACATGGAGTTGAACATAACACTAAATGTCAGAAAGAATTAAAAAATAAAATTAGTATTTGAAAAGACAAATGCATCTGAACATTTGCAATACACTATTGATAAGAGTATTAATTGGCATAATCTTTTGGAGAGCAATCTGACACTAACCATCCTAGTTTTAAATGGAGACCCCTTGAGCAAGTTTACTTTTGGAGCTCTATCTTACAGTAACACTGAAGTTTGTTTTTATATGATCCAGAAGTTATGAATTGTTTTTGAAAGGGTTGATTTAAAAAAAAAAAGTATTAAGAAAATGCAATAATGTTTCTGTATGGCCAACGAAGTCTAAACTATTTACTATCTGGCCCTTTACAAATAGTTTGCCAATACCTCAATACAGCATGTGCCCAAAGACATCATACACATACATGCATGCAAGCATATATATTTGAATATTGGGATTCACTTTTGTAGCTGCAGAAAAACCTTAGTAATAATCATTGGTCATAATTATAGTATATCTATATTACAAAGCATTAGCCTATCTAATAAAGAGGGAATATGCTAATAGACCATCACACCCACAGGCAATAAGGAGGGAATATGATAATTGGCTGTCATGCCCTCAAAGATAGCAACACCTAGAGCCACAAGATGGCAGTGCCCAGTCCCCTCAGCCCTGCCTGGGTGGCAGGCACGCGGCCCGGCCACTCCCTGTGCCTGCCTCTGGAGTCCCCCATACCCTCAGCCCCCCAGCTGCCCAGGGCCTGCCCGAAGCACAGGCAAGCCTCGGATGGTGGCTGCCCACGGCTCAGGTAACTAGGGCCGGCCGAGCCTTGCACTGCCAACAATGGCAGCAGCAGAGGTATGAAGGGGAAGTCGCCTTCCCCTGATCGCCAGGTCGCTTGCCGCCCCTGAGGGCTCCCGGCCTGTGAGAGGGGGCAGGCCAGGCTGAGGGATCCCCTCTTGAACACAGAAAATATTAGCAAATTGAATCAAGTTATATATAAAACTAGAGGCTTGGTGCATAAAATTTGTGCACGGGGGAGGGGGGTCCTCAGCCCAGCTTGCACCCTCTCACAATCCAGGACCCCAGGGATCAGGCCTAAGCCAGCAGTCGGACATCGCTCTCGCAATCCACGACCACTGGCTCCTAACCGTTTGCCTGCCTGCCTGCCTGATCACCCCTAACCGCTACGCATGCCTGCTAATGATTGCCCCTAACTGCTTCTGCCTCGGGCTTCATCCAGAAGGACATTTGGAATGATGGCTGGAAGGTTGTTTGGCTGTCTGGTCTAATTAGCATATTACACTTTTATTATTATAGATACCTCATGACTTTGGCTTTACCCCAAGAGTGAAAGTTTGTTTTAACATGTTAAAATTAACAGAATTTACCATATTGACAGACTAAGAAATAAAACTATCCCAATATATTCTGAAAATGCTCTTGACTAAGTTTAATACACATTCATGATAATCAGGAATAAAGGAAATCAGGTCACAGATGACCATGTCCTGGCCTACAGTGTTAGTCTAATTTGTTAAGATCAACATTATAAAGATGACTTATTCTAAAATTGTGGATGGTAATTAAAGCATCAAACTACACACCGAAACCGGCTTGGCTCAATGGATAGAGTGTCTGCTTGGGAACTGAAGGGACCCGGGTTTGATTCCGGTCAAGGGCATGTACCTTGGTTGCGGGCATATCCCCAGTAGGGGTGTACAAGAGGCAGCTGATTGATGACTCTCTCTCATCGATGTTTCTAGCTCTATATCTCTCTCCCTTCCTCTCTGTACAAAATTAATAAAATATATTTTTTTAAAAAAAGCATCAAACTACAGTTTTAATAACAATAACAAAAAAGTTTTACTAGTATACCTATCTTACCAGATTTTCTTTTTTCAGATAATTTGCTTGGTGTCTTAAAATTATTGATTTCGTCCATTGTAATAATCACTCTAGGTCCTATGATAAAAATAAATTGAAAGTTACATTGCAGTTATAAAGAGCACAACTCTAATTCATTAAGAAAAACCTTCTATACTAGTTCTCATTTTATCATATGAAGCATTAAATTTGAAAACTGAAAAAGACCATGAAAAATATCTAGTCCAGAGCCTCCCTTCTCCAGCACAGCCAGCACGGGAGCCTCTTAAGACACCGGGAGCACGGACCCCAGGGAATGCTCCTGCTTATCTGGAGGAATACGCATCTGTGGAGACAACTACAAACGCACAGCTTGCAACTGTAAAACATGTTGAAAAAGCTACTGCTTTCCCCCCACCCCTACCCCCCTCCATGTGTGCCTAGGGCTGCATCTGCAAAGGAGGCTCCAGCAAGTGCAGCTGCTGCCACTGAAATGCAACCTTTGTGCTGAGGGTGTGGCCTGGGAAGCTTCTGTACAGTGCATTAGTTGGGAAATTGAGATGATTGTGCTTTTTAATATATTTGCCCCAATGAGGTGTTGGTGACATTCACATATTGCTTGGAGCAATCAAGTTTTCACTTATGGTAAAAAATATTTTTTTAAAAAGAAAAAAGATAAAACTATCTAGTCCAATTTTATTTACATGAGAAACAAGAAAACTGAAACCCAGACAGGTGCAATTACTTACCCAAGGTCATACTATTAGTAAAATATATTTTCTGTTTTTTTGTTTTGTTTTGTTTTTTGGTCCTTACAAACATTCCTAATTTCTTTTTTTAAAATTTTATTTTGTTTAAAGTATTACAAATATGAGTACACATATCTCCTTTTGTTGTCTTTATATAGTTTTTTTTTTCTTTTTTTCCAGAGAGGAAGGTAGAGAGAGAGAAACACTGATGAGAGAGACACATCCATCAGCTGCTTCATGCATTACCCTACCCCTACAAGGGATTGAGCTCGCAACCCAATCAAACCAGCAGAGAGAAAAACATGGATATGTCTCATTTGTGATACGTTGCCTCCTGCACAGGGCGGGGGCCAGAACTGAGCATGCAGCCAAGGCATATGCCCTTGATCAGAATCGAACCTGGGTCCCTTCATTTCCCTAACTAGGACATTTTTTGTCTTAATTAAAAACTTGGCTTAAAAAAAAAAAAAATCAGCACTACAAAAAGGTAAAAAGTAATCTCCTTTTCACACTTCCTGAAAGTAGTTAACAGGGCTTTCATACCCTTTAAAGAAATTGTCTATGCAAGCAGCATTATTTATAGTAGCCCAAAAAAGAGAACAGAAATCCATCAGATGATGAATAGATAAATAGGTAATTCTACGTACAAGAAATGCCTAGAATGGGCAAATCCAGACAAAAATAGATTAGCAGCTGTCAGGGGGTTGGGAAGAAGTGGGTGTGGGGATTCTTTTTGGGGTGATGAAAATGTTCTAAATTAGGTAGTGGCTTAATATATTCAACAATAGGACTGAGTATATCACTAAATTATATACTTTTAAAGGATGAATTTTATGCTAGGTGAATTATGTCTCAACAAGCTATTATAATAAAAATCATCTATGCAAATAAAATGTACATACTGCACATATATGCAAGTTAATCTAAGCTTTTTATTTCTTCCATAACATATTTCTTAAAGATTTTCTTTTTACAAAATTAATTTTTTTTTTCTTCTAAAAGTGAGGTTTCATATTATTAGTTACTGTAAAACAAATTGTGCCTACATGCCTAAAGCTCATTTGGTTTGTCTATAAAAAATATTTGGTTTAATTTTTTGTAGAACCCTTAAAAAACAGCACCTTTAAAAACTCTGTGCCGCTGAAACCGGTTTGGCTCAGTGGATAGAGCGTCGGCCTGCGGACTGAAGGGTCCCAGGATCAATTCGGGGCAAGGGCATGTACCTTGGTTGCGGGCACATCCCCAGTTTTGGGAGGGGGGTGTGTGTGCAGGAAGCAGCTGATCAACGTTTCTCTCTCATGGATGTTTCTAGCTCTCTCTCCCTCTCTGTAAAGAAATCAATAAAATATATTAAAACATAAAAACTCTTGCCAAGGGAAAAAAAATCATCTTTAAGGCCCAGCTTTAATTCCTTATTGAGGAGTTTGTTCATTTTTTTAAGGGTAGCTACAATCACCACTGTCTATTTAGAGTCACACTGAAGACCCCTTTTTCATTATCGTGGAACCCACCATACGGCTAAACAAATACATAGATAAAGCTAAAGCGTAACAACCAATAGAAGCAACACAGAGGGGAAACGCGGGATGCAAACCAAAGGGGGAAGCTCTGATCAGATTATTCCTGAGGTCCTGTGCATTCTGCACCCTCTGCAGGACTCCCGGAACTAGAGGCCCAGACTGTTTATCCCCTCTTCTAGGAGTTTATGGAGGGGCTGGCGGTTCAAATCCTTCTCCCACCTGCGCAGGCAGCTCATCTGAAAACCGGGAGCCACATTCGTGGAGGGATTCAAAGTAGGGAACTGCGCGTCACGCTTCTTCCTCAAACGCCAGCCCCCTCCATTCCCACCACAAACCCTCCACCGGTTCTAACCTCCCTTAAGAGATGAGACTGAGCCGAAGCCGGTTTGGCTCAGTGGATAGAGCGTCGGCCTGCGGACTGAAAGGTCCCGGTTCGATTCTGGTCAAGGGGATGTGCCTTGGTTGCGGGCACATCCCCAGTAGGGGGTGTGCAGGAGGCAGCTGATCAATGTTTTTGTTTTGTTTTGTTTTTTTTCTCATCGACGTTTCTACCTGTCTATCCCTCTCCCTTCCTCTCTGTAAAAAAAAAAAAAAAAAAAAAAAAAAATATAAAAAAAAAAAAAAGACATGAAATTGAGCCGACAGTTTCCCCCGGGCATGAGGGCGCCCCACCGACACCGGCCTAAAACCGGGGCCTCCCCGCGAGCCCTCGGAACCGCCATGTCAGCTTGCTGGGCCAGGGGGGGAGGTCCCCCAAATCTGTCTGACCAACGTCTTCTCTCCCGGAGCCCCCATCAACAGGTACAGATAGACCGCCAGGCTTCGCTTCGAGGAAGGGCCACTGCTTTCCCGGGGCCCCATCCTACCCCGCGATGCAGGCGCGCACTCGAGTCTGGGTCGCGAAGAGGAGCCCTAAGAGAGTTCCCGGTTTAACGCCTCCCGTCCAACGTCTTCCACTCGCCCGCCAGGCCGCGAGCCGGTGCCGACGCGAACGGGCCGCCCGCCCGCCCCCCGCCCGCCCCCCGCCCGCGCGCGCGCGATCGGGTCCGAGAACCGAGGAGGGAGAGGCCCGCTTACCCGGCCGCGGCGGCCACGCTGCAGGTGGAGGAGGAGCCCGCGGCCCACGGGAGGTCCAGGCCAAGGCTGCCTCAAACTCTGGTCCCCAGGGGCCGCCGACAAGACCCCACAATCCCTTGGGCGTCTCGCTGGCCCTGCACAACGTCTGCTCCCGAAGCGCCTGGAACCCGCCCGGCTTTCAAAATGCGCGCGCCATTCCCCCAGCGGCGGCCGCGAACTACGGGGTGGCGCGAGGGACAAAACTCGTCGTATCTGTCCTTCGCCTTTTCTTTGGTCTTGCTTTGGACTGATTCCATTTTACCACCAAATAGAGATCCTTTTTAAGATAAATAGAAAGAAGAGACATGCAGGGAAGGACAAACTGCTTTTTATAGAATGCCAGCCCTTCAGAGGGACAACTCTGGCTTAATAAGACTATATATATATATGCCTGTATATAAGGCTGAACTTCCTCCCCAGTTACAAATACTCTCAGAATGTTTGATTATTATGTAATTTTTATTAACGAAAAGCGCATTAGCATAGAGTAGCAATCATTTTGTGTGTGTGTGTGTCTGAAAAGAAACATAGATATTTAGAAATTCTGCTAACTTGTAATAACCACATTCAGTTCAACGTGTGTTCATTTATTGAACCAATGTTTATAGAGCACCTGTTGCAGGTGTGTATTGAGTGCCCACCGCATAGGAAATGCTGTAGCAGTTAGTGCAAGAGAGACAGACGGGTGATTAAATCACAGAATCTTATGCGATAGGCTCTGCTGCGTAGAGGGTGGGGAGATGTCCCAAGAACAGAAACACACACACACACAAACACACACACACACACACACACTTCATAATACAACCTTCACACTTCACACTGAGGATTTGTGGACTAGAGCACACGGTGTTCTCCTGGGCAGGATGGCTTCCCTAATTCTTTGTCCATCAGAGTTGAAGAATGAAACCATGGGCAGAAGATGGTATAACAAAGATGGACATTTATTGAACAAGCACAGACTCCCACGTGGGGAAGAGGAAAGAATCTCACAGCACAGACTCCCACATGGGAAGGGGGACATAGTCCCTCCAAGTTCCCTTTTCCCTGATTTATAAAGGCTGTACTTTTTGTGCCTCAATATCCCCTCTGATTGTCCACCATTCCCTTGATTTGGTCACTATAGCAACTCCTGAGCTCAAAGGTCAAACCTCACGTGGGACATGTGAGGCCCTCCTTCTTCATTGTTCTCATATTCCCTCTGGGCTTTCTTCATTTTGTAAACTAGAGGCCCAGTGGGGAGCTAGTGGAAGAACCTTCCAAGTAGAGGGAAAGGCAACTGCAAAGGCATTGAAGTGTTCAGGGAACTGAGAAGAAGGTAGGGTGGCTGGACATAGTTGAAAGTGACCCAGGATGAGGTTGGAGAGTTGGTGTCCTCCTGGTGCAATAAGAAGCCATTGAAGATTTAAACCAGAGAATGATAAGGTCTGGTTTTTAGTTTAGGGTAAAACTCTGGCTGGAACATAAAAAGAAAACAACAAAAAACCCTGTCATGCCTTTTCAACAAATGATGCTGGAGCAATTGGACATCCATAAGCAAAAGAAAAAGGAGGAGAAGAAAAAAGGGGAGGAGGAGGAGGAGGGGGAGAGTGGAGGGCAAGGAGGAGAAAAGAATCTTTACTTAAACTTACCTTATACAAAAATTAATTCAAAATATAATATCATCTTTATCTAGATATATACCCAAATGATATACATAGGTGGATCAAAACCATGCACATAATTGTTTATAGCAGCATTATCTGTAGCAGCCACACTGGTAAACCACCCCAATGTCCATCAGCAGCAGAAAGTCTACATAACTGGTGGTAGATTTATACAGTGGAATCCTACACAGTATTGTCATTGTGCGCTCCCACAGCCAACCTTCCCAGACCCCCCACCCCCCGCCCCACCCTCATCCAACAGGCCCCATCTGGCAGTCCCATCTGGCGTCTGGCAAGCCCCAGCCGGCCTGACCTCCATCGGGACTGGGCGAGATGGCCCCAATAGGCCCTGATAACTTGTCAGGCCTAGGGACCTCACTTGTGCACAAATTTCATGCACTGGGCCTCCAGGCTCCTTATAATTCAAATACTTTTAGTTTCAAACTGCTCCTTTCTCCCTAAGGACAGTTTAGATGGATGGTGGTCATGAGATAGAAACCAGAAAACAGGAATGGGAACATTGGTGAACTCTTAACAGGTACTCTGCTTCCCTCGAGCAGTTTCCTAATACTGGGGTTCTGGGAGGAGGGCAGTGCAGCCTTGGAGGAACTGGGAAGCTCTCCACACAGCTGCCTATCAGGAAGGCTGAACTCATCATCCTCAGTGGCTAAAGATTTCCACTTGCCCCTCTCTGACTTTTCCTACCTCCCAACAAGAAGAGAAATTGTGCTTGTGCTGGGAACATGGGGTTTGAAAAACAAGAAGTCTTTGGAAAATACGCTGGGATCTGAGTGGCCTGTAATTGATGAGTCCCTTCCTCCACTGTGGTCCAGCGAGCTGAGGAGATGTGACACAGAATTCTAACCCTCCCTCAGGGGAGACGCCTACTTAATGCCTCTGCAAAGATGAGAATTCTGTCCTCTGTGATTGTGTGAGACGCCTGGGCTGGCCCAACTTCTGGCCACAATTTCAGTGCCCTGGCCTTGTTTTTGCTCCACGACGTTCTTTGCTTTCTAATCCAGACGGAAAACATTTTCTTGGTCCTCAACTGCTTAGGGTGAATCAATATAATGAATAATAGGAAAGGATTTTCTGATTTGTTGTTTTAATGTTTTTATTGATTTTTAGAGGGAGAGGGGAAGGGAGAGGGATAGAGAGGTAAAAACATCGATGGGGAGCCCTGACCAGTTTGGTTCAGTGGATAAAGCGTCGGCCTGCGGACTCAAGGGTCCCAGGTTTGATTCTGGTGGAGGGCATGTATCTTGAGGGCACATCCCCAGTAGAAGGTGTGCAAGAGGCAGCTGATTGATGTTTCTCTCACATCATGTTTTGAACTCTATCCCTTTCCCTTCCTCTCTGTAAAAAATCAATAAAATATGTTAAAAAAAAAACAAACAAAAAACACAGATGGGGAGAAGCATCATCGATAGGCTGCCTTGTGCCTGCTGCCTACTGGGGTGGAGCCTGAAACCCAGGCATGTGCCCTGACCAGGAATCAAATCACTGACCTCTTGATTCATGGGTCAATGCTCAACTACTGAGCCAGAAAATATTTTTGATGGTTTACCTTTGAACTACTTAATACTCACTTGGAATGTATAGGAAGTCCAGGAGACTGAGTGGGATGAAAGTCCTGTTTCCTACATGCTGTTGGAAATGATCCTGCCAGTAAGGAACAGCATCTACTGAACATATATGTAAAGGGAAATGAACAAGATGTCCTCAAGGCATATGAAAATCATAGATTCAGGTCCTTTTCTCCAAGAAGATAGTTCAGTGGGGATGCTGGTTGGGCTGTATACTCATGAGCCATGTATTGAAATGCATGAAGCAAATGCCCAGAGCTTGTTAACACCAGACCACCCTTAACCAGAGATAACTTTTTCATCATCACGATACATTCAGGGTTTTGTTTTTTTTTTAAATATATTTTTATTGATTTTTTACAGAGAGGAAGGGAGAGAGATAGAGAGCTAGAAACGTCGATGAGAGAGAAACACCAACTAGCTGCCTCTTGCACACCCGCTACCGGGGATGTGCCCGCAACCAACGTACATGCCCCTGACCGGAATCGACCCTGCAGACCGAGGCTCAACTACTGAGTGAAACCGGTTTCGGCTACATTCAGTTTTTTTTTAAAGATATTTTATTGAATTTTACATAATAAAAGGGGAAGGGATAGAGAGTTAGAAATATCGATGAGAGAGAAACATTCATCATCTGCCTTCTGCACACCCTCTATTAGGGATCAAGCCCAAAATCAAGGTACATGCCCTTGACCAGAATCGAACCCGGAACTCTTCTTCAGTCTGTGGGCCGGTGCTCTATCCACTGAACCAAACGGGGTTAGGGATACATCCAGTTTTTTAAATAATTGCCCCACAGGCACCCCAAAGAGCTAGGAGGATAGCAGAAGGGAGTTCTCCCCCCCCACCCCCTCCTGCTTTAAGGGCCCAATACCTATGCCCCTTCACGTACCTATTAGTATTAGTAAATTCAGCAATCATGAATCTGAGAACAGTCCTAAGCTAGGTATGAAGCTTATTAGAAATGACTGCTAAGCTGAATGGGAGATAGATTAGCTAGATAGATTTAAATGTGAATCTCAACTAAATGGACATTGATGAGATTCTTCCCTGTGTGGGGGAAGGATTGCACTTCTTAAAAAATTGCTCTTGAAGATTCCCAAAGTGGGTGAACTCAGTCATTTCTTCCCTTTCTCTCTCATTCATTCATTTATTCATTGAACAATGATCCTGAGCCAGATGAAGGTTAAACAAATGAAAAGATGTACTATGAACCAGCCCGCTTTCAGGGAGCATACAGACTAGTTAACGGATGGATACAATGCCGTGTGGTGAGTAGAACCTGACTGTGCTTGAGGTGTGAAAAGGTTTCACTAACCTCGTCTTCACGGATGAGAAATTTGCCCGACCATCCTGAATGGGGACAGAAGGCAAGAGAAAGGATGCTTAGTTTTAGAGCAATAAATAGTAGAGAAAGGTGACTGGGGAAAGAGGGAGAGGCCAGATCATGGGCTTTTTCAGAGGTAGGAATTTGAATTTTGTTTTGTAGATATTAGGGAGCTATAGAAGGACTTAAAGCAAGAAACTGACAGGAGCAGAATCATGTGTTAGCTGGAGAGATCTCCTTGGTATGTATTGGAGGACAGACAATGGGAGATTGTGGTGAAAGTCCAGGTGAGAAATTTTTGGGCTGGTCTTGCTAGGATTTAATTACTTTTTAAAAAATATATATTTTATTGATTTTTTACAGAGAGGAAGGGAGAGAGATAGAGAGCTAGAAACGTTGATGAGAGAGAAACACCGACTAGCTGCCTCTTGCACACCCGCTACCGGGGATGTGCCCGCAACCAACGTACATGCCCCTGACCGGAATCGAACCTGGAACCTTTCAGTCCACAGATAGACGCTCTACCACTGAGCCAAACTGGTTTCGGCAGGACTTAATTACTTTTATAAATATTTTCAGAGAATAAACTTTGGCTTTGCTCACGTTCTCTATTGCTTGTCTGTATTTTGTTTCATTAGCTACTACATTTACCTTTTTAATTCCTTCTACATGCTTTGAATTTAATTTTCTTTGTTTTCCTAACTTTTTATTTTTATTTTATTTATTTATTTTTTTTGTGTGTGCACCTTTCCTAGGGGTACTGCAATGCCAGGTCAATGCGTGGAGTGGATGGAGCAAGCTCCTATTCCATCTCCCTATTCCAAAAATACATTTAATATAATGTCCTCAGAGAATGTGTCAGATATTAAATTGATAAGAACAGATACTACACTTGATTGTAGCCAAAAGGCTGAGAAGTGATGTTCTCCTAACTTTAAAAAAATTTTAAATCTTTTTATTGATTTGTGTGTGTGGATATAACTGGAAACCTAAGTTTGTACCCTGACTTAGAATTGAACCCACCACCTTTTGGTGTATGGATCGATGCTCCAACCAACTGAGCCACACAAACCAGGGCTTTTCCTAACTTCTCAAGGTAGAAATTTAGATAATTGATTTTACACTTTCTTTTATAATATAAGCTACTATACATTCCCTCTAAACATCACTTTAGCTGCATCACATATATTGCATTTTCATTATATTCTAGTTCAAAATATTGCCACAGTTTTCTAGTAATGTACAATGTTCTTTAATGGAGTATGATTTACAATTTCCAAACATTTGGAGGTCTTTTTTGATATCTTAGTATTAACAGTTTCTAATTTAATTCCACTTATTCAGAAAAAATATTCTTTAAAGTTTTTGTTTGAAATTTATTTTTAAAGATATTGAGACTTACTTTTTATGACCCAACACTGGTCTATATTAGAGAAATTTGCATTTTTAGAAAGGATATAGTCTACAGTTTGGAGTGAGTTAGCTTATACATGTCTATTAGATCATGTTGATCAGCAGAGTTATTCTACATATAGAACAACATATGTTCTACATATATAGTGTCTTCTAGCTACTTACTGATTTTCTCTCCACTTGTTCTGTTGATTATTTAAAGAAGGCTGCTAAAATCTTGAATTATGATTGTTGACGTTTCTTTCTACTTGTAGCTCTGTTAGTTTTTGCTCCATGTGTATTAAATCCTAGGTGGTGGCATGTTTGTTTTGTTTTTTTTATCATGAGGCAATTTTCTGGTTGTCTCTCTTTCTATGATATTCAATCCATAGATCCATTAATTTATGAGAGGTTACAAATTAGTGATTTAAAAAATTTACTTATTTTAAATTTTTTAATTGAATTTATTGGATTTTATTGAATTTATTGGGGTTAGTAAACATTGGTTAATAAAATTATATAAGTTTTAAGCGTACAATTCTATAATATAGCATCTGTATATTATATTGTGTGCTCACCACCCAAGGTCAAATCACCTTCAGTCTAGTTTTAGCCACATCTTCATCCCCACTTCCGAGAGCAACTAATGCCACTGAATCCTACGTTTTGGGGGAATTCTGTTCTTCTTCACTTACTGCTTACCATTCTAAGTCAATCACCACTCATTCACCAGCTTTCCAGTTTCAAAAAAGTTGCTTTTTCTTTTCTTCTGTTAGCTTATTCTGGTAGGGTTGTGTCTTTAAAAGACAAAAATCTCTCTGTTCTTTTCACCAGGGTTTTGGGAGGGAGTGAAAAAAGGTGCAGATGTCCAATCTACCATTTTAATTTTTTTTTTAACCCTCGCCGATGATATTTTCCCATTGATTTTCAGAGAGAGAGGAGAAGAGGAAAAGACAGAGAGAAAAATTGTTGCTAGAGAAACACATCGATTGGTTGTCTCCTGCACGCGCTCTGTCCAGGGCCCGAGTCAAGGAGGAGTCTGCAACTGAGGTACGTGCCTTTAATCGGAATCAAACTTGGGACTCTTGGGTCTGCAAGCCGATACTCTACCCATTGAGCCAAACTGGCTAGGGCCAAGCTACCATTTTTAGCTCGAAAAATCTTTCCTTTATTTTTATATTCCTTTTCCAAGTATACACTTGGTTACTCCTTAGTAAATATTTATGGAAGAGAACTACCCTCTCTTGGTCTTGCTTGGGACAAGGTGGGCCAGACCAGGATGTCCTGGGATCATTCCTTTCCCTCCACCCATCCCTGGCTTGGCCGTGTGTATTCCCTGGCAATTGCCTCATCATTTAGGTTTTCAATCTTGAACTTGTGCAGCCCTGAGGACTGCTAGTTTCAACACATGTCTGATTGATTAGACTTCCTGATTCGGTCAGGCTTAGGGTCCATCCTGTCTTGGTTGTTATCCTTGCTATTGACCGACTGGCTGTCACAGTTTGACCCAAAAATCTGATTCCCAGATGATTTCACTGTCAGCTCAAAGCTGCCGTAGAGAAGAGGAGAAGAGACACAAGAAGAAGCACCTGGTGCAGAGCCCCAATGCCTATTTTATGACTGTGAAATGCCCAGGATGCTATAAAATCACCACTGTCCTTAGCCACGCACAAACTGTAGTTTTGTGTGTCGGTTGCTCCGTTGTTCTATGTCAGCCAACAGGAGGAAAAGGAATGCTTACAGAAGGGTGAGTGGAAAACCATCCCAATAAACACATTTGGAATAAACAAACAAACAAACAAACACACACCCCACACAAAACCAAACTGTCGTACAATCCTTACAGCTGAGCAAGCCCCGCATATATGCTGACTTTGAGGCCTGTCGGCCTTCTCAGACTGGAAGAAAGCTACAGGAAAGGACCATTCTGAGCTGTCTGTGAAGCATGGAATGTCATCAACCACATCTCCCTTTGGCTTGATGGAATCTAAGCTTTTCTTCCCACCCTACGTCCAGAGGGGAGACTTTTTGTGGCCAGAATTATGATTTATTTCAAAGCACATTATGCTGTGAGGAAGAGGTGGGGAAAAGACACGTTATTCTTTTGGATGTTATTTTGTTTTGCCCCAGTTATGCCTCATCTTCCAAATAATTTGTGGGATGAGTGCATTACCTGATTTTTCTTGTGAAGAGGAAAAAAAGGAAGAGAAAAATAATTCTTATAATTCTCTTGGGGAGCGGCATGGGATTACACATGGAAAAGGAGGCACCAGCGATACATGCCATTTACCTCCAGCAAACACCGTGCACGGACGCCTTGACCACAGACGCCACGCTGCCAGACACGAATGCCGACTCCTTTTTTTCAAAAGTCACATATTTTCCACAGAATTTGATTCTGATCTTTGCTGTGTGACTGCCTGTGGCCACTCCGTTTCTGGAAACCTACAGTGCCAATTATTTGCTAAGTGGCTTTGGCAAGGCCTTTGCTAGTGTTTAATCACAGTAAGAAGGTTCCAGAGACTCTTGGCTCTATAAAGGGTTTTAGAGAAATTAGCCTCAGTTGGACGAAGCCCAGAGCAGCTGTACTGCTCTTCAAGGACGGGAGAGTTTCTCAGAGATATATTATGATAACAGAAAAGTAACCTGGGAGTTAGCCCTAAATTATGTTAATAACGAACCTAAATGTTCCTTACTTTACAGCTGTGTTCCTGAAGAATGTTAATTTCTCAACCGCTTCATCTCCATTTATGGCTGGATGTCCATGTACACATTTATCTTTTCAATTCCTCTGCTTCTCCAACTTCCTGTATCAAGCAGTTGAGTATAAAAAATGTAAATATAGTATATCATGATAGCTATGTATTCACAGAAGGTTTTATTAACTATTTTGGTAAAGTAAATATTTACTCAGTATTTTGATTTTTTTTATATATTGACAGAAATTAAGTCTTGGCTTTATCCAAAATGTACAAATGGCCAAAACCGGTTTGGCTCAGTGGGATAGAGCGTCACCCTATGGACTGAAAGGTCCCAGGTTTCTATTCTGGTCAAGGGCATGTACCTGGGTTGCAGGCACATCCCCAGTAGGAGGTGTGAGCTGATCGATGATTCTCTCTCATCGATGTTTCTAACTCTCTATTCCTCTCCTTTCCTCTTTGTAAAAAATCAATAAAATATATTAAAAAAACCCAAAAAAACAAAAAAACAAAATGTGCCAAGGGGAGGGGTGCCTTGCCAAAACAAGGGAGCCCATTAAATTTGCCATATTTTATTTGGTTTGCCTGTACATTTTGATGGTGCCAAAATGCCAATTTTCGGATCTGTCTGTAACAAAGGCCTACCCCAAAAGGAGTAAAATAAGGAATGTAAATGACATTTTAGAAGGCCAAATACACTCAATTAAAAAGATTACCCTTCATTATACATTCCATGTATGGTCTTGATATGAAGTGTATATTAACAGCACTGTTATAAAGTTATTATAAAAGCTTTTCTTTGTGTAAGTTTTAACAAACTTTTAAAACTGTAAGTGAGGAATAGTTAAAATAGTATTCAGTGTGTGGAACACTGGCCTATGAGACAAATTCCATGATCCTTCAAACAGTAAAAACAGCTTTGGTTGATTATTTTTCTTCAGTAATGGGTTAGTCTTACTTTGGGAAATTTTTTAATTCTCAAGAATGTTATTGCCAAAGATAATAACTTTGAGTCATACTTTAAATCTTTTTTAATTAATTAATTATAAGATGGCAAATGGCAAGTTGAGCATATTCTTGATTCTTAGCTAGACCAGTGCAATTAAAATTTTAATCAATAAAATTTATTCTCTATTATTTCTGGTTGTCTGTCAAATATTTTTCTGACATTTGAATTAACAGAATTTCTGAGAAAATAATTCTTAACAGATTATTACTATTACCTCTTTTTAAAAATATATATATATTTTATTGATTTTTCACAGAGAGTAAGAGAGAGGGATAGAGAATTAAAAACATTGAAGAGAGAGAATCATCGATCAGCTGCCTCCTGCACACCACCTACTGGGGATGTGCCCGCAACCAAGGTACTTGCCCTTGACCGGAATGGAATCGGGACCTTTCAGTCCGCAGTCCGACGCTCTACCCACTGAGCCAAACCGGTCCCTGCTACTTATTACCTCTTAATATCTATTTATTGTGATCAAGGTATAAAGGTTGCTGATAATAGGACTTTAGGTTTAGAGGAGGCCGAGGCCAATATACAGGGTCGTTATTATATTTCTTGGAAGCTTTAAGAGAAACAATAGTTGTACGGTATTATATCATAACTAGAGGCCCGGTTCACAAAATTAGTGCATGGCAGGGGGCAGGGGCTATCTGTCAGCCTGGCTTGCACCCTCTCCAATCCGGGACCCTTCAGGGAATGTCCAAGTGTTGCAGGAATTGGGCCTAAACTGTCAGTCAGACATCCCTCTCACAATCGGGGACCACTGGCTCCTAACCACTTATCTGCCTGCATGTCTGATTGCCCCTAACTGCCTCTGTCTTG